AAGACACTGGCCATCGTGCTCGGTAAGTTGAGTCGTAACTTTAGTTGAACTTGGGTAGATTTGTAAGAACGATCAACGAACCAACAAGACAGTGAAAACGCGTAAGAATTCTGATCTGGATCAGATAGTTTCTGTAGTATTTTTCCGCCAGACAATCGCTGGTATGCGCAAAATAAAAATATTATTTTAAGCATATGCTTTGACGGGACTTTTACCGTTCTCCCGGTTAGGGGAGTTCCCCCGGAGCAGAGAGTCCCAAGCCATTCTGGTCCACACTACCCAAAAGGGGTTCAGCTCAGAGACGCATCTCGCTATAGGTGCACAATTGGTTTTTAGGGTCCATAGGTCCACCATAAGCCGGACTCTAATTCATGTGAGTCAAATCTCCAGTGCGCCAATGTCTAGCTAATGGAATCATGTACTTGCCCGTGAGGGCCATGCAATGAAGATTTGCTGAGGGTATTTCACGTTCTCAAATCAAACAGTACGGCATGACAGCGGAATTAATAGACACGCGTTTATATACCTACTGCTGCATGCAATATCTAGGCATTCGTGCCTAACTCTAGCAGCGCTTCAATGTGTGACTTTGATATTACAACGCTGGGTGAAGGAATTCGATATATTCCACGCTGGAATTTCAAGCTGGTTGGTAGCGATTAGCTCTAGCTAGATAGGTGCTCTACCATACTAGCAACAAAGCTTTCAGTTTGCGCAAGATTCTCTCTGAAATGAGCTTGGGCTCGATGGTGGAAGGACATCGGTAGTTCCAGAGATTCTTAGGCATTAAATGGTCGAGCGAGCGAAAAACCGCAAGAAATTGTGCGTGATGTTTAATCCATCAGCAAACGATAGGCCGTAAAGGAAGCATGCAGTGGGAGCAAGGGCCTTCGCTGTGCGTGACCTCCCTTCCCGTGTACATACGACTTAGATGACACGCATACACGCATCTGTTCGTCTATCAATCCACGTTCATACCTGAACGGTTGTGAACGGTCGTGAATCTGAAGTACGCCCACTCCCGCAGGCGTGTTCCTGGCGTGCTGGGTGCCGTTCTTCACGTGTAACGTCGTGGACGCCATCTGCATGAAGAAGGGCTCCGACTGCAGCCCCGGCCTGATGGCGTTCTTCTTCACCACCTGGATCGGCTACATGAACAGCTTCGCCAACCCCGTCATCTACACCATATTCAACCTCGAGTTCCGCAAGGCGTTCAAGCGGCTGCTCAGCTGCGCCAGGTGATGGCCCGGGCCGAGGGCCGGTGACGACTAGGGTGAATGTGTGACCGCTCGGGTCGACTCTGCGACCCGGGCGGCACTCGGACTCGACGCGCCGCGCGGCGCGTGACACGGACACGCTCCGGCGAGGTGTATGTGTGTGAGCGATTCGAGAGATGGATGGGTGAACCAGTGCGCCCATCAGGACGCCAAACTGACTGTTATCGGCTGTACATACATAGTACGTGTGTGTTACAAATTCCAGCGACTGCGGCGCGGGGTAAGCGTGTTGGTTGTTGTCGCCCAGAGTGGACTATTTTGTCAGAAGTGCAGCGGAGCGCGCAGGCGGCATTAGTAGCCGCGAATCACCTGTCAGAGTTGTCTGTACATATGTACGTCAGATACGCTGTACCTACGTCAGAGACTGTACAAAGAGGGCGGTCGTCGCCGACAAATCAAATCAAACGGCGCCGGGCCGCTGGAGGTCGGGTCGGTCCCGCGGGCCGCCCCGCTGTCGTGCAGGCGGTGCTCGGGCAGGCGGCGGCGGCGGCGGCGGCCGTCCCGCGCGCAGCTCGGCGTCCTGAGTCCCGCCGGACTCCGCGCGGCCCGCCCCGCCCCGCCGCCGGCCGTCGGCGCCGCGCCCGCCGCCTGTCTATTCAACAATAAACTTGGAACAGCTATGTGACTCTGATGTGTTCGCTGAATATTCCCATCTAGCTCCCGGAATCGGCGAAACTATCCTGTCGTTCTTATGTCTATCGGGACGTGACAGTAAAGAGAGTGAGTGTTAAATATAACAGCCACACAGTAAGGATCACATCCGGAGTTATGCACCGACGGATCAAATCGAGCTTGTCAGCGGAGAACGACACGACTCGTTAGTGCCTCTGATATACACGTAGTTACATGAAGTTAGGTACTTTGTGTCAGTCCGACGAGCCGTTACGGGTTTCATTGTCCCAAAAATACGTAATAAACAGACAACACACGACGCCCAACCATTGTGAGCTGTTGCGGAGAACAGTGCCTTGCTATCTTCCGTCGAGAAAACTTCTCCAGGCAATCGACTCCAGTTTCTCGCTGAGCAAGAAAGGAGACTTCCCAGGGAGGCACGTATCTTCAACATTCAAACGATGCCATTCGCGACGTAGCCATTCCGGTACTACCGGAGGCCGAGGGTGGCTTACAATAGACGGCTCCATTTTAATGGGATCGGTGATTGATAGCTATGCTGTACGCATGCTTTAGCATCAGAGATCCTAAGCATCACCGTCCCTTTCAGCTCCAGTAACATGTTGCTGGTACGATATGGGGTCCCATATGCACTTGTTAACGATTAATGGAATTAAATATTCGGTTACATTTAATAATCAATATCAGAACAGAACAATTATTTTACAGCCCCATCTCATTCAAATGGCGAAGTTTGCCAATGGCAGCCTGGCGGAACGACAATACTTTCGAAAGGCAGACTACCCACGAAATGCGATTTGAGATTTCGTCTGATTCAATATGACTACGATTGACAATTCCGCAGGGAAGACTACCCATCAAATGCGATTCAGACGGTGTGACAGCTGCGGCGAGTAAAGATCACTTTTCTCAGGGCTGACAGCCGCCCAGCGCTGCGTCAGAGCGACCCACGTGCCACGTGCCACGGTTCAGCACTGGGAAGAGCTACCCGTCGCGTCTCACACGTGCGGTTATTCGGTGCAAAACGCCTCGATTGTTAATGCACGCAATGAGAGAGCTCCTCAAGAGAGGTGGTCGTAAAGATAGCCTGCTTTCCTTTACAGGCTCCCTGGCCAGACTTCTTCGCACATTTTAGGTAAGATATGAGTTTCTGGTAATTTCCCAGGGGCATGCACGCATAGCTTACAGCTAACGCAGTTTTTACTTGATGAAGCCTGAAATTGAATTCCCATTGAATTACGCACCTGAAATGGGATAGAATGTATCCAGCGAAAATGTAAACCCAGTGGTAGGATTAACTAGGTATATGAAACGCCGCGACAAGACTAAAAGCCAATCTTCGGAATACCTACACCAATGTCCCGATAATGCACGACTATAAGCCCATGCAATCGTCTTGGTTGTCGCACATCATTTACACTAGCACGGACGACCCGTTTATAAAATGCAAGCACTTAATGACCGTCTAAAAATACGTACCCGTAGACGGTTATTTAATAGCGTCTATAGTCTATAGTCAACGGATACCTATCAAACAGTGATGACAGAAGTTCAGTCTCATCCATATTCTAAGTAGACATGCGGAGGTGTCAAGTTTCCGCCTACGAGAACGGTGAGAACGGAACTGGGCTGCAGCGTGCACCTGACCTGAATGGACCGTGCCCGTCACGCGAGGAAGTTGGCTTCACCTGACATTCAGACTCTGATGAAACTCGAACTCAGCCATTGGGCCATCAGCGCCGGTAGTTGGACGTGTCGCGGTCACACGTGAGGCCGTCTCAGCTGCGACATTTCGCCGGTATGTCACAACGCACGAGACGCGAGTCACGTGCACAGGAAGGGCATTGGGTGCGGCCGGCGCCGGAGGGCGCAGGACATCATCACGAGTTGGGAGGATGATTTTGTTTAATCTAAACCAACACTAGGCACTACCACCATTCATAGGCGGCGGAACGGGGAGGGCACCGGGTCACCGTGCCCCCCTTTGATTTTGGCATTTTAACATTAGCCCTATGGGCGTTGCATGGAAAGAATGGGACCAAAAGTCGGCAGTGACCCCCCCCCCCTTCATTGAAGGTATTCCGCCGCTACTGCCACCATTGCTTATCAACCTGTAATACCTTCGCGCTCATTCCGAGATGTCAATAAGAGACCCCGAGCGTCCGAGCTTTATCGGAGTATCTTTCCGGCCCCGCCCTTCAGAGAACACTCTGCAGCGATATACATATCTTTCCGGCTCCGTCCTTCAGAGAACACCCCGCAGCGATATACACATCTTTCCGGCTCCGTCCTTCAGAGGACACCCTGCAGCGATACGGAGGTCGGATGCTGCGCAAGTCTCCCACCGACCTTATCACGTGCCGGGATTGGTTCTAACACGAGTGTATCTGTCCAGACACTCTGAAATACCCTCCCTGCCGTGACAGCTCATCACTCTAAAGGTCGGACCGCTCCGGTATTCTACACTTCCGACCGACTAGCCGCGCCAGAAACTCAGACAAGCACGCCTCCCTCCCGGATGTTGCATCTCACCGAACGCTCGTTGAACTGATTTTGAAACATGTTAGGCGTCAATGACTTCGTATAGGTTGAATATATTTTCGACAGTCAGTCCGTGTGCACCACGCCTACTGATCTGGGCGCATCTCCGGCCGACAGCGCTCTCCGTGAATCCTGTTCAGCTCGGCACGTAACATCTCGCCCGTCAGGAGCCATCTGCATAACCAAGTGCCCGGCAAGAGCCAATTCTTTTCCGGGAGGATGGCGCGAATTCGGAGACTTTGATCTGAGCCTACGGTTGATCCAACTCAATTGTCTGTCTAGTGGAGCACAGTCTGGTGATGAGGAAACAAAGAAAAGGTTAAGGCGAACACAGCGAAAAAAGTGGCCTTGTGTGCTGTGTGATAGCTTTCTCTTAATTTCGTAGGACGAGTGATGGCAACAACTGAGTGATAAAGGTTTTTTTTTTTAATGCCGGGAAGGGGCTGCCAGGTTGCTGAATGCATGCAATGCTTCAGTCTGTCACATTCCATTAGCCGGGCACCGTAAAAAAACACCTTAGTATTCACAGCAGCACTTTAAACAAATATCTACACAAGAATGTTGTATTGTCCTTCACATAACAGTTTTATCAAAATCATGTCCACAGTACATCGGTTTTCAGGAGAAAACATGTCTAAAATCACTCAGTCGCGTACATTCACACATTGTGGTGGAAAATGCACGGACTGGTTCACCACAATAAGGGTCCCGTCACACAGCATTAGCCCTGCAAGACATCTCTGCTCTCTGTCCTGCGCTACCGTGTCACAAACGAGCTTCTTCCATCGACAACAGTCAGTCCACAGTCACTGGACAGTGGACGGTCAGCCTTCCGTCCATCATTACAGCCCAGCGAGACGGCAATGCTACCGCTCGCATGCTGCAGCATGATCAGCCCGGTTACAGATTCCTCAGAGATCCGGCCTTGGCGCTAAAGAAGACACATAACACCTCCTCCTCCTCCACAGAACGTACACCGTCTACCGACACAGCACGGACGCTAACACTCCACACCTCTGCTCTCCAGTAGTTAGTGAGCTCGGTTTATCCGAGTCTCCGACACTCTCTCTCCCCGAGAGGTTGTCACTTGTTCTCTAGAACGGCCGGTGGCCGGGAGGGAAGCCGGGTCCCGGAGGTCTGAAGCCCGGCGGTGGTCCGCCCTGCGGAGGGAAGAATCTGTGAACAGAGACGAACCGAGGGTTAGAGACTGGTGCCGGGGAGGGGCGTGGTGCCGCAGCTGCTGCTGAAACCAAGCTTCAGACACACTTCTTAAGAGCATTGCAATCATATCAACAGTTAACAATGGGTCTGTTCCAGTCGCACTTTCTAACACCTCTAAACTCCTCTAAGAGCAAGATAGAGGAGGTTGGAGCAGGGCCCTCCTTGGCTTTGTAGGGGCTAGAGCTGCCACTGGAACAGGGAAGCAATCTTGGAGGAGTTTAGAGGTGTTAGGAAGTGCAACTGGAACAGAACCAATGATCCTTCTGAGTGGGCTGGTTCTAATGAAAAAAACTGGCCCATAGCCGCAACAATGAATGAACATTTTAATGCTTGTCTGTGAAGGCACGACTGGGTTGGATATGGTGACAGGACAGGTAGGCGGCTAAGGCTCATCCAATTTCGATGCCGTGGCGCCTCAGAGCAGAGGCTCTGCGCACAGAGCTCAATGCTCTCCATCCATTCGTTGCAATACGTGAAAGGCCCACAAAGTAACGAGAGCTCAGAATAAGGACGGTGCGAGACGCACTGTGAAAAGGATCCTATCAGTCGATGGTCTTTTGACAGGAATATTTTCGTGTAAGAGCGGACGATCTTGCCGTGGCGACAGGGAAACTCACTGACACACAAACGCGCAAGCGAAGACTGAACAAATACATAGACAGGAACGGAAGGATCAATGAAGGCAGTTATGCATAGGCAAGTGGTGACTGCCAACAGCGTAAAGCAGACGCAAAAAGGCCAACAGAAACATCCTGCTGTCGACTGTCTACAGGAGTAGTGCCCTTCCCAAGTCGACAGAACAGCCCCCGATAAGTATGCCGAGTGCTAGACTAGCCCTACATCTCTACACTTGTCAGAAAGCAGCGGAAGCCGGGCGATCATGGACTGGCTTGGCTACAATGAAACTGTGCGAGAAAGTTGTTCTTACTTTGACAATGTCATCTCCAAAGGTGCGTATCTTCATTGTGAAGTTCAAGCTTCATTCGTTCGGTAGGAATCGGAAAGATGACGTCAATTTGCGCTTGATGATCTGTTGTTATAACTGATCTGTTATAAATGCGCTATGCTGTCACTTTATTACAGACCCCTACTCTACGCTCCCCTCTTTCTTACAATGGTCCACTCTTCTACACAACACAATCCTCTCCCAAGAACCGGTCAGGCCCTCTCCTCCGGGACCCTGTGAGCCGTGCCCGTGGGACGGGGCGGCGGCGACTCCTGGGGGCGGGAGGTCGGCCGGTCGCGACCCGCACCAATAGCCACAGCAGCGGCCGGTCCCCCTGGGTGCCTCAGAGGCATTGTGAGGGCGGTGACGGCGACGCTGGCCGTTTTTATCGCTGTGCCCCAGGGATCGGAACTCGGGAGAACCCCGATCAGCACCATCACCACCGCCGACACAGCCATCCGCAGCTGTCCCCGGTCGACAGTCCGCGGCCTCCGTAAACGGGTGTCTATGGGTGACCAATGTCCACGGGTGTCCATAAGTGTCGATGGGTGCCTGCCTATGGGTGACGACGGGTTCTGATGGCGCGGGTCTGAGGGGCAGATTGGGCTCAGACCGCACGGTGGACGCTGGTGTAAGTACACTCAATAAAAGACTGATAAGGGGACAATAATGTGAACCTAAATGCAACCACTGAAACATGCGGTGTTCGTGTTCTTGCAAACATAACAACAAATGTTGCTAGAAGATATTGCAAAGAAGTATTGTAAAACGCCGCCAATCCTTTCCACAATGCTATGTAAAATGTCAGACAAAAGTCTCATAGCCAGCCGTATGAGAAAAAGTAGGTCTGGAGCGTTATTCTCCGGCCCCACCTGCCTGCTCCGCTCCATATTTCAGCAGAACAGCGCGCTCACCGGTGTACAGGGGCGGTACGGGCCGACATTTCTATTACCGGGGGAGGAAGTGGGCGCGCCCGGTGCTCCAGACTGCCCCAGCCAACTGTGAGTCGACCGAGTGACCCCGCCAGGGCTGTCAGCGCGGGGCAGACAGACAGTCTACTCACCTTTCAGACCAGACCAGACACAACAGCCCTCCCCGGCAGGGCCGGCAGACAGACCCGTCTGTTCGCCTCTCCGACCAGACATCCTCGGCCAGACCAGACACACTGTCATTCCGTGGCCGGTACAGACCCAGACCTAACCTAGCCATCATCAAGAAATTATTGAGATTGGTTAATGTCAGAGGGATTCTTGATAGGAATACCTCTTACATTTGCTCTTTGTTTCTTCAGATGCATGCGACTAATTATAAACCAGACGATAATACATATCTCCCGATCACAGGTCAGGCCTGCTACGGTCCCAACCGCTAGGCGTCATACATCTCCGGTTGATTAAACCTGGGTCCCTTACTGATGTTAGTTTTCGGACTTTCGTCCCCGTCTTGAGTTGAGATGTTAGTTTCACAACGTTTCGGCCAGTTACTTCTCCGGCCGTCGTCAGGTGTTCTTTGGCCCTTAGAAGGACCTGGATGTTGGTGGCGTTGCGCCGTACGCGTCATACCGTTCGAAAGCTCCTGTAGTCAGCGGGAATCGAACTCGGGTTTCCCCGGTGATAGTCCACGGTTCTAACCACTCCACTATCGAGGCAGACATCGTTATGGAGCTGGAAACTTGGTGTCATTTATCCCCCAGATGTTTTTGTGATTTCCTTAGTAGTGGGAGCCATATTGGGCTGATGTCAACGCTTGGCTTGCTGATGGGGTTGCTAGCCAGCGCCATGTGTGCGGCTTCCTTGATTTTTCTGATTTTCCAGTGTGGCTCCTTGTCGATGATGGTGGTATCATCCCAAGCAGGTCTGTGATCTCCTTCAGACCATGCATGCTCCGCCACACCGGATTTCAGTGTTTCGCCTCGGATGGTGGCCTTCCTGTGTTCTTCGAGCCTGACCGCCAGTGGGCGGCCAGTCTCGCCCTTGTATGACCTGCCGCAGCTGCACGGGATGTCGTATATGCAGTTCTTTGTTTGCTCCTTGGTGGTTGGCGGTCTGACCTTTGTGAGTGACCTGCGGAGGGTGGTGGTACTTCTGAACACCGTCCTGATGTTGTATGCTCCGCAGATTCGCCTTAGCTTCTCTGACAGTCCTCTGTTGTATGGGAGGGATACTGTCGCGATTGGCTTATCCCTTGGTTGTTGTTGGGATGCTTCCTTGGGTTTGTGTTTCATGAAGCTCGTTGGGTATCCGTTTCTCCTGAAGGTGCTGGTAAGGCGTGACATTTCCATCTTTCTGGCTGCTTCGTCTCCACAGATGTTGGTGGCTCGGGTCTGCAGGCATCTTACGATACCTTTCTTGACTGTGTCTGGGTGGTGTGACTTGAAGTTGAGGTAGCGGTCGGTCGCTGTTGGTTTGCGGTAGACCGATGTTCTGAATGCTTCCTCAGATTTCTCCACTTGGACGTCAAGGAATGGTAGTTTGTTGTCGACTTCTGTTTCCATTGTGAATTGGATGGAGGGTCGGAGGCTGTTGAGGTGGTCTAGGAACGGTGTTATGTCCTCGCGATGGTCCCACAGGACGAATGTGTCGTCGACATATCGCAGCCACAGGGATGGTTTCAGTGGTGCTGTTTGTAAGGCCAGTTCCTCGAAGTGTTCCATGTAGATGTTGGCGATCACCGGTGACAGGGGTGAACCCATGGCCATTCCTTCAGTTTGTTGGTAGTAGTCATCGCCCAGTTGGAAGGCGGTGGTGGTGACACAGAATGTCAGGAGTTCCATGATGTCATCAGTCGGGATTGTCGTTCTTTCGGGCAGTGTATCGTCGCTCTCCAGTCTTGTCCTCACTATGCTCAGAGCTTCGGTAGTGGGCACATTGGTGAACAGACTCACCACATCGAAGCTTACCATTTGCATGTTCGGCGAAGGTCGCATGGCCTGAACCAGTGAGACGAAGTGGGCTGAGTTCTTGACATATGTAGGTGTTTTGCCACTCAGTGGGTTGATGATCTTGACGAGGAACTGGCTCAGAGGATGGCAGGCTGAGCCACGGCAGCTTACTATTGGTCTTAGCGGTACATTGGTCTTGTGTACCTTTGGCAGCCCGTACATGTGTGGAAGTTTGCTGTGATGTTGGCTCAGCTTTCTGTACTGGGCGTCCGTGAGTTGTTCCTTGTCCTTGTTCTTCTTAAGGAGCTTTGTTAGTTTGCGTTCGCAGGCCGGGGTTGGGTCGAACGCAAACTAACAAAGCTCCTTAAGAAGAACAAGGACAAGGAACAACTCACGGACGCCCAGTACAGAAAGCTGAGCCAACATCACAGCAAACTTCCACACATGTACGGGCTGCCAAAGGTACACAAGACCAATGTACCGCTAAGACCAATAGTAAGCTGCCGTGGCTCAGCCTGCCATCCTCTGAGCCAGTTCCTCGTCAAGATCATCAACCCACTGAGTGGCAAAACACCTACATATGTCAAGAACTCAGCCCACTTCGTCTCACTGGTTCAGGCCATGCGACCTTCGCCGAACATGCAAATGGTAAGCTTCGATGTGGTGAGTCTGTTCACCAATGTGCCCACTACCGAAGCTCTGAGCATAGTGAGGACAAGACTGGAGAGCGACGATACACTGCCCGAAAGAACGACAATCCCGACTGATGACATCATGGAACTCCTGACATTCTGTGTCACCACCACCGCCTTCCAACTGGGCGATGACTACTACCAACAAACTGAAGGAATGGCCATGGGTTCACCCCTGTCACCGGTGATCGCCAACATCTACATGGAACACTTCGAGGAACTGGCCTTACAAACAGCACCACTGAAACCATCCCTGTGGCTGCGATATGTCGACGACACATTCGTCCTGTGGGACCATCGCGAGGACATAACACCGTTCCTAGACCACCTCAACAGCCTCCGACCCTCCATCCAATTCACAATGGAAACAGAAGTCGACAACAAACTACCATTCCTTGACGTCCAAGTGGAGAAATCTGAGGAAGCATTCAGAACATCGGTCTACCGCAAACCAACAGCGACCGACCGCTACCTCAACATCAAGTCACACCACCCAGACACAGTCAAGAAAGGTATCGTAAGATGCCTGCAGACCCGAGCCACCAACATCTGTGGAGACGAAGCAGCCAGAAAGATGGAAATGTCACGCCTTACCAGCACCTTCAGGAGAAACGGATACCCAACGAGCTTCATGAAACACAAACCCAAGGAAGCATCCCAACAACAACCAAGGGATAAGCCAATCGCGACAGTATCCCTCCCATACAACAGAGGACTGTCAGAGAAGCTAAGGCGAATCTGCGGAGCATACAACATCAGGACGGTGTTCAGAAGTACCACCACCCTCCGCAGGTCACTCACAAAGGTCAGACCGCCAACCACCAAGGAGCAAACAAAGAACTGCATATACGACATCCCGTGCAGCTGCGGCAGGTCATACAAGGGCGAGACTGGCCGCCCACTGGCGGTCAGGCTCGAAGAACACAGGAAGGCCACCATCCGAGGCGAAACACTGAAATCCGGTGTGGCGGAGCATGCATGGTCTGAAGGAGATCACAGACCTGCTTGGGATGATACCACCATCATCGACAAGGAGCCACACTGGAAAATCAGAAAAATCAAGGAAGCCGCACACATGGCGCTGGCTAGCAACCCCATCAGCAAGCCAAGCGTTGACATCAGCCCAATATGGCTCCCACTACTAAGGAAATCACAAAAACATCTGGGGGATAAATGACACCAAGTTTCCAGCTCCATAACGATGTCTGCCTCGATAGTGGAGTGGTTAGAACCGTGGACTATCACCGGGGAAACCCGAGTTCGATTCCCGCTGACTACAGGAGCTTTCGAACGGTATGACGCGTACGGCGCAACGCCACCAACATCCAGGTCCTTCTAAGGGCCAAAGAACACCTGACGACGGCCGGAGAAGTAACTGGCCGAAACGTTGTGAAACTAACATCTCAACTCAAGACGGGGACGAAAGTCCGACAACTAACATCAGTGATACTAACACCTCGTCTCAAGCATTCAGAAGAACTATACCTGGGTCCCTTACCGACGCATACTTGTCGACTTTATGCTCTGCTATTTCCCCCATATACGCAAGTTCGCTATATTTGAAGCGCTAACAACGCTCAGCTCGGTACGTACATCATTAGTGAGAGGGTCGTTCTGTGCACTTGAATAAACCGATTTACTACGCAATACGCATACCATTCAATGCATACTGCACAATACGCCGTGTAAATAACGATGTCACTGAACTTCAGTCGCTACCTTATTTCCTTACCCATACCAACACGTTATCATTATTCCACAGCAAACCCGTCCTACTCCTGTGTCCATTTTTACCTTCCGGTCTCGGTCTCGGTCTCGGTCTCTCTCTCTCTCTCTCTCTCTCTCTCTCTCTCTCTCTCTCTCTCTCTCTCTCTCTCTCTCTCTCTCTCTCTCTCTCTCTCTCTCTCTCTTCTCTCTCTTTCCACTGGTTGCAACAAGATTAGTGTCTCCCCACGTCCAGTACCTACAGATGACCGTCTACCTCACCCCGACTGAATAACCTCTCTTTGGCATCCTCCGTCTCCCTATGTGCGCAGTGCCATGGACGGTCAGAGACGCGGCCGCCCCGGCCCCGGCACGTACCGGAAACCCCCGATACATGCGCGGCCGGCGCGCCCGAGATCAAATATAACACCACTCCTCCGGGGAAATCTTACAGATTCGGACACACTTAGGACAGCTCGAGGAAAAACCAATTTCACAAAAAGACGACAAAGGTCACTATCTCAGTTCTGATCTGGGTCAATAAAATATTAGTCGACGACCTTTTACAGAGCCTCTTTTGGTCATAGCCGCGATCACAAAGGTCTTAGTCCTAAATAACCAATATCGGCCAGTCCGAGCGCGGTGGACGGGTCTAAACTCCAACAAAGCGGGACATTGGTTGTAAATCTCCCTGTCGAAAACTCGCCACAGCACCCCATCAGTTCCCTGGTACCCGACCGCAGCCGGCCGGATCTATGATGTGTCGGGCCGCGGGGAGGTCTCTACAGGTCAGGTCACTGTGCCGGGACGGTGGGAGGGGAGGAGGGCCAGGTGTAGAGGTCATCCCGTCAGGAGGGACACCACGCGTTGCCGGTGCGCAGGGCACGACAGACGACTGACAGACGGTGGCCGGAGACGTGACTCTCCACCCTGCGGTGCCGGCGGCGAGGGAGACAGCCCCACCACTACCAGCGGCGGCCGCGCCGCTACATCAGTGGCGCTGTTAGATCAGATCGCATTAGGTGAATGAGGGCGGCAAATGGGCGCAGGGCGAGGCGGAGCATCGCTCACGGCACCGCCGGCCGGCTGACCCAGGGGAGCGCTCCCGCCGCGGCGGCGTACGACAGGGGCGACGGAGGTCACAGGTCAGTAACGAGGGAGGGGCCTGAGAGGCCACAGATCAGAGGGGCGGGAAAGACCTGAGAGGTCACAGGTCAGTAACGAGGGAGGGACCTGAGAGGGCTCAGGACAGTGACGAGAGAGAGGGCACAGATCAGGGGGCGGGGAAAGACCTGAGAGGTCACAGGTCGGTGGCGAGGGGGAGGCCTGAGAGCGCGCAGGTCAGAAGGGCGGAGGAAAGACCCGAGAGGTCACAGATCAGTAGCGAGGGAGGGGCCTGAGAGGTTACCAGTCAGAGGGACAGGCCAGGGGAGAGAACAGACGAATGGAAGGGGCTAAATGAAGAGTCAGAAAAACTGTGTACAGATGTTATTCAAAAAGGGTGGACTGGTAAGCTCCATGTAGGCCAGCTATGGAGTGAGGACACGGGTGAAGAGGATGGTATCCGGTAGGACCACAAGACGCCTTAGCCGATTTGTGCATTACCCAGCTGAAGACTTTGTTTGGAAGTGCTAGTGCCCCGCTGGTTGAAAGCCTCTAGCAGGCGCTGCCGGTTCTCGTTACCTACTTTATCCTCTCCTGAATATGCCATGGGATATGGGAGCCACTACATAGAGGGACAGAGTTTTCGAAGGTTTGACCAGAAGGGACCCAGCGAAGTTGCTTGGGTGCAATAAAGTTAGACCGTGGTTGAGGCAGGGTCCATCACCATTCAAACTATCCAGAGGTGAAGTAAATGCATTGCAATGCTATTGAAACCTCACCAATATGACATTTGAAGGTCACACTGGCTACTCAACCTCAGGAAATCGACTGCAAAATACCCGGCCGCTTCGAAACCGCATCCTGCTCGTTCAGAGGACATTTCCTCACACACCTACCCCCAGAGAACCGGACTACACTCGGCCACAGCAGCGACCACATACCCCTCCGACCGCCCCCTACCCGTCCAGCCCGACGGCTCTGACCCGACCACTTCCGAGAACAGTGCCGAGGTCCGGCAGCCGACAGCGGCGACCACAATGCACGCCTCATGTGTCGACGCGCATTAACGGCGGCTGTCGGCGCGCGGCGTGTGAATGCTGCCGGGTCCAGTCACGTCCCCGATCGCTGACCGCTGACCACTGGGGAGTGACCGGGGTGACCAGCGAGGGAGAGGAGAGGGAGGAAGAGGGAGAGAGGGGAGACAGACGGAGAGAAAAGGCCGAGTGGTGCGCTCTAACAGTGTATTGTCAGCAGAGACAGAGGCGGGGGCGGCCGGAGGCTCGGCGGATCACCAATCCAATCGGTACGGCCGAGTCGGCGGCAGCGGATCAGGACAATGGGCGGCGGAGCGAGCCACCAGTCAGCTGCTGACTGGTGGGCTGCTGTGAGCCGCGGTCAGCGCTGACTGTGAGCGGCGGTCAGCTGCTGCTGGTGAGCCAGCGTGAGCGACAGTCAGCAGCCGGTGGCGAACAACGAACCTTCAGCAGCACCTGACCAATCTTTGTGATATCAACTCTTACTGAGTCGAGAATTACCGCAGGGACTCTAACTATCACGGCACAACAAAGGAAATAATGGGTAATAAGAGGGCACCTGACACACGACAGGACAGCTAGCAGGCTTTAGGGCTCGGAAGCCAGGCGACCTTGCCACTAATTCGCTCCATCACAGCACAGCGCTCTATGTCGACATTGGCCGAGATAGCCCTTCCATCCGCAGTGCTCACGTCACCGCACTTAACAACACCTGAGAAATATCGGGTGCTAAGCCCGTTTAAGCTCAATCAGGAAAGCAGCTCGGTTAGAGCTATAACGCCGACAAGCCAATAATTAACGAAAATTGATGGAGAAGCATCTAACAGAAACAGTAACAGCCACGAAACGCACAGGAAAAACGCATCGCCGAGGAAGGAAATAAGACATCACAAGGCTGAACAGACCATAGCTCAATTCTGCTTTGGTCACCAGACAATACACCTCACATGAGTGACTAGAACAGACATCCCGATCCCTGACACTAAGCCGCTCTCTTTGGGTTCAGTCTGGCCGTTCGCCACGCCACTCGGCACCCGGGGTCAGGGTCGTCACCATCGATATTCAAGGAGAACACTTGTGCCGGAGGTCGATAGCGTCTGCCACACGGCCTCTCAGGGAATCGGAAAATGATCCAGCGTAGGATCTGATATCAGCACCGCTCGTCTGGTAAACGGCAGGACGCCGAGGCGCAGACTCACGTGGGTGGACTTCTGTGTGCGGTAGGATCGGCCAGGGCGCTGGGTTTAGAAATGCTCCGGGACTAGGTAATGCAAATTAAGGCGAGGAGCACAGACACTAGGCGAGGAGCACGAGCAGCCTAGACCCTGTTCAGCTTGATCGAGAGAGCTCAGCGACACAGCCGGAGCCGCAGTCGCCCAGCGGCGTCCTAAACCACCTACCCTCTGTTCGGTGGCATTCCGCCGGGCGGGAACGGTGGCGGCGGCGGCGGCGGCGCGCTGCTGGGCGGGGGCGGCGGCGGGGGCGGCACGGACGCGCCCGGCGGCGGCGGGTACTTGGATGCCGGCGGCGGGGGCGGCGGCGGGGGCACCGCCCCACCCTTACCGTCCGCCGGGCCCGACGGGAACCTGCGACAGTAGAGAGAATGATGGTGTCAACAATTAATCTAGAATATTAGTTGGCAGATTAAAGAGCAGCCTTTAGACATATGAAAAGCACGACGACCTAGACCACAACGATGTATGGGTTTTGGCACCGAGTCCAAACACTATTCCCCACTACCTTTGGCAGCACAGAGGGACAAACACCTTCCCACGTCTAACTCCGACACCGAACCCACCCTCTCCCCATCTTCCCACTCACCCGAACGGCGGGAACTGGGGCGGGAACGGCGCCGCCGGGCCGCCCGGTCCCGGAGGCGGCGGCGGCGGGGGCGGTGGAGGCGGCGGCGCCGCGGCTCCCGCGTGCGGCGGGTACCCGTACCCAAACGCCCCGCCCGGCGGCGGCCCGTAGCCAAAGCCGCCGAACTGGGGCGGCTGACCACCGGACGCGCCGGGCGGGCCGCCGCCGGCGGCGGCCGGGGCGGGGGCGGCGGCGGGGGCGGCCACGGCCGGCGGCTCCGCCTTCACCTGCAGCGGCGGCGTGGAGGGCGCCGATTTTCGCAGCTCCCGGCCCGGCGTGAGCTCGGCGGCCGGCGCCGCTGGGAGGAGAGAGTCCGGGTTACTGAGGTGAAGCATGGGGTCTGGTCTGGCATGGGGTCTCTTTATAAACTACTACTACTACTGGGAGACGGACACAAACACATTACACTCACAGACATTAACAGAGGCATACAGATAAGCATACATACGGCAAATAACATCCAATAGCAGTCAGGAACGCAAGAAAGGAAGGTACAAGACCAATAAGACAGCTAACACACCAGTGCAGCTCCAATGAAGCATAACGGTTTTCCTAGTCTCCAACACAATCTAAGCCTCCCGATCAAGGATACATTCCCAGGTCATTTAAGCTGGCTTCGTACCATTCCAGACCACGCGTGTAAGCGCGCACAATGCACGTGTATGAATAAGGAGAAATACGACACCAGCCTAACTCCTGAACACAATCTGGCATCCGGAGACTGCGTGAGGGTGTGAGTGTGAATGAGTGAGTGAGTGAGTGAGTGAGTGAGTGAGTGAGTGAGTGAGTGAGTGAGTGAGTGAGTGAGCGAGTGAGTGAGTGAGTGAGTGAGTGAGTGAAAGAGTGAGTGAGTGAATAGGTAACTGATTGGGTGACTGATTTACTGACTGACTGACTGTCCTGACTGACTAGCTGAACAAATGAGATGTTCCTACCCGGCAGAATCTGATAGGAGAGGTCGTTCCGCGCCCCCCGCCCTCCCGTGACCGTCTGGCCTACCGGACCTCCTCCCTCATAAATAGACACTTCTCCGTATCGCCCGGCCCCCGTAAGTAGGCGCATCAATACTGAACGGCTCTCCCGGTCCCGCAGGAGCACGAACGTGCCCGTCTCCCCGTCCGGACGAGGCTGGTCAGTCTGAGGCTACGTGTAGGCACAGGTAAAGTCTACCATGCTCCGGCCGACAGTGGCTAGTCAGTCTGAGGCTCCGTATAAGTATGGGGATAGTCTGACCGAGCTAGGGTGCCTCTCGGCCTGTGTAAAGACAGTAGGGGGTGGCACCTACCCAGCGATGCCGGGTCGACTGCAGGCGCCGGCGGCTCCTGCTTGGGCACAGCTGCGGCAGCCGGAGCGGCCGCGGCGGCGGGGGCGGCCGGGGCGGGGGCGGGGGCGGCAGACGACTGGGGCGGGCTCTCGGCCGCCACACCAGCCACCTTGGTCTGCTGGTACAGGTCTAAAACCTGGTGACAGATGTCTGAAACAGAGCAGAGACGTCAGTTATCTTCGGTGAAAATCCCGCTACTCTGTTGGGCGTAAAGGTGCAGATTTCTGGAGTTCAAACTATAACGTTTTCGGTTTCCAGAAATAACCGACTTTTCTGCTCACGACACCAAAAACCCAAACGAAAATTGTTCCACTGCACGTCTGTAGCTACCACAAAACTTCCTTAGTTTTTTTTCCAGACTAGCCCATTTCGTTCGGCTTCACGTGGGCCATCCGACCGTCTGGACTCAGACACACCCGACCGCCAGCCGATCGCTACAAACTACACCCATTGGACTGCAACTCGGAGTACAACAGCCTGAGCGCCGCCAACGCGCGACCCAAAACATGGACAGACAGGTCACCGGTCGCGGTCTGCTCGACTGACTCCCACAACACCGTTTCAAACTCTGTTAGTCGCGTTCCGGTTCCGGCATCGTTCGTTACTGCTGTCAGCGGACAGTGAGACTTTCATAGATAGAGGATGAAATGACTACTGATTCCAGACAGCTCAGACCAGCGCAGACCAGTGCCGACCAAATGAGGCCAGTTCAGACCACGTCAGATTAAGTCGTCAAAAATCTGGCCTACACCAGATCAGTACGTATCAAGTTACACGTCAGCCTACTCTAGGTCAGGTTAGTCTAGAGCTAAACCTATGGTAGGTCAGGGCAGAGACACACCGATTCAAGGAACTGTACAAATCAAAAGGTCGTGTCTTATCAGACTGACGGAAATATACGGGACAAATTTGACCACCTTTGGGGATTCACAGCTGAGTCTAAAGTCTCCCGCCGAGTACCCGCCGTTAGGTGAACCGTAGCACTCCATACTCCGAGCGGCAGATGGCTGGTCCAGCGACCGGCACATTCTCCCAGCACCGGATCAAAGTAGCTAGACAGCCACCAAATGGATGACGCTAGTGCGTGCCCGGCAATCGCAAATCCCCCACGGAGTGACTGCACAATGCTCAGAGGCCGGCGACAGAGGCACACACGGGAGACTGTCGAGCCGGTACAAGAATAGCTAACTGAACCGGGGATATCCCGTGTCAATGTCAGTCCACCTCGTCCCTGATCTAGGACCGGAGACGCTGCCGCTCCTAGCACTCTACCGTGCTTCCCCAGTACTCTGCCGAGCAGCCCTCTCCCGAGCCCCCACAGCGTCCCTGATCTATGATTCAGGACACTGCTGCTCCTATCCCTCTACCATGCTTCCCCAGTACTCTTCACACGGCGATCTAGTCCCCAGCGCTGAGACCGGCCGGCCGAGCCGCCGTCCGGGCACCAATCGTCTCCGGCCGGCCGGCCGGCTGGAGAGCCCTTCAGACCGGCTGACGGGGCCTCTCCGGAGCAGACACGGGGCCTCTCCGGAGCGGACGGGAGCGCCGGAGTCAGCAACACAGTCACCGCCCGGGGAGGTGTGGGAGTTGCGGATGGGACGGGACTGACCAGAGGTGAGTGGTGACAGCGATAGAGGCCACAGGGCAGGGATATCTCAGGATGGCTTAGAAAGGCAGGTCGATAGCCGAGGCTAGATGACTAATGACGTGGTGGGAATAGAAGCAGAGATGACACCGGCTTATCAGCTGTACTCCAGCCTCACTCACGTTCCCTGCTTCTCCTCAATAATTCCTCTGCCTAGTAGTCAAGTGCACACCATTCTCGAAGTCAAGACCTCCTCACGGATGCCTCCCCTCCCCGTCCCCTTCTGACTGGGACCGGCCGCCCATGACGACAGGCGCCGTCCGGCCGGGAACAGTGCGGCTGCCCGACCCCAGCCGTGTCACCGTCTGTCCGATCAAAGGAGCGCTCACCCCGCGCCGCGCACACCGACACAATAGGCCGAATCCAATATCGCCGCGCCAGCTCCGACCGCCTTCACAATGTAATGCAATCAATCGAACAACGCCAAAATACGGGTCAGATGCACATCTATCCACCAATGACGCGATCTAATCAGAAATGTTATGCCGTAGCGCACACATACAAAAACGACCAGGTCCGGCTGCTATGTAGTTTGTTCGTATTAGAGCTGGACATCAAATAGCTCGAATATCACGTTCGAATGAGTCTGCCGAGTTATAGCTCGGCGCACTCACCCTCCATCAGTTCCATAGAGATGTCTTCGACGAACATGTCCCACCAGCGCAGGTGGTGCGGCTGACGACCCACCCAGTCCACCACCTCGAACTTGCTCAGCTTGCCGGCCAGGTACATCAGCGCGATCGCTGCAAACACGGAGAAACGGTCAGTGGTATGGCGGGAACAGGACTAATAATTGATTAACTGCAAATTGATCACTGATTAACTGCAGCACATCGCCCTATGATACAGTTTGCTGATCGTCACGCGGACGTGGATTTTCAGAACGCAAATGAAAATTTTTCGCAGTAAAGGTTTCACGCTGAAATGTGAGCTCAGCTACCTACTTTCGCTGGTATTCTCGGGATAAGACGCACACAGAACCAGCGCGAGCGCTGGGGAAATAAGGGAATGGATTGCGTGCCAGTGAAACATAAAGGCACGGGTAGTGTTGAACTTGGCGAGCACAAATCAAATGACGGGAACCATATCTCATCGTAAGCCGAGAAAGGTTCACACTGCAAGACACAGACAGATAACCACGTCCACAGCATCACTAAGACAAACATAAATCATCAGCGCAATAACTCATACAGAACTTCGAGTCGTCGCCCGCCGCCGGGCTTGCGAACGATGAACGGGGCCGGATGCCTGTAGGGCTAGGCTGTACCGGAATACACCAGTGTAATGCGGTACAGTATACCAAGACCACCGCGTCCAGCGCAGAGCCAGAGGGACAATTACAAGTTTCTGTTCGTTCGATGGATCGTCACGCAAGAAACACGAAACAATCTCTCGACTGCGCCTCCTCTGTCTCAATATCTGTCCCTGGTTCACGCTGCAATCACTACCGCAGTCAAACAACTCGCCTTCGGGGCAGCTAATTTTCCGCGCCTCCAAGTAGAAAACTCCTGGCTAACATAGTTAGTCTTGATATCTGCCTCGGCGGCGGCCGCCGCGCCGTGTTTCTGGCACGGACGGAGGTGATACCGGCCCCGCCTGATCCGAGTAGGGCCCGCAGAGGACGCGTCCCCGGCTCTCTGTGGGCCTAATGTCGACCATCGGTCAGTGCCGCCGGGAGTGACGCCCGACCGCGCCCCCGACACGGCAGCACGGGCGGCGGAGACTGCGGATATTAGAGGAGAAAGGTGCCTCTTCCGACGACAAAGGGAATGGGCACCTCCGTCAACAACAAAATCAGGGGTAACTTTATCGGTAGTGAAAAAGTGGATGGTGGTGTACGCAATTTTCAGCCTGTTATTGCAAGAGGTTCATTTGAATTCAAACAATCAATAAGTGACGATTATTTGCACAGAATAGCCATTGTTGGCAGCTGGCCAGTCCGCGTGTTCCATCCACCTCCCTTCGATTACCCTCGGTGCCAGTGTGACCCCGTGCTGGGTCGGTCAGCTGACCCCGGCAACTGAGTGCCTGTTCCACTCACACGCGCTCTGATCCGATCTGATCCGGCCGCCTTTCGGCGCTCGGCGCCGTTCGGCAGTGGCACGCGCCGCATACAAACGCCCTCATAGGGAGCAGCGGAGAAACGGCGGCGGCACCGGGACCCCAGCGGCCGCGGACGGCGGCACAGCCGCACACATTAGCAAACATTGCCACTGCCGGCGGCCGCAGAGGTCGGCGGGCCGGGCCGGGTCGGGTCGGCAGTCGGCACCCCGCGGTGGGTGACCCGGCGACGACCGTCCGACGGCGGTCCGACAGCTGAATGCCGACCGCAGATAGCGAGACAAAGGCGGTACGACAGACGGCAGCGGCGGTCCACCGGGGAGAGAGACGGGCAGAGGAGAGACAGAGGGAGGGGAGAGAGAGAAGAGGAACAAGAGAGAGCGAGTGGAGAAATACCAAGATACAACAGCTCTAGGAGCAGCCATGGAGCGGAGTGGCAATAACTTTTGACGCATCATCAGAGCGGCAGCCGACCGTCTCTCGGGATTAATCGCTGGCCGTTTAGCACGCTGGCACGCTGGCAGCTATGCAGGAAGGCAAGCCCAGCGGTGAAGAGCCACCGTAGCGCACGTAAGCCCCAGTTGCGTCAGCTTCACCGGCCAACAGCGCCGTACCAGTCGCTCACCCTGTCTGCTCGTAAACTGCCCGAATCGAGCAGGGTCATACGCGACTCCGGCTGTCTAGGAAACAACTCAGTGGATGGCTCATCGGCCGAGGTGAGGCCTCTCGACAACCGATGCCACATCCTCAGCGGCGGCGTCCTTAGCTCACAGATCATAGACAAGATCAAACTCCAACGGAATACGAGAAGAAACGGACAATGGACATCGCTCCCCTCTAGCACGCAAATCAGGCACACCAAACTCACTGCGTTTGTCGGATGTGATGCAATATAGCTCATCCCGAGATAAATAGCGCAATAAAGCATGATTGAGAACAGCAACAAACAAGTTAATTGCATATTTACATTCAGACACTGGGCTTTCCGCTAATTGCTGGCGAAATGGGAAGCGAAAGAAGCACGCTTTATTTAATTACGTAGCTCACTGCATTTCAATGACCCACCCGGCTTATCTCAGCAAACCGAGTCTACAAACGTAATTTATGAACGGAGCCCACATGCAAGTGGTGCAAAATCATGTTGACTGCAAATGACGGTGCAAAGAAGAGAATTAGCTATTTGCAACGCAACATATCAATTGCACTGCCCATTAGTGAGCTGCATAACGTTCAATCGTCAAAGCTTACGAGTTGTATTCCCAACTATGAACTACACCCTCAATCCAGTACCTAAATATAAAAAGATGGCTCAAACTGTTTTTGAACCAGTCAACATTTGGGAATCGTAGTTGCAGTTATTATGAACCAGATTACCAGTGCCGCCCATGAACGTCCCATTCCGCGTGCCTCGTGATCAATGAGCTAAGTTACTTTTTCTAAGTTATTGACGCTGGCCCATTTTTTTACGATACAATCGGGCAACTAAAATGGATTATATCAAGTCTGTTTGCTGTGCGACATTCAATTTACGTCAATAGCTTAACTAACGTCACACACAGACGAAGGATATAAAAATCGCAATAAACATTGAGAGGAATGCTATTTTATTGTATTACTTGCACGTTCACTGTTCGAGAATCCTGCAAACGGTCTACCTTACCTTTAGCGTAATGGCCGCGTGAAGTGCTTCATATAAACTGAAGCGGATGTCTCGGCATCGCATTCAACTTCGTGGAAAAGAGCATATCAACGATCGAGCCTGGGCTTTCAGGCTACCTACGCACTTAATCTCAGTAGGGTGGCTGACCAATAGTCGCGACCGTGGGTGTAGCTTTATGAAAATCATTGGGGTGATCAATATCGGTACTTACCAAAGATACCCTGAATCTATACTCCCACGTTACTCCCTTTGTTAAAGGGACCCTCCCAACTTAACATCAGATTTGAGTTGAGATAGCCAAAATGGGGTCCCTGGTTCACAATTACTGGTTTCGGCACTCACAACATCGAGCAATGCCTTAAATCGGAAATATTGAATTTCAAAATTGCAGCATTTTGATTCAGAGGGGCTAATGCAGAGGAATACCCCTCTGAATGTGTGACGTCAGCGCAGATATCTAACGATTTTTAAATGTTTGACTAAAACGTTTTGTAGCACGCGGTGGTATATGCTGCTTTGCGCGCAACAAGTGTCGCACTTTCAGCTGCCAAACTATTGCTTCCAAAGAAGATCGCTAGGAACAGCGGAGATCCCAAAAAGTAAACAAAAGCAAAAGTCTAATATCTTGAAAACCGGTGAATATTTTTCGGTGAAATCTGGTAGATATTCGTTTTCGCTCTTTCTGAACCGAGCGACATCACTTTCATGCCAATTCATAAACTTTTTTGAAGGTGGGAGGGTCCCTTTGATTACTCAAAGGATTCTTAGCTGAACATTGGGGCGCTCAATCACTTACAGAGCAGACATGTGCTTGGATCCGGAAAAATGGATCTGAGATCCGATCCCATGGATCCCGATCCGAGATCCATTCAGATCATAGATCCAACCCCTCAATTTTGTCGAGAGATCTACTGGGATCATAGATCTGACCCTTCAATTTTGTCGCTAGATCCACTCGGATCATAGATCTGGCTACCCAATTTTGTCGTGAGATCCATTGGGATCATAGCTCATAGGTGCTCAAAATGTTAACAACTTTCTTTCATAAGAAGTTATGAATACCAAAGTATGGTTAGAAACAAACAATCTTATACAAAGACCATATTAGTAAAGGCATCCAGTTACATTATACAGAATACAAAATAAAGGAGGCTCATGACGGTCACAACTTGAGAGAATTGAGTTGAGTGACATGAAGATTGTTCACAGTTCACATACCAACAGAAAAGTTTGCATTAACAATTAACATAGAGGTAAGTCAAAGTAATGACTAATGAACAATACATAACTAGGTACCTACCACATCACAATTCATGTTAGAATCTACATAATGATATTGATAAGACAATCTCATTGATCTTGCATTAGACAACCATGAGGCTTTCCAGTTTCCAGCTACCACAATTGATTGATAAACAATAAAAGATGATACTGACACATGTGGCTTGGTTAGGTAAAGGTATTTCAATCTATTGAAATAAATATTTGATAAAATAAACTGAGATATAAACAAAAGTATAAAAATATTCAACAGCCTGCGGAAGCGATGGGAAGCGAAATATCAATTGTAATGGATTTGGATATTTACCGTAAAATGATTATTCAGTATCTGAATTGAACTCGTGACGTCATTTCAAATAACAAATGAGCTAGGCGTTCTACCTTCGAGTATAATGAAAATAAATACAAAATCAAACTGGAAATTCAAAAGTCTGGAGCTTTTTTTTAAAGAATGTTCATTTTTTTCTGCCTCACATAATTTCACGATACGATTGTTTGTGAATATCATCTTTGTTGCGTTGAATTTAATGACGTAAACGTAAGCTGAAACGGTATTACATGGCCTTGAGCGGTGTGCGCCTTGCATCTTTATTTTATTCACTTTTCAAAAGAATAACAATATCTTACGTCATTAGTTTAAAGGGCCTTTTACGGGGAGTCTTTTGGAATCATTACGGTCTTGGTCAAATGAAGATTTTTCATTGGTCAAACGATAATGACGTAATAAAACCATATTACCAAAACGTGAGCTGTGAATTTCGTTTGTCTTTTTTTGGGAGGCTCTCTCATAACAAAAGCACAGCATGGCACCACACGTGGCAGTTGGCACCTGGTGCCAAAAGTGGCCAAAAGTAGGTAATCTGAAGAAGTTGATGCCATTTTTGAACTTGTAATTTTATTAGGAAAGTATTAGAGGTTGGTTGTTATTCTTACTAAATCGAAATTGTGTTGCACATACTAATAGCTCATATGAACATTCTGGATTGGGATTTCATACCTGGCAGAAGTGGATTGCTGGATTATTTTTAACGAAACTGACCTATTTGGCTTCCAGGTTTGATTTCCTAACATCTGTCCATAGGCGGCAGAACAGGGGGGGGGGGGGTGGCACCAGGGTACAGTGCCCCCCATAGATTTTGCCTTTGGCATTTTAGCATTAGCCCTACTGGCGTTGCAGAAAGAATGGGACCAAAATGAAAATCTGCAGTGCCCTGCTGCCACTGCATCTGTCTGTACTGTTTGTTCATTGAATTAAAGTGGCTGTAGCTTGTTGATAAGATTGTCATCAGTGCTGTCATGAAAAAGTTACAATTGGTCACAAAAAGTAGCAATATGCATTTTCTTGGTTTATTTTTAAATGTAGTACAAATGTTGTTTATTTAAATTCAAATTTAATGATGATACCTAATGATCACAAGTGGTCTTAACCAATAACCATGTCCACAAGTGATAATTCTCAATTGTATTGCACTGTAAGGTGTACAATTATGTAGGATAAGGGTTTCATTGGCTACATGTTGTCGTGAGATCCATACAGATCATAGGTCCTCCACAAATTTTTGCCCGCTGGATCCACAGAGATCATAGATCCGACCCCTAAATTTTGTCGAGAGATCCATTCAGATCATAGATCCAACCCCTGAATTTTGTCGAGAGATCCACTCGGATCATAGATCCAACCCCTCTATTTTGTCGAGAGATCCACTGAGATCATAGATCCAGCTCTCGGATCCAAGCACATGTCTGTTACAGAGAGATGTAAAGTTGCACCTGTGGCCACGCCTAGGTGATAGTTCGCTTAGATGTACAGCCGCCTGTTTCAGCACACCACTGGGAAAGCAAATACCTTTAAATCATCGAGAATCGATTGTCCGAGGGTAATGACTAAGCCCTATTTCACATTTTGCTCACAACGCATCATAGATTGCATGACACCGAAAATGTTAGCCAGTCTTCTGAGAACGCCGTTCGACAACTTGATCTACTACTCCTGAGAAGGCTGACACAGTAGCGCACATCCTGGTCCTATTAGCCGGCAGGTCTGCAATCATCGACGGCGCCTCATCTATAAATCAGTTCTGCGAATCGGACCCGATGCAGACGCCGTCAAACGGCCCACAATTGAGCCGTGTCTGGGTCAGCAGCGTACATTGGCAGCCGCCGCCCACAGCACCAGCTTGTTACCGGACATTCAGAAAACTGACCTACCGACGACCAATCACAGCTCGTCCGTAGACAGCTGGCCCGGTCAAGGTCATCCGATCGCGGCGGTGAAAGTGCAGGAATCGCCACTAAACAAAGCAGATCTCGGAGGTTCACACAGACGTTGAAAGCAAACCATGTTGATCAGACCTAACACTTATTTAAAAACAGACCAGTGGTCTGTTATTAAACGATAGTAGTCTGAGACCACTGTCGTTGATGAAACAATAACCAATGGAAAAGAAAGAAAACCGTCAAAGCTAGGGATAAGGGACAACAGAAGGCATACGCCACCACCCCAAGCCCCACCGACAGAGCTGAGGGACTGGGTGGGAGGCGCCCACTGACGAGACGCCGCGGAGGCGCGGACACCCAGGACTGTCATTACCGGGGACGCGGCCAGAGAATGTCAAACAGCCCCACACGGGAGCGACGTCCGCACGTCCGTATTCATTGCACGGTGTCCGCTTCTATTACATTTGCTGATATTCATGTTGCCGAATCGTGAACAACTACGTCCGGAAAAGATGATAAAGAAATAGTGTTTTTTTTTCGGCGGACGATGACGATCAGAGCACAAAAAGTGTGATAATGACGGTCCCTAATATGTGAGGCATGGTCACGTCACAAATACAATAATACAGGTAGCGCTGTGCCACGCTCGCTGGTGATCGTCAGACAATTCAACAGGACAGCGAGGAGAAGATAGAGAGATGGGTGGCTATGTATAATTATCTGAGAATCAGCGCAGCAATGCACCATTGGAATTGGCCACCCAACGAATGACAGTATTTGCTAGACAACGACTGAAAAAAGTAAGTCACAACGGGCACATACCTAAAAACATCATCGAAGACTAACAACTAATGGCAACATGGAGACTGGACATCACACTGCACTGGGCGACTGGAACGAATATACCATCACAGGGGCACATGACAACCCGAGCACCCAGTCGCCGGGTGGACAGATATACGGGCATTACAGGAACCGACCGGCAGTCTGACTGGCCTGTCACGATAAGTCCGGTATGAGTGACGTCAGAAAAGTTTAGTGGAACTGTGACAGGATCTCGCGAAAGTGCTGCGACCATGATAGACTTTCAAGCAACTGACAGCCGACACAAGATCTCACAAAACTGCAGTTGCCGCGACATTAACATGTGAAACTAATGACGACTTGACGGCCTGAGTTCATTTACTGTCAACGAGCTTGCTAAAAAAGGAGCCCAACTTAGCCCACCCGGACAATGAGTTCGATTATCCGGGAGCTGAATCATAAACGAGCCATAGATACACACAGCAAAGACGAGCCTTCAAACCGCACCAGTTCAGGCGGTGTAGTTACTGACCGGGGATAGACGAACACGAGCGACGGTAGGTGGCAGCATAGAGCACCCCGCTCCGAACCACCACCGCTGTCACCAGAGGAGAGAGAAGGATCGGCGTATCTTCTGGACCGATTGGACTAGGCTGGACCGCACTGGATTAGACCGAGCCATATCGGACTCAACTGAACAGGCGGGATGATCGACAGATTTGTGCTGGCTCGCACGTAATCATTGTGGCACGATTATGCATAGAGAGCCAAGACCGAAAGTGAGGGTTCAAACCACCGCGAACATCCTCCGTCACCTATCATACGTCATATATGGAATGTGAGCCTTTGAAACAATCACACATCTGAACGACTAGGAGATGCGCATTTTTTTAAAGCATAATCTCCATTTTTTCATTCTCTGTTCGACTATCTTTTCATCATTTCTCAAACGTCCAGCCACAAACTACGCCAGGCTGGATGGTGGTCGGTTTGGCTGAGCGCTGTTCAGGCGTTCATATCCCCAGACACCCTGTTCGTTGTCGAACTCACCGATAATCTCCGGCTCCCACTGCAGACTGAGTGTGGTGCACAGCGAGTCGTTGACGAACGTCCACGCCATCTGCACACACTTGTGCAGTTTGACCTTGTCGCCTGCCGGACAGACGGTAGGATCATCACAGGTCAGTGCAGGTTCGGGGAAGGACAGGGAAAACGACCAACAGCAGCACGGGGAACTACTATATTACGACTCAGTACGGAAGCAGCGCCGTAAAAAAAAACCGAAAAAAAAATGAACTGAAAGACATTTGTAACCGGCTCGTTTGTCGTTACATTTAGAGCCCACTGTGTTCAGCTCCATTTTAAGTCGCAGGACCAACGCAGCAATCCTCACCTTTGAGACACTTGGCGTATTTGATGAGATAGGTGTATGGGTGGTCGACCTGGAGGTCAAACTTGATGGTCTGGAGGAGAATACGCTCCATAGTCATCACCTCCTCCTAGGGGAGAGAAGAATGATGGGTTAGTAACGCCTATAGACACCGGCACAAACGCGGCGCGACACAGACGTAGCATCGTAACACAGTGGACAGACATTCTATCATCGCTGAACTGATCCAGGTACTGTTAGCGACTCAGAAACGCTAGTTTTATCGAATGGGAATGCCATCAAATAGATATAAATGGCTCTAACACTTCAAATATGTTCGTTTCCAGCTTCTAAGCACAATAATGTGAGAAATCCAGAGAATAACAACTTCACCACACACACGTTGTTTCGAACAACGCACCTTGGGATCGGCGCCAAACGCGGTGAATTTAGTGTCTGGCAGCAGAGTTTTGGCCACTTTGATGATGTCCTTGCACTTTTTGGGCGTCTCCTCAACCTTCCCGGCTAGGAACAGGCAGCAGCAGGCCGTCACCTGCGGTGTAAGATGCACCGGTCAGCTGGACATACCGCCCGGCGCCGGCAGCAGGGGGCGGTATGCTTGGGTTTATCGTCAAATAGGTACTGACATTCACCAATCTACTTTCTTTACATAGCCATTTAAGATAGTCATTAACATTGGAAATCGTAGCCCGTTTGAATCCAAGCTTGCCAGCCTCCACCCGATCGGCCTTGGCCCTTCCAGAGCTTGTCCCCCACTCCCCAGATCCTCCCATCACTCACATATCTGTCAAACTCCTTGAACGAGTGGAACATGTAGAAGCGATGCATGAACACCACTCCAGTGGCCACCGTGTCGTAGCGCAGGCCGATCTTGCTGCCCAGGTTCATGATGAACCGGGCGCCCTCGCGCCGGTACCGCATCTCCGTCTCCTGGCTGACCCCATCCTGAGCTGACGGCGTGGCCTTGAGGTCGCGCCGGTTGTAGAACCAGTACACCATGGCGAGGACAACTCAGTGCCAGTGGCAGACAGCTGTGGAACTGCTGTGGAAAAGGACAACAGCGAGCCCATCAGAGGACGTGGCAGCATGAGTCAGGACTCTGTCCAATAACTGTCTAATTTCTCTTCATTATTTTTTTCATAAATATCTTTGGTGCCTGACCCAGGCTTTTGTCATAGCTGGATTAGTACACAATATAAACAGCAGTGGTGAGGGTACGAAGTGTTTCCGGCGCCTGCTAAGCGGGACAGCCTTGACCGCACACTTCCTAGTTCCTGTCACCCACGGCCACCGGTGACGGTGACATTAATGTGGACGCTGGGGCTATCCCAATTTCTCGGGCCCGACAGGTCAGACGGCTGCTCCGTGACAAAAAGGGAGGCAGTACCCTCGGACCTAAGGATCTGTGTGAAGGCGGATCAGGCCTGTAGGTATACCTACAGACAGAACAGGCAACTCAATTTTCTCACTTTCCCTCAAAGAAGAATGCTGTTTTGGTCAATCATGAACATTTTTTAATAAATTTAGTCCGAACCTTTTGATAGGAAGGATTCACAAGGACAGAGCCACCGCTAAGCGGAGCTTGTTGCGGTGACCTTGCCCTCTGCCCTCCGATCGCGCAATTCCAGTTCTATGGCAGAATTTTGAGTCCAAGTTTAACGTCCGCACATAGCCGCACATGGCCGGTCCCCTCACTGACTTCGCCTGGCTACGGCCTGCCACCAACCGCAACCATACCTGTCAGGAGGCCCATAAATGTCGAGCGTCCGTCGGTTCTTTCCCTAGAAAAGTTGCCCTATGCTATTGTAGTGAGGAAAATGCCAAAATTATGTCGCAAAAAATGGTCAAAACTCAAATTATCCTCCCTTTTGCTTTGGAGTCGCCAGTGCCCAGCGCCCGCAGCGGCCAGCCTGAATCATCACTCATCAGCAAGGGTGGAGCTTCCTATACAGTTGGTGGAGCAGCTGCCCCACCAACTTGCCATTTTGCCCCACTTTGCCCCACCAACTTCATGATTTGTAGGACTTTGCTGCTTTACAAATCAATTTTTTATTGCATTGACAAACTTTTGAATGTCTGTTCAATTCAAAGATTATCTCCAGAATGAAAGGCATTGTTTTAGTTAGACATTTTATTCAAGTTGACATAACATTGAAGGTTTGACGACTTTTTGCCCCACCAACTTCCTCGGAAGTCGGACTAGGCTCCACCCGCTCTCATCAGTACAGTTTGAGTAGTGACACTGCTACGCATCTATGACTCAACCAGCAAATTGTTATTGTACTTACCTTAGAAGACAGTTAGAATCTTGGATAATACAGCTACTGGGAACATCCGTAACCTCCCCTCCTGCCCCGCGATCCTCGTGTGTTTACGGACCGCATCACCCAAGGCTATAGAACTCCCATGCTCCCATCACCACTTGGGATACTTGACCTAAATCTAGTGATGTTTCGGCCAATGGCAAGCACAAGTACCACATAAATTATTACAAAAAAAGTGCATTTTTCAAAAACAAAACCCAAAACCGCCCAGCACATATCTTATGTAGTCAAAAACACTTCAAACTGGTTCTATTTTCTCGGACTTGTTGAAACATCCAATCCACATCCAATCCTTTTAATGAAACAGGTACTTGTGACAGATCAAACCTTACACCATCACTATTTGTAAATTACAATAATGGCGTGCTTGTTGCAATTACAAGGTCCTAAGCGACCATTATAGAGTTCAGTGTAAGCGACACAAAAAATTACATTTCATTTTAGTCATTTTCTTTTATTGTCAGGTGATTTCTATGCATTATTAGCAAGATGAAATAATCAGATATTATCACACAGTCTTAGCTTCTGATAGCTTCAGTGCCTGTTTTAATTACATATGCATTGACATTGTACTTTGTAGTATCATCATGAAGAAGGACAGGGTAAGTGTCATTTGCCATTTGATTTGTCATTTGATTTTCTGACCCAGAAATATACTTATTATTATTTTTAGCATTCCACATTGTAAAAGTCTTAAAGCTGCTGGTATGATCCATTTGGACAGTTGATGAAGCTACCTTTATTTTGATTAACATCAATTGGTTGCTTGCATTAATTGCTGTTAAGTTCTGCTCTCTAACCCTTGTTATTGAAATGATGGTGCTTATTTATTAGCATGGAAATCATAATCTGATACGGCACTTTCACTGTTCCCCACCAGTCTGACGAGCCGGGATCGGCCGAGGATGGAGACCGGCTCGGCCTGCCGGCTCTGCCGATCGAGTGCGCCGTCCTGGCCACGGTGCTGCTTCACCTGGCGCTCTGCCCATTCACCAAGGTGGAGGAGAGCTTCAACATGCAGGCCGTGCACGACATCCTCTACCACCGCTTCGACATCAGACAGGTGCGAGGACGAGTCCACTCCGATCAGCGACAGTCTCACACCGGCCCGGGTACTGTCGGTGGCGTGTTGGTACGACCAGAGCTGAACTCGATGTTTTCACACAGATGCATGTTTTCTGGATGGATAAGCCGCATTGAGCGTTTATCGGTATAAGTGACGCGTGTTGGCCCCAATCACCAAGTCCGTTATAAAGACTGGCTGTGCAATGACGGTACCAGGAGGCGGAGAAATCAGCCTCCCGACTCCCGAATTCTGACTGCTTTGCCCATGTCTCCTAACTGCAGTATTTGTGTGTGTCCACTGTCCCCAGTACGACCACCTGGAGTTCCCTGGCGTGGTGCCACGCACCTTCCTCGGACCGCTGGCTCTGGCCGTCCTCTCGGCCCCCGGAGCCGCCATACTGTCGCCCTTCGCCGGAAAATTCGCCGTACAACTCCTGGGTAAGTGAAACTATGCAGCGAAGAACATGTTGAGTGATGAGGACTGAGGAGTTCGTTAGCAAGCTGAAATCTGCGGCATTAATGAGAATCGCCTTGAGTTGAGTTAGAGTCTGGTAGTTTGAATAAATGATTGCTTTGTTGCGAACATGACGGAACCGCTCCACCGCTTTACCGGTTAGGGATGTAACTGTCAGCGAGCCCTCCCATCCGCTACCACTGACTCCCTGACCCGGTGACCCCACCTGTTCCCAGTTCGGTTTGTGCTCGGCGCCGTCTCGGTGGCGGCGTTCTACCGGTTCCGGCAGAGCGTAGAGCAGGTGTTTGGCCGTCCGGTGGCCGTGTGGCTGGTGTGCATCACCGTCACCCAGTTCCACTTCATGTTCTACCTGAGCCGCGCCCTGCCCAACATGATGGCCATGCCGCTCGGTGAGTACGAGTACCACGGAACGGGGATCAGCTACTTTGCTGGAGCTGCATATTGCATAATACCTCGTTGACGATAATGTTTTACGAGGGGGTATCGAAAAGTTCTGATCATCACATAGAAAATATATACCGATTTTGATGATTTTTGGTGGGTATTATATTTGGTTCTTAAGAACAATGCTCCCGCAAAGAGAATCATGAGAAGTGGTTTTATCTTATGTAGGAGAGACTTAGAAGTAAAAAAGATGAGTACTGGGCCCATTGAGGACCGAACCGTCATTCAACTAATGCATTTGAAACGGTATCACACTGAGAAAATACATCAAGAACGTGAAATTAGTTAATGGCGAGGAAAGCCCACCTCATGCACTTACCGAAAATGAGGAAAAATAATTTTCAACTTGGTTGCATGGCCCTTGCAGGGGAGTCAAGAAGTGAGTGACTACCAGTGACTGACAAGGTGGTGACTGTGAAGGAAGTGGAGGACCTCATCCTTATAGATCGTCGTGTGACCTTTCAGATGATTGTGCAACAGAATGGTCTCTATGCTGGCAGTGCCTGAAAATATTATCAGCGAAGAACCACAGACGATAAAGGAGTCAGCCCGCTTAGAAGTTCATGTGTCTACTTTGTTCAAGAGAAAAATGCGTCTTGTCCTTTCGAAATGAAAACTAGGCCTTTTTTAGGAAATTGAAGACATCTTCGATCATTTGATGACTTGTGACGAATGCTGGGTCTATGTGTATGATCCAGAGACAAAAGATGATCAAGAAGTTTAAGCACGGCACATCTGTCCTTCTTTAAAGGCGAAGATGCAGAGGCCGATATGGAAGGTCAATGCTATCAGTGTTCTGGATCTGGCGTAGAATAGTCATTAACGACTGTCTTGATGATGGTCGGATAATGATAAGCAAGCACTACTGCACACTTTTGAAGAAGTTGCGAGATGGCCTCAAGCAGAATCGCCGCAAAAAAGCCCAAGAAAGATGTGTTATCCGCACCGATAGCGCCTCCGCCCAGTCGTCCTGAGCTGCGATTGAAGAAACAACATGCTATGGACATGAAATCCTACCGCATCTAAGAAATTCACCTGACCGGGTATTAACTGACTCTTGATTGTTACGGGACATGAAGAATCCACAGTATGGCCGGTGATTTAAGGACAGAAATGACGTCATTGATGAGGTGCAGCAATGATTTACGGGACAGTGCGAAGGTCCTACAATGACCGCCTGGGGCAGCTCAAGAAACGACGCAATAAGTTTGCAGTCGTGTGTGGTGACTTGTAAAGAAGTAATAAACATCATGTAAAAAGTTCAAATTTCTATCACATCTATGGTGATGATCAGAACTTTTCGATAACCCCTCGTATCTCTTCTCTTCTCCACCTCTAAATGATTCGACCTTGGGCGTTAAAATTTGGCACGTGTTTGTAGATTAACTGGAGACATGTCTCCACCATCCCAAAGTTGTATTTGCGGCATATTCACCCACCCTGTACTGTAGTTACATCTGCCCCATCCGCTGCCCTCCAGTGCTGATGGCGGTGAGCTGCTGGATGCGCCAGGAGCACACCCCGTTCCTGTGGTGGTCGGGCGCCGCCGTTCTGCTGTTCAGGGCCGAGCTGACCATGCTGCTGGGTATCCTGCTGCTGATGGAACTGGTCACCGGACGGCTGCCGCTGCTCAGGTGAGTGCCGGGTGAGAGTGGTGAGGTGAGTTCGGGTGAGTCTGCTCAGGCCATTTCCGGCCTCCTGGCGAATGAGATGCGGGACTTGGTCCGGTGATTACCGAGCACACTGGGTGGTTATTGGTTAAGGCCATTATCATTCAGGAATGTGTGTGACGACCGCACCCGGTCCTTGCCCTTTAGTGGAAGATCCGTGGTAGATCCGTGGTAAAAGAGGCTGACACCACTGGATTGTTTTGCTCGAAGCCTTTCGTTTGTCATCGTGAACTTGTTCAGCATTTGGATTTGATCTTAGTGCTAAACTCATTGCCTCAAATATTTCTGCCGTACAAAGGAAATGGAGCGCAAGTGCATTTTTTGCCATTTCGAGATTTTTTCACTGTCATATGAGTCGGAACGGTGTCCACCTATGTTTTGAACGGCGTGGTCCTATATCTAACGATAGGACCAAAATATTTATTTTTTAAATTTTCCAAAAAGCACAAGTGCGAAACCAGTCAATGCTGCAAGGCAAAAAGAACGTAAGTACCGTGAAGTCTATTAAAAAAGCGCAAATCCAGTCTCCTGGCTTTTAATTCAAAAGATAAAAAGCGTAAGTGCACACATGCGGTTTTTTGCCGTTGAGAATCCGGTTTGAAATGCGATGAAGTAAAGCGCGCTTGTACGTACTTGCGCTTTTTTTCCGTGGGGTTACCGTTTTTAAAGACAACTTGCGGTTTATTCAAAGGGATCTTCGGAAAGGAAGTGCCAAATACAAGCGCGTGCGCCGCGGCGCCGGCGGCAACTTTAAAGGCGGCGTGATTTAATTTTGTAGTGAGGCGGCTTCAAAAAGACTGTGCGTGTGCGTAGATAACTACCTAACGTGAGGATAAAATAGTGTCCGGAGTGTCTGTAGATAGTCATGGTATAGTTAATTTTCTGTTCCGAAGAGAAAATGGTGCGTAAGCGGAAGACAATCGACAATTTGGACTGCCGAACGGTACGAGGGCGCCTTCATGTTCGTGTACAGTGGGACGACACAAGCCAAGGCGACAGCCATTACGTGCCTGTCAGTACATTAAAATGTGACTCTACGCCACTTGTACCGGGAGCCCAAGTGCAAATGCGTCACAGTAAGGGGAAACTGTGGAAAGGAAGGCTCGCTTGCAGCGCGCGATACATGGCCGCCTCTTCTCTGGTGTCAGGTGAGTGCAAACAGCCATTGCTAGATTTTCCCCCAATGTTACCTGTAGGCTGTAACGACTTGATTGTTTGATAATACCAGTCAAGCAAGAAGCTGTCCCTGCTATTATAATGCCCATTTTGAGGCAGCCTGAAGAGCGATACGCGTCACGAGTACAAAAGACGTTTCTAATGTAATCTACAATCTCCTCCCCCTCGAGAATCAAAAGCGTGGTGGCACTACTGTCTACAGTCTAAGACTACTTGAAAAAATCAATGTTTAATAGCATTTAAAATTATAGAACTTCGTCACACAGCTATACTGGCTCAAATATGATTGCCTGGTGCCTACAGCACATCACAAATTTTATTTTCCCCTTTCCTATTTCGTAATGAAATTCTATAATACATTACAGTGCATTGGAATAGAGGGTTCGACGGAATAACATCGTTTCGATATGTGTTCTATTTTATCGCAGTAAATCATTACCCAGATGCACATCATTGACACCCCTTTGTCCCGATTCCTTTCTCACCCACTAGTTGCGACGGATGAGACTACACTCTCGGAAACGGATGCCGGTAATGTCGCCGGCGGCGGCACTCATTCGGCGCCGGCTCCAGCCTCGACTTCGGTGGAGGGGACGGAGGACCGGGCCGGCTCAGGACCGCCGCTGGACCTCCGGCCCCCGCCGGCTCTAGCCTCGACTTCAGTGGAGGGGACGGAGGACCGGGCCAGCTCAGGACCGCCGCTGGACCTCCAGGGCCCGCCGGCTCCAGCCTCGACTTCGGTGGAGGGGACGGAGGACCGGGCCGGCTCAGGACCGCCGCTGGACCTCCAGGGCCCGCCGGGTCCAGCCTTGGCTTCTATGGAGGGGACGGAGGACCGGGCCGGCTCAGGACCGCCGCTGGACCTCCGGCCCCCGCCGGCTCCAGCCTCGACTTCGGTGGAGGGGACGGAGGACCGGGCCGGCTCAGGACCGCCGCTGGACCTCCGGCCCCCGCCGGCTCCAGCCTCGACTTCGGTGGAGGGGACGGAGGACCGGGCCGGCTCAGGACCGCCGCTGGACCTCCGGCCCCCGCCGGCTCCAGCCTCGACTTCGGTGGAGGCGACGGAGGACCGGGCCGGCTCAGGACCGCCGCTGGACCTCCGGCCCCCGCCGGCTCCAGCCTCGACTTCGGTGGAGGGGACGGAGGACCGGGCCGGCTCAGGACCGCCGCTGGACCTCCGGCCCCCGCCGGCTCCAGCCTCGACTTCGGTGGAGGGGACGGAGGACCGGGCCGGCTCAGGACCGCCGCTGGACCTCCGGCCCCCGCCGGCTCCAGCCTCGACTTCGGTGGAGGGGACGGAGGACCGGGCCGGCTCAGGACCGCCGCTGGACCTCCAGGGCCCGCCGGGTCCAGCCCTGGCTTCGATGGAGGGGACGGAGGACCGGACCGGCTCAGGACCGCCGCTGGACCTCCAGCCCCCGCCGGCTCCAGCCTCGACTTCGGTGGAGGGGACGGAGGACCGGGCCGGCTCAGGACCGCTGGACCTCCGGCCCCCGCCGGCTCCAGCCTCGACTTCGGTGGAGGCGACGGAGGACCGGGCCGGCTCAGGACCGCCGCTGGACCTCCGGCCCCCGCCGGCTCCAGCCTCGACTTCGGTGGAGGGGACGGAGGACCGGACCGGCTCAGGACCGCCGCTGGACCTCCAGGGCCCGCCGGGTCCAGCCCTGGCTTCGATGGAGGGGACGGAGGACCGGGCCGGCTCAGGACCGCCGCTGGACCTCCGGCCCCCGCCGGCTCCAGCCTCGACTTCGGTGGAGGGGACGGAGGACCGGGCCGGCTCAGGACCGCCGCTGGACCTCCGGCCCCCGCCGGCTCCAGCCTCGACTTCAGTGGAGGGAACGGAGGACCGGGCCGGCTCAGGGCCGTCGCTGGACCTCCAGGGCCTGACGGGTCCAGCCTTGGCTTCTATGGAGGGGACGGAGGACCGGGCCGGCTCAGGACCGCCGCTGGACCTCCGGCCCCCGCCGGCTCCAGCCTCGACTTCGGTGGAGGGGACGGAGGACCGGGCCGGCTCAGGACCGCCGCTGGACCTCCGGCCCCCGCCGGCTCTAGCCTCGACTTCGGTGGAGGGAACGGAGGACCGGGCAGGCTCAGGACCACCAATTGATACGCACGATGAACTAGATTCTAGCTTCGGCAGTATTCCTTTGATGTCGATTTCCAACGGCAGTCTAAGCAATCTCGAGGAAATCGACTCCGATAATCTGACGTTTCCTGTCGAGGGGGACTTGTCATCAGACATCAGACGGGCCATCTTGCTGGGCGAGCAGTGCGATGCTGCCGATGCTACTCTGCTCGGTCTAGACACAGCAAGCCGTCCTGGCGACAGAGATGTACAGCAGCCAGAGACGGAGCCGTCTCCAGCTTTGACTGACACAGAGGAACGGCGCTCGACTGACCAAAGGTCTGCGTCGAAACATTCCTTAAGACCGGTGCCAGTGACATGCGGCGCTAGTAAGTGTCGGCAGAAGTGCACCGAAAAGATATCGAACACTCAGCGACAAAAAATAAACGCCCGGGTGAACCGCATGTCGTGGGAAACGCGTCGCCAGTGGTACCGGTGCTACGTTAAGAAGAAGGAGGTGAACAGCAAGCGGAACTTCAAGGGCCTGGGGCATGCCAAACACCGGACACTCGTCTGGACGCTGCCGGATGACAACGATCAGCCGGTGACAGTGTGCAAGCCTTACTTCCTTGCAACTGTCGGCTTGAAAGCCAATAACGACCAAGCCGTAAGGAACTCACTGGACAGCGATGACAAAGACGGACGGGGAAGCGGTGTGCCAGCAAACAAGATTGATGCGAGTGTCATTCAAAATCACTTACAGGAATACCGGCCTTGCAAACACCACTACCGCTACAGTCATGCTCCCCACCGGTTGTATCTCCCGGCAGACATCACAGCTACGGCCATGCACCGAGACTTTGTGGAAAAGAACGGGCCAATCAGCTTTGAAAGGTACCGAAAAGAAATTAAACGGATGAACATAAGCTTTACAAAGCTTGGAAATGAAGAGTGCGAGACTTGCGAGCGACAGTTACAGCATGGAAGAGCAGCACACGGAGCCGCAGAACGAGACGGTTTTGTCAACGTCGACGGATGTGACGAGTGTCATGAGCACAGCGAGCACCTGCTGAGAGCAAGCCAGGCCAGATCCGAGTACAGAAGAGAGGCCGACAGAAACTGGTCAGAAGATGAGATCGTCTGCAGTGCAGATATGATGAAGGTGACCTTGATCCCAATCCTTCCACACAAGACCGTTTTCTTCACACCCCGCCTCGTAGTGTTTAATGAGACATTTGCGACACTGAAAGACAAGGGGACAAAGCGATCGATGAAGTCACTTGCGGTGCTCTGGCACGAGGCGACGGCAGGGAGAGATGGCGACGAAGTGGCGGCAGCATTCTGGCGGTTCCTGTCTGAACATCGAGACAAAAAAGAGATCACCATTTTCACCGACAACTGCCTAGCCCAAAACAAGTCATGGATTCTGGCGTCGGTGCTGATGAATTTCGTGCACCAGCCTACCAACGCTGTCCAGAAGGTGACCCTGAAATATCTGGAGAAAGGGCACACCTCGATGAGTGCGGACGCCTCGCACCAGCTGGTGCAAAGAAGGCTGGGGAAGTGCAAAGTGTCCGACTTTCACGACTTTCGACAGGTGGTGGAGGAGACGGGAATAAAGACGCACACGATGTCCCACGAGGATTTCTTCGAGTTCCAGTCTGGAGTCTCACAAAAGAAACTGGCCCTGCTAGGAAAGGAGGGTCTCCGTCCGTACCTAAAGGACGTGAGGTGCCTGCAAGTCCGCAGGCACAGTGAGGACATCTTCTTGAAGAAGTCACACCTTGAGCGGCAGTGGAAGGCTTTCAGCCTCATGAAAGCCACGTTCGACCCCACGAGTGAGCCAGTGCGTCGCATCAGACCGCGTGGCATCAACAAGACGAAGATCGACACCATCGTAAACAACCTGCTTCCACTGATGCCGGGGCACAAGCACGGCTTCTGGCTAGAGCTGCAGAGCCGTGGCAGCGCTGGCGTACGGGACCTTACTGGCTGAGAGACCCTCTCATACCGAAGGTTCGCGACGAGGGTCTTCGGAAGAGATGGCATATGCTAGGGAGCACGTTGGCGATGAGGCAGGTCAAATGCAGTGATGAAATAGCCGACCTCCCCTTGGTGACTTGTGATTATCACATGATGGCTTTTATTAAGCCTTATCGTTTCGCGTATTCTTGCTTCGTACTTGACCTTGGGCAATAGACGTCCATATGATTTGTGAATGACTTCTTTGTTTTATGGCCGTGAACAGAAGAGGCGATCATCATAATGAACACCAAAATAAGATTTGCAACCAAGAAGGCAGACAAACCTTATAGGTAGACCTTGTAAAATGGTACCGTAAAATGATTGAAATGACTGATCATTTTAACTACCTAGTCAGGTAAATGTGTCAACTGACAACATCATTTAAGGAAGGGGGAGAACAACACAAAGGTGACCAGCACTAATCAACTAGTCGTAAAGACACACATTGAAGTTTCTGTATCACATGCGTCCCTCATGCTGTAATTAGAAGGAAAGCCAATCAGATAAACTATACATCAAAACCAAATCAAAATGGCATTCCTTTCATCTTTATTTGCGGTCATTGATAGTTGATAATAGACGCGCTTTTCCCACGTAAATAAAGCGCAAGTCGTGTACTTGCGGTTTTTGCTTCGCGCACTTGCGTACTTGCGCTTTATTTATTCGCCATCATTGTACTTGCGTTTCTTTTGCGTTGCATTGCCGATGCATTTCACGTCAAAAGTAAACGGAAGAAAACCTTTTACGATTTCTTAGGAAATGCAATGCACAGTTCATCTGGAAAAGTACACAGTGCATTTGGCTTAATAGTAAGGAGCATGATGATATAAATTTCGAGACCGTAACTTGACCTAGTGACATTCTATGGCAGCAAACAGGAAAATCGCTCCCCTGAAAAACATATGATTTGCACTTGCGCTTTATTTCCTTTGTACGGCAGATTTGTTTTCGTTTTTTTTTTCTCTGTCCTGTATCAACTGTCCAGATCGTTTCCCCCTCCACGTACCCTCATATATCCGTGCCACTTACTGCCTAGGTCACCCTCTCTGATTGCTTCCGTTGCCTCTATCCCAGGTGTCTGAAGGTGTGATCCGGCCGCTCCGCTCCACCTCTCAGCTGACTGTCCTTGTTGTCTCTCCCCAGGTGTCTGAAGGTGTGCGTCCCAGCCGGCCTGGCGCTGCTGCTGCTCTCGTTCACGGTCGATTCGCTGTTCTGGCGGAGACCCGTCTGGCCGGAGGGAGAGGTGCTCTGGTTCAACGTGGTACTCAACAAGTCCGCCGAGTGGGGCGTATCCTTTAACGAGTGTTTGAGAAGAAACTCTTAATGCTGTTGTCCAGTCGCGTGTTTTGAACTTACTCAAGATCGTTTTGTGATAAGCATTGACTCATGTGATCGAGGAGTTGATAAGCTGTTGACCAGGTACTTGCTTAGCTTTGTTTTTCGAACTTCGTTTCTTTATCTACCGATTGACTCGTGCCATATCTGATTGACGATAACACGTTTCTCGATACTGATTGATACCATGTAATTTAACACTGATAGCACCCCTGTAAGAATCTTGGATAGCACGATAGCACCCCCCCCCCCCCCCGGTGCACCATACGTCTCCCGAGTTATGCCGATTTCCTTGACGGCCGCCCTCTCAGACCCTCCCCGCGCTGTGGTACTGGTACTCGGCCCTGCCCCGGGCGCTGGGCGCCAGCCTGGCGCTCGTCCCGGTAGGGCTGGCGCTGGACCGCCGCGCCCGCCTGCTGGCCGGCCCGGCGCTGGCGTTTGTCGCCCTCTACTCGCTGCTCCCACACAAGGAGCTGCGGTTCATTATCTACGTGGTGCCGCTCCTGAATGTGGCGGCGGCGCGCGCCTGTCATGCCATGTGAGTGGATGGGCCGCCGTGGGATCGGTGGGTATAAGTGGGACGACTGACTATTGGAAGGTGCGGTGGGGAAAAGCGTCGTGGCCTGCTCATGGGTTATGGCGCACCCCTGAGTATGCGGGGTTGATCGCTCGATAACCGGTAACGCTGATGGTTACGAACCGCGGATAATGTCTGTGGACTAAGCCGTGATCTAAATTATGTACCTACGGTCAGTGCACATGTTCTTCTCCCCTGTTCTTTCTTTTTCGAACCGTAAACGTGTATCAGCAGTATGAAAACCAATTCGTTGGAATGAAAACCATTTCGTTGGATATAATTATACGTGTTGTCTTTAGTTTTTTAAATCAATCGTCACGAGCCACCACTGCATCGGGATATCAGTCAACTCTAACACCCTATCGTTCCCCGCCTGCAGCTGGGAGGGCCGGCTGAAGTCGGCGTGGCGCTCGTACCTGGCCACAGCCATGTGCTGTCACCTGCTGGTCAATGTGGCGCTGACGGCTCTGCTGGCGGCCGTGGCGCGCCATAACTACCCCGGCGGCGCGGCGCTGGGCCGTCTGCAGCACCTGGAGCCGGACGCCGCCTACGTGCACATTGACGTGTACAGCGCACAGACCGGGGTGACGAGGTTCCTGCAGCATAGGGACGACTGGCGGTGAGGAATGGGATGGGTTGGGCGGATGAGATAAGGGTAGTGCGGACTGCAGGCTAGGAGGGAATGAGCAGGAGACTTGGGCGTCTGACTGGGGCTAGTTCGTTGAGAGACGAGGCATGTAGTGTATGTTATTGACGTACAAGCGTGCAGTGTATATTGAGCATCTGTATACTAGTGTCTTTTTACCAGCATGTTCTGCGTCCTGTTTCAGGTACAACAAGACGGAGAACCTGGCGCCGGGCTCTCCCGACATGCACTCGTTCACCCACCTGCTGATCGAGGCGCGCGGTAAGCGCTCCTCGGCGCTGAAACCCTACGAGGAGACGCACATGATCCTCGACTCCGTGGACGTCTTCTCACACATCCAGTTCAACTACGACCACTTCCCGCCACTGCGACTGCGCATGCGTCCCGCCATATTTCTACTGTACAACAATGTGCCGGAGAATGTGCGATGGCCGAAGGAAGAGGAAGAACCCCAGCCGCCGCCGGAGGAAAGCGAAACAGTTGTAGAACCCGAGACAGATGATGTTAAAGATCCAGTTGCTCCAGAAGATGATTCTTCTAAAGTGGAGGAACCCAAGGCAGCTAACAGTGAGATAGTTTTTACTGGCGCGGAAGAGAGCGACAAGGACTATTCGGATGACATGGTAGCTAGTGAAAAGGCCGCCGAGCTGTTTTTGCCGCCGGATGATGGTACCGCTGATGAGGCTCGGTTGTCGGACCTGCCGACGCAGGTGATTCGCTAGCAGGGCGGCCACTCTGCGGGCTCACACAGCTCCTCAGGGGCGGGTCACCCTGCGCGCTCACCGCTCCTCAGGGGCGGGTCACCCTGCGCGCTCACAGCTCCTCAGGGGGCGGGTCACCATTGCAGACCGCCGGTGGACCGCGCCGGCCGGGCCGCGGCAGTGGACCAAAGGTCAGGCGGCCGGGAGGGGCGCCGCCGCTCCCCCGGGCCGCTGTAGGACAGTGCTGTGATAGAGCTACTAACACTTGCCTCCGCGCCGACTCGTGATAACTCCCGGGGGCGGGGCGGCCACCGAACGCTCTGGTCCGTTCTAGTCACCGCGCTCACGGGTCCTTCCATAATACACCCCGCCGCAGCAGACGCAACTGTTCGGGGAGAGTGAACAGACTACAGATGTGTGGATCAGCAGGTGATTACGGATCGTGTTCTGGGACATTTGTGGAGTTTGTGCAATCGTGGTTGATAGTGATTCTTATATTTTAACCTTGAATGAAGACCTCCAGTGTCATGACACTTTGCCAAAGCAATTTGAATGGAGTTGAACCATCCATCCATTGAATAGCTCCGTGCCACCGATTGAAGAACTCCGCGCTTTTTCTCCCCGCTTTATTCCTATCCTACAGGCCTAATGAAACAAGGAAATCGTGGCGCAATAGGGTGAACAATAGGGTGAATGCCATCGCTGTTGAGACTCACAAGCTTTTAACTGAACCTATTGACTGTTGGATATGTGCCGCCTGGCTGATGCTATTGAACGATCGCCAATATTCTGGTCTCGTCATGCCTGCCTGTTGCCAGGTCTATGATATCGTTTCCCCTCGAAACCTATGGTGATTTCTCATAGCTCGGAAAAATCAACAATAAAATTAGGGTACAAGAACAGCCTTCACCAGTTGAGCCTAAATGTGTCGACTAGTGACTGTGAATAAAACAAAATGAACAGGGTTGCACAAGCCGGGTAATTCTCGCCGCCGGCGCAGCCAGTACACACAGTATCCGTCTGTACACAGTGTATATTTCCTATTTGTCCAGTACAATACAGCTTCCCCGCCCCATCATTCACTCTTCCCGGCGCGCGCCGCTCACTTCTTCTGCGGGTACGCCATCTTGTAGAAGAGCGTGTAGCTGACGGTGCCCACCGCGACCGCGCACAGCAGGTAGGTGAGCGAGGCGAGGATCCTGTCGGCCGGGCCGCCCTTCAGGTGGACGGGCACGCCGTCTTGCACCTGGAACTTGGCGTACTGCTCGCGCAGCCGCAGGTAGCCCGGGTGAACGTCCTTTGGCGCGGAGCGCACCGCCGCAGAGGTGGTGAGCCGGCGCGCCGACTGCAGAGCGATCTGACGGAGCGGGGGGGGGGGGGCGTCAGTGGGGGCTGCTGGAGGGGGAGGGGGCAATGGGGCAGCTAGAGGGGAGGGAATGGGAGTGGGTATAGTGAAACACTTACAGTCAAAAGAGGATATAGCTGGTAAAACCTGACTGACTTGGCCTGATAACTGACAATATAATCATTTGATGGCAGTATGAATATTGATAAGAATTACATCCTGTATATAGTTATTTGTATGTGTATGTGCCAACTACCTGATAGGTATCATTATTGACATAAAAAGGCATGGTAAAACAGGTCACAGGTCAGTGAGCAGCACTGGCACTATTTGGAGGGTGATGCATTTTAGCTTTAGAGTATCCAATGGTTCCTTTCAATTTTTGTATTTGCCACTTGGTGTTTTACTCAGGGCTTTGAAGAGTGCTAACAAAACAGGCAGTTCTTTAAAACGTTATCATCATGCTCATAAGCAACCTGAATCAAGCAAAACATTAACCTATGTATCTTAATGTTTTTGAGAAAAGGCAACACTTTAAAGGTTGATCATAAACTTAGGGAAAGAATATAAATTATTCTTACACATCTACAAACACATAAATAGCTCCATTTAATTACCTATACAGTGTGTCAGTGTCCAAAAACAAAAATGAATGATAATCATATTACATGCCTAAGGGTGATAGTAAGGTAGATATACTACTTTATAGAAATTGCAATGGAAATGTGACATGTAATACAAGACTCATTTAAGGGATCATTTGTACTTTATTACAAAAATACAAATTACAAACACTACACCAGTTGCATTTTGATAGGAGATCATATCTGCATTAGCACATGTAAAAGTACATTTATTTAGCATCTCTAATCACATCATTTGTCAGCATCTCAACATTCAAACATCCCAATTTTAATTATGGGGTGGACATGTGCCATATTAACTTTCGAGTCAAGCTTTTCTTTTGACCTAGAAAATTGACAAAACTATCATGTTTAAAGCATAGATACACCTACTGGCTATCTGGTGAGTGGTGATACTTGTACTGTTTTGGTGTTTGAGACAAAGGACAGCTCATCCCAAGTATGAATCAATATTTATACATAAAACAAACAAAGAAAGATCAACAAGGATTTATGGATGCTATTGCATAAGGATTAACTCATGCACTTGCTAGCGTTTATTCATCATCATGACTTATCTTGACTTACCTAGGTGCCTGCCTACCTTGCTGTCATCCTGTGGCAAGCAGCAAGCTCAGCAAAGGTAATGCTTGTACGATTAATAAAGATGACAAGAGGTATCAAAGTGAGCATTATTTTTTATAATTTAATCAGCGCAACAAAGAAAGCAGACTTACCCGTGAGAAGTTCATGTCTGTCGAGCGGGAATAAGTAATTTATCAGTTCCAGACCAGCGACGAGCTCGAAAGAAAGACAAATGGCGGACGAAAGGTTTTCTCAAAGATCAAAATGTTCAACAAGTTCGCTAGCGAATCCCAGAGCGCTACGTCATTTGATAAACAACTGAAATCCGCTCGTTCATTGGTCTGTTTTCTTTACAATGACGTCATATACTTACTTTTGATTTGCTTACAACTTATCACCATGGAAACTGGAAGAACACCAAGCGATTCGTTTCATCTCTAAACATTAAACTTTTGCAGCAAACGAATCTTTTGCGCTAGTTTTGTAGCAAGAAAAATTAGAGATGATCAGATGAACTGCAAGTACTTTAAAGTACTTTTCTTGAAAAAGAACTGAGTATTCATAAGTTTTTCGAGCTGATAATGCAAGCAAAAAACTCTTTATCCTGCAAAACAACAGATCAGACACTTATTTTGAATTTGTTTGAGCAATTTCGCTCTCATATTTACGCCTCATTTTGGTACTTTTCAAGTTTTCCATCACTAGTACAACATGGCGCCGCCCACCACAATACACTTGTATGTTGATAGATGAAACGATAAATTTATCATTATTCGTAATTGTTTTTACTTTTGAAGGTAAGAAAATTGTGCAAATAGTCGTATGCAGTATATCCATTTCGGGGATTTTCCAGGGTTAAGATTCTGGATGGGATTTTGAGTCAATTTGTGCAAAGAATTGCAAACAAGGTTTGTAATCAGCTTCAGACCAAATTATAATCTGGCTGTTTTTGTTTGGTATTTTTTCAAGCTTCTTTGATATGAGCTGCAGAGTTAAATCTTCTCTCATTTGTCAACACCTTGCCGGTCCCATAGCTCGGTAGAGCGTTGGACTCCATGTGGTGGGAGCATTTCTCTGTAATGCTATTTTCATGCTTCTTTGTGGCTATTTCATGTAGCCTCTTCAGTTGGGGAAACTACGAGGCGAATGTCAAAAAATGGATTGGTCAATAAATGGACTTTTGATGACCATATATGGGCATAAATGCAGCCCCCGCTACTAAGGGTGAAAAACGGTATAACAAGCCGGTACTTGCGGTATCGCGTCCACTTATTGGAGAGAAAAGGCTTCCATTTTTCACTAGGAATTAGTGTGATTTGATTAAATTCGGCGAATTCAGTTGGGCAAACTAGACTTTTGGAATCAAAATATGGAGGCATCAATAATTTGATTCTGGTGGGAGGAGCCATGACCAAATATGGGCATGGAATCAATTTTTTGATTCATTTGGGTACACTTTTGACTTCAAATGTATCGTTACGGTTGAAAAAAGGCCCATGACGGTGAGATTTTTCTTTAAAAAGGTAGAAAAATGTGGTAGGTTTGCAAAAAGTGTTACCTCAAAACTAACAAATTGTCCCTTTGGCCTTGTGAATGGGAAAAAGACAGAGGCACTGTCCATCACGTAAAAGCTGTTTTGAGGAAATCACACTGTTTGTTATTTTTGTATCATGAATTGCATACTAAACAATCAGTATTTGTGTAAAATGGCAAAATGAAATTTTCAAACCCCTAATTATCACTGTGATAGTGCTTTTATATTTATTATATGGCTTTTACCTGTTGCTTCAGTTTTTGTATTCTTGACATTTAAAAATTGTGAATTGTTATCAAATGTTGTGAAGGTTATGTACAACAATGCTAAAGGTATCTGTTGTGGTGCTGAGGATCACACTTAATGAGAATAATAGCAAGATAAATGCTGTATTCTTGCAAGTCATTGTTACCTATCTCTTAACATTACCTGTGAATCAAAATAATGATTAGCCAGCTGATGGGGAATCAATATTATGATTATCTGTTTAAAGTGAATCAATTCCTTGATTGCCTTTCACTACCTATAGAATTCAAATTGCTATGATAGGAGCAATATTATTTGGCTTAGGAGATACTTCCAGCATTTCTGTTCAAGATCAGGCATGCTCCTTCTGGAAACACTCTCTTATTTTTATGTGTTTGGTAAGTTAGAAATGGTCTGCATTTATGCCCAAATATGGTCAAAAGGAATCAATCTTTTGATGCCTCCATATTTTGATTCCAAAGGTCTAGTTTGCCCAACTGAATTGACTCGAAAATGGCGATAGGAAAACGGCTTTTCTGCAGGTTCTGGGCGTCACAATCAGCTGGCCATTCAATAAATGGATTGGTTTTATGAAAGAAAATTGTTAAAAGATTTAATTTAATTACAATAAACAAAAATATTTAATTCTAAAATAATAACTTAACTACAATTAGAAAAACCATAAACAAAATAATAAAAATAGTGGCATTTTTAAACCACGGTACTGCTTACATTTCTTGGCGCGTCTGTTTCAATCCGCCATATTTGCCAATCACGGTTTGACCTTGCGTTGTAACTCTGCGATTTAGAGCCGCCAGTTAATTATGCACCGGGTGAGTGTAGGTCTTGTGTGGTTAAAAAACATTATTATGCCTTATTTTTTCATTTGAATGCTGAAATTCATTGAAAACATGAAGTTGTCTGATTTTATGACCATATATGGTCATCGCCCCGCCCACTCCAGCCGCTGATTGGCTAATCCAATTTTTGTTTGGCTCCTCGTAGTTTCCCCAACTGTCTTGCTCTAAGTATAGTTAGGTACTTTCCCAGTCCCAATTTAAATGGATTCTTGCTGGACTTAAATCATTTCACTGTGTTGATTAACAGCTGCTTTTCATCCCACAGAACACAAGATCACAAGACATTGTCAATTTGTCTGCTCTGAAAATGAAAACCTTTTACTCTCAGCTGGCACCAATAGCATCACCTCAGTGCTCAATCTGTTCAGCTATCGAGACAGTGCCAGGCAGCTGGACTAATCTGTCAGCCTCCACTACGGCCCCGCTGCTGGCACGCCTGACAGCAGCACTGGGACGGCAGTGGGCAGCTGACCTCTGCTCCGCTACGCTGTGTCTGAGCTGCCTGCGTCAGCTGCAGGGGGTGGAACAGCTGCGGGGCCGCCACCAGCGGCTGGAGGCCTCCCTGGCCAGGGTCTGCAGGAAGGCATCTGATTCACTGTGAGTTGATGGTGTGGTGTAAGATAAGACAGTGGTCAATGAACCCCTAACCCCTGAATTATTCCATGGCTGTACTTACAATAATCATAAAAATGGCTCAGTTGTATGAGATATTACACAGAAATCTAGTCTTGCAATGCTCTTATGGAAGCTTATTTGTTATTTTCAAGTAGCATTTGACATTGCTTTTCAGGGCTGTTTTTGTTCATTTCAGGGATGCCTCAGCCACCTCCTGCATAGCCTGTCATTCTCTGCTCTCAGTGCATGATACTGCCAATGCATTCTGGGACAAGACACAGTTCAGCTCAACCTTGCTGGCTGATATTCTTGCAAAATTTATGACCAAGGTAAGCTGAATTGGTACTATTATTTGTCTAATATTAACATTAAGTAATATATGGTTCTGAGGTGTGTAGCTGCATTCTTCACACAAAATTTAGTGATTCTTCTTTATTCATTACTCCATCCTTCTTTATTCATTACTCCAGCTCACTTATTGTCTGATTCATTCATTGCAGCTCCCATTCATTCATTCATTCATTCTTTCATTTGTCATTTATGATAATTACTAACCTATACCATGGCCCATGCACAAATGACTATAAAAGGACTGTAGGAATTGGTTCTCTCTGTCACTGATTGTAACGTGTCTCGTTTCTTGAGTATCCCAGTCAATCAAACATGCAGCTGGTAGCAAGGCCTTTCCAAACCAGGCTTTATTCAACATAAAGGCACTAGCAAAGTAGCAAGCGAGAGCAGCGTAGTAGTCATGCTCAAGAGATCATGCTCTGCAACACAAAGCAAACAGCAGGTAAGTAACGGCCAACACAAACACAGAAACAACCACGATCACACGACATTCTCCCCGGGTCCGTTTCGGAACGCAGCCTCACCGAGAACATCGAGACCGCAAGCAATGCGATAGTGCATGCTCAAAGACAGCTCGAGCGTAAGATCGCACATTTACAAAACATAGTCCCGTTCCAGATGAGCCGGCCTACGCGAAGCTCGGGTGGATCGACGCAACGGCGCAGACTCAGAGGCAGGTTGAGGCACAGGCTGTGATTCGGAATGGGGATGAGAATGGTACCTGGAAGTCTCAGTCTGAGCCATAGGTGGACAAGGCTCGGGAGCTGGTTCCGGCATCTGGATCGACGTGTTCCGATTGCCGTCACCGACCGCCGGCTCCTCGCGCTGCTCGGCCACCCGCACTGGAAGGGGATCGCGGTCCAGTCCATCGCGCGGATCCGAGACATCGCTGGAGTCAGACAAACCAATGGTTCCTCGTGGGGCGAGATGTCTGATGTTGACAGTCGTTTCCCTCCCGTCCGGCAGCCGGACGTGAGCGTACTGCGGGTTGGCTCCAAGAAGCTCCACTTCGTCGACCAGTGGGTCATACTTCTGTCGTACATGTCTTTTCATCAAGACGATTTCGCCCGACTTGGATAGCCACGTCGGCACAGAGTTGCCAGTCGTCGAGCGCCTCTGGTACCGAAACAGGCGCTCATGAGGAGTCTCGTTGGTTGCCGTTGAAAGTAGCGACCTCACTGAATGAAGAGCGTCTGGCAGGACCACTTCCCAGTTCTCCAGCGGCAGATCTCTCGATCGGAGGGCCAACGTCACCGCCTTCCACACGATGCCGTTGTAGCGTTCCACTTGCCCGTTTCCTCTTGGATTGTACGCGGTCGACCTGCTGCTGGCTATCCCCTTGCTCGCGAGGAAGGATTTGAGCTCAGAGGACATAAAGGAGGATCCACGGTCGGAATGGATATACGCTGGCATACCAAAGATGGCGAAGAGTTGACACAAACAGCTGATAACGGCAGCAGATGTGACGTCAGCGCAGGGGAACACAAAGGGGAACCTGGAGTATTCGTCGACTATGGTCAGCATGTAGCGGTTGCGGCTGGCACTCGGCAGCGGCCCTTTGAAGTCGACGTTCAGACGTTCAAAAGGCTGCGTAGCCTTGATCAGATGAGACTGAGGAGGCTTCCCATACTGTGGCTTGCATTCTGCGCAAACGGGACAGGATGACGTCACCTGTTTGACATCTTCCACCGAGAATGGCAAGTTTCTTGTGCGCACGAAGTGAGTCATCCTGGTGACACCTGGGTGGCACAACGCACTGTGCAGCTCCACCAGGAGCTTTGTACTGTCTGAGGCGGAGCATACCATCGGCGAACGAGACAGTGCATCCGCCGACGCGTTTTCTGTCCCCGGTCTGTAGACGATGTCATATGAGTAGCTGGACAGCTCCAGTCTCCACCTCATGATCTTTTCGTTTTTCACCTTCCCAGCTTGTCTCCCATCGAACATGAAGGCAACTGATCTCTGGTCCGTGACAAGCTTGAATTGTCGACCCAGAAGGAAGTGCTTCCACTTTCGGAGTGCTTCAACGATGGCGTATGCTTCTTTTTCAACTGCTGAGTGATTGCGCTCGCTGCTCGATAGTGTGCGAGAGAAGAAGGCTACGGGTCGTCCATCTTGAGACAGCGTAGCAGCGATGGCGTGGTCCGAAGCATCGGTCTCAACGACAAAAGGTATGTCGTCACTGATAGCTGACATAGTGGCGTCAGCTATGCTCTGCTTCAGGTGACTGAAGGCGTCTAGTGCACCTTTCTGAAGGGGAAACCTGTCAGTCTGGACCAGAGGGCGGATTTTCTCAGAGAATCCATGAATCTAGTGAGAGTAATGGGCGAACATGCCCAGCACCCGTTGCAGAGATGCCGCGTCATGAGGCGGCGGCAGCTCCTGTAGGGGTCTCAGACGCTCGGGATCTGGGCGAAGTGTCCCATGTCCGATGACGTAGCCGAGGAGCTCCACAGATGTGACAGAGTAGGCACACTTGTCTTCGTTGAACGTCAGATTGCACTTCTTGGCTGCCTTCAACAGCTTCCGCAGGTTCTCGTCGTGCTCTGCTTGGTCTCGCCCGCACACGGTGATGTTGTCGAGGTACACGAATGTGTCCCGGAGCCCTTCTTGTGACACGATGCAGTCAATCACCCGCTGGAACGCTGCCACACCGTTTGTCACACCGAACGGGATCCTGGTGAACTGGTAGAGTTTTCCGTCTGCTTCGAACGCGGTGTACTCCTTTTCTTCCTCCCGGATTGGGATTTGATGATATGCGCTTTTCAGGTCCAGTGTGCTGAAGACCTTGTAGCGAGCTACTTCCTCAACCATCCTCTCGATGTTAGGAAGTGGATAGGCATCCAGTTGGGTGAACCTGTTGATGGTTTGCGAATAATCGATGACGAGGCGTTTCTTGTGGTTCTCGTTCGCAGTAACAAGGACTTGAGCTCTCCATGGAGACCGACTTGGCTCGATGATCCCCTGTTCTTGCATCCTCCGAACTTCCAGCTCGATGAACTTGGCGTCTGGTGTCGTGTACCTTCTTGACTTTACGGCCACTGGTCGGCAGTCAGAGGTCAGGTTGCCGAACAGCGTTGGCAGCGGAACTGCCATGGTGGCCAGACCGCAGACCAGGGATGGTCTATGGCCTCCGAACGGGATCTCTACAGAGGCATGTTGGTTCAGGACGTCATGACCCAAGATGACATCTGCACAGAGATCTGGAAGGACTGTCAGTTTGACGTTAGAGTAGGTGTGGTCTGAGAGCTCTACCGTAACCACACAGTGTCCAAGAGCTTTCGCTGAGTGAGCTGTGGATGCCATGAGCACTTCCAGTGGCTTACCTCCAGAAGCTTGGAGCACCTCCCACTTGTGCCGTTGGGCGACTTGGAGGCTCAAGAAGCTTTGCGAACTGCCAGTGTCGATCAGCACATCAACATACTTGCCATTGACCCTCCCTTTCAGGGTGGCCTTCGCCAACCCACCAGGAGAGGCAGATGTTATCGACGATGCTGCGAGAGTCGGTGCTTGGGTTGTGTTGTCATCAGTAGCCACAGCAGCGGTCGTAGTCATGCTGCCAGAGCGGCACACCTTTGAGAAATGGCCGAGCTTCCCACAAGTGTTGCACTCAGCATTTCTTGCGGGGCACTTGTGCCGGGGGTGTCTGGCCAGTCCACAGAAGAAGCAGCTCTGACTGACCCCCCGACCCGCGGCTGCAGCCGTGGGCTGCTCGGACAGGAGCGGGACCGGATGAGCAGCAGACGCTGGAGCTGAGGATGAAGCAGTGACTGAGTAGTTGGGCTGAAGGTAAGAATCAGAATGCCTTTGAGCTGCCTCAAGTGCGCGAGCCTGCTCTACAGCAGTTCTCAAGTCAAGTGTTTTGTTCTCTAACAAGCGCTGTCTGATATGACTCGAAATCAGACCATTGATGAAAGCATCACGAATCAGCTCGTCTCTAGCCTGTTCAGCTGTGAGGGCTTTGAATGTACAGTCCCTGCCCAGTTGCTGGAGGTGCAACAAGTACTGGTCAAGAGACTCTCCTGCCTCCTGCTTACGAGTAGCAAGGACATGACGAGCGAACACATCATTCTTTGGTTTCACAAACAGAGACTCTAAGACACTGATAGCACTCTCATACGATGCACAGTCAGCAATGTAGTCATACACCTTGGGGGACACATAGTTTATAAGCACATCAAGTTTGTTGCTCTCAGGTACTGTCAGCTGCTCCACGAAGCTAGTGAAGGTCCTGTGCCAGTGACGCCACTGTTGTGCAGCAGAATTGCAGTTAGGATCAGCATCCAGGCGTTCTGGCTTCAAGTATTTGTCCATGCTTACAGTTCAGCCTCTGAGTTTACCTTATGTTGAATAAATTGTAACGTGTCTCGTTTCTTGAGTATCCCAGTCAATCAAACATGCAGCTGGTAGCAAGGCCTTTCCAAACCAGGCTTTATTCAACATAAAGGCACTAGCAAAGTAGCAAGCGAGAGCAGCGTAGTAGTCATGCTCAAGAGATCATGCTCTGCAACACAAAGCAAACAGCAGGTAAGTAACGGCCAACACAAACACAGAAACAACCACGATCACACGACATATTTAGTGTGTTGCCTGTAGTAAAATAACATATCATTATTTTCTGTCATTTCTGGAGCCATCATTCAAAGACCTGTACCGTATCTCAGAGAGCTCCCACCTCCCTGTGTTCCCAGCCGCCGGAGCCGGGCTCGTCAGCGGGCAGCACGGTGTGTGGCCGCTGTGTGGCCAGACTGAACCAGCTGGACTTACTGGCTGTGAGGGCCGACCGGCGAGCGCGGGCGATCGGCGGGCGGCTGCGGGCCGGCGCTGCTGCTGCTGCCGGTGCCAGGAGGCTTACTGGTCAGTGAGATTGGACAGGATGTAGATGGTAACGCGATTTCTGATGATGCCTGTGAACTATCGATCTTTGAACTGTCAGCACCTTTTGACATGCGACTAACGCCCGTACTCTCTCACCAGGTCCAGCCGACTCGCAAGCACTGTCCGAGGATCCGGCGGGCCACCTCACCCCTCTGGACGAAATGCTTCTCCAATTAACCGCCGACCACGAGGAGGAGGCTGGCCTGCTCTCGCCGTCACTGCCGCTACTGACGACAGGAGGTCCCGTGGCTGACCGGGGCTCGAGCCTTCTGAACATCAGCGGTCGGCCAGACACGGGCGGTGAACTCGAGAAGGCTGGGAAGGGTGACGGCCTGAGAGGGGAAGGATTGGACGAGTACGGTCGCAATGACGGTGGGCTGGAAGGACCGGTGGATGATGGGGTTGGGGAATTGCTTGGTGATGCTCAGGCTGTTGAAGGGGCACCACAGAGTGATAATGGTAATGGAAGGTGTGTGGCAGTTGGAAGTGGGAAAGCTAACAGTGATTGGCAAGATGATAAGGAGAGCAAGGACTTTCGCCCCACATCCAAGGTAAGTCGGTTGTGAGTCGTGTAAGTTGCTGAAACTAGCACGAAAATTATGATATCTGTATTCGGCGACATTTTTATTCGGCACGTTTCTAATGTTCAATTACTAAGAGCTCTTTTTTGTTGGGATTGTTAATCCGGAATTGTAATTATGCAGTTCGTGGCTCAGTTGGGAAGTGGCACTTGAGCACTCATCTTGCGAAGTTTTTACCGTCTCCATTGTTTGTAAAACCCATGTATCGTTTGATGCTATCCAGGTGGTGCGACCCTTCTCATCTGCTGCTGCCGCCGCCTCCCAGCCACCAGACCGGCCTGTTCGCACCATATACGTCCAGTTGGTGGCCGGAGACGCCACGGGCGCTGCGGGACCGGCAGACGTGAACGAGGTCCGCGCCGCGCCTGCTACCGCCCCCGCCCCCGCCGCTGCTGCAACCGCCACCAAGAGCCGCCGTCCGGCCAAGATCAAGGTGGAAGAAACGGTCCAGGTAAGTCGTGTATGCCAACCGCTGGCTTAGTCTGGAATCCTTAGGAGTCTCGTTGACCTACGATAACGTTGCACTATAGCGTGAATGGTCGTAGATCTAGGACCACCAGTGTATCAGCCACTGCCCACTGCTGACCGATTTCTTTTCCTTGTCTCTCGTCAGGTGGTCCGTTTGAGCCCTTCCGATCGACTGGTTCCTCGGCCTCGGCCCTACCACCGAAAATGTCCCAAACCGCCGACTGTTGATAACTCCACTGAGGACGCCGACGACCCGTCGTCCGCTGACGGGCTGTCAAAGTCTAACGATCCATCAAGCGCTAAGGATCGGCAGGCAGTTGGAGAGTCACCGGCGCCTCAGCCGCCGGTCAAACGCGGCAGAGGTCGTCCCAGGAAGACACAGCTGGATGGGACACAGCGGACCTTCAGGGAGCTGCACAGGAAGGTAGGTGTGCGGGGCAGGGATCTGCACAGGATGATAGCGCAGTGAGACGGGCCACGCAACAATATATCGCCCGGCTACAAAAATTGGGCAATCTTACGTGACTTTCAAGGCTGTCTTTGTGTCTTTTAGATCTTGAACTATACATAAACGATCAGCGCTTATCATTGTGTTTGTGAGGCAACAATACAGTGCAAGCTCAAATCGCACTTCTCTTCAAAGCACCGTGAATACATTGCTCAGTCCCAAAATACTGACAGCTTTGCACCTGTAATCGTCTCGTCCTCACTCCGCCCTTGTCTGTTTTCAGTTACAGTATATGACGGCCAGAGCTGCCCTACCGAGCCAGGTGTCTGACCCGATCGGCCCGCCGCCCGGACCGGACCACCCTCTCAGACCGGACGCAGATGGACCGGCGGCCAGCGGGGATACAGCTGTGAAGACAGAGCGGGAGGAGGGAGGGGAGCAGAGGCTGGAGGCGGAGGACAGAGGGGCGGAGCGGGACGGACAGGTCAGTTGAATTGCGGAGTGGTGGTCGGATGCTTTCCCCAAATCTGTGCGGGATACATGTGGCAGGTGGCTGTATCCTAACGATGTCAATTTCATTATGCGTTCCAACACCAAATTTACTTTGTGCATGTCTACTCAAATCGTTACGTAATATTGTTATTTCTACGACGCCCTTAAACACAAAGCATAGAACATGGCGCCAGGTGCATATCTATTCTATGCCGCTGTCTCGTCTCTGACTGCGTGTCTCCGCCCCCAGGTCGTCGGGACGGTGTCCAGCGCGACGCTCGGGTGGCTGGGCCCGCCGGCCGAGCCCTCGCACGTCACCCACCGCCGCCGGCTGGCTGAGGCCATGGAGCGCGTCAACAGTCGCATAGCCGAGGTAGGGCGTGATTGCAAACCGCGCACCGCGAGCTCAGACAAATGTTCGATCGCTACATTTGAACTTTCGCTAATCCTTAGCATACTTGAGATAACGTAGACTATGATACTTGAGACAGTGACTATAGGTTGATTACGTTTTCGGTCCTGTGTCCTCAGAAGCGTATTCAGTCCTCCCGATTTGCTGGAACAAAGGAGGACAGTGAGGACGAGAACGTGGAACCGAGAGAGGACGGTGAGGAGATTGAGGAAGAATTTGAGGATGGAGAGGACACTGTGAAGGCAGAGCAGTCAGAAACCAGCGAGGAGTGGACCGTTTCGGTCCGCAGCCGGCGCGTGAACGGGCTCTACGTCTGCGAGGTTCGTATGAAACTAGCAGGCATTATGGCTATCATGGGGTTCGACCTAAGTCATTGCACCTGACCTTGAGGCTCGTCTATTTAGGAAGTGGTACCTTTTACGTCAGTGTGAGGTCGTCTAAAGAAAGAGAATCGCTGTCCGTTCTGCTCCTGCACCATTTGTTCTGACGTCGATTGTTCTTTGTTAGGTGTGTCACGACTCGTTCGCGATGCTACGGGAGCTGCTGAAACACGAGCGGACCCACACCGAGGCCAAGTTCCCCTGCCCGATGTGTAACAGGTCGTTCACCCTGCCCAAACTGGTGCGGAGGCATCAGAAGTTTCACAAGGTATGTTGTTATTGGATGATTCAGGGCCAGATGTATCCCGTGTCGCCTTTCTGGTAAAATAATGTACTTTTGCTACACCCCAGCTTGTTTTATCACTGGTTTAGGTGACAAAGCAGCTAGTAATTGCATATTTTAGTTTTCAAAAGGAGCGTCTTCTGATTCGCATCTGTCCTGTGTTGTGAAGTTACTACTCGATATGTTGGCTTTCTGTTCACTGTTCTCAATCCGTACCCTGTTTTGTGACGTCCCGCTCCTGTTCTCCGCCGCAGGTGCCCCGCGCCTACCAGTGCGGCGAGTGCGGCCTGCGCTGCCGCTCCCAGCTCGTTCTCCTCGACCACATGCACACCCACACGGGCGGCGAGCACATCTCCTGCGGCCAGTGCGGACAGACGTTCGCCAGCCGAGTGCGCTACCGCTCCCACCTGCGCGCGCACAAGGGCCGGCCGGGGCCGCCGCACTGCGCCGAGTGCCGGCTCAAGTTCGCCAACAAGGTGGCCCTGCAGCGCCACCAGCGGGACCAACACCCCGAGCCGCAGCTGATCGCCTGTCCCGAGCCCGACTGCGAGCGACGCTTCGACTCGCAGAAGAGGCTGACGCACCACCTGTTGCAGCACTTGGCCGGGCCGCCCTGGCGCTGCAAGCTCTGTGATAAGGAGTTCCGCTCCAAGTACTCTCTTAGGGACCATGTGCGTACCCACTCCGGACAGAAACCGTTCGAGTGTGAGATTTGCGCAATGCGTTTCTCCCTACGCTCTAACCTAGCCATGCACATGCGGTACGTGCATCAAAACGACCGCCGCTTCAAGTGCACGCTGTGCGGGAAGGGCTACAAGCGGCGCCAGCTGCTGCAGTACCACATGCTCTCTCACGAGGGTGTGCGGCCTCTCAGCTGTCCGCACTGCCCCATGAAGATGATCTACCCGCAACATCTGAAGCTGCACCTGCAGACCCACTCTGGCGAGAAGCCGCACCGCTGTGACGTCTGCAGCAAGGCGTTCAGCAGGCGGGACAACCTGCGTGCCCACATGTTCACACACAGCAACAAAAAACCGTTCGAGTGTCGCCAGTGTGGCATGGGATTCGTTAGAAAGGTGGGTAGGTGAATGGATGAAGGAATGAATCAATGAATGAATGAATGCATGAATTAATAAGCGGATGGATGGATGAATGAATGAATGAATGAATGAATAAGCGAATGCATGAATGCGTTCACTGTAGAATTGGATATTTGAATAAATGAAAGTATTGAAACGTTGAGTTGAGCATTGTTGATAAGATTATCAGGAGTATGAAAAATAACCTCTTGCTCATATCTGAAGGAATTAAAAAATTAAAGACCAATATATATTCGGGCGTGGCCCTTCCTCAGTGGTACAGTGTTACAATGGAACCACTGAGGAAGGAACCACTGAGGAACCACAATGGAACCACTGTTACAATGGAACCACTGAGGAAGGGCCACGCCCGAATATATATTGGTCTTTAATTTTTTAATTCCTTCAGATATGAGCAAGAGGTTATTTTTCATACTCCTGATAAATGAAAGTAGTATGAAAATCAAAGGAGTGAATGTGAAAAATATTTCTACAAATTATTCTGGTTGATTGCGTTTGTTTCTTATGTATTTTATCAATCTCCTTGCTCTTACATCTCCCGTCTCGTGACACTATCTATCCGTCTGTCAGATGGCTCTGCTGCAGCACATGGAGCACTTCAGTCACGGCGAGCACCCGGACGACTACGTCATCAACCGCACCCTGGTGACCAGCGAGTCGGCGCCGGCCGGCGAGCAGGCCCACACCATCGAGCTGCTCGACACCGCCGACGGACCGCTGGTCCTTCTCGTCGACTCCGACGGCAACCAGGAGGTGCTCGTTGCCGACGGACAGGCGGGCGACACGTCGACAACGGCGGCTCTGCGGTGCCTGACCTCCGCCGGGCGGCGGTTGGATCTGATCATCGACGAGTCGGGCGCGGCGACGGTGCGCGGTGGGGAGGGGGACGGAGATCAGCTGGTGCTGGCTGACGGTGCTGCGGCAGATACGGTGGATCTGATACTGCAGGAGGCTGACGGGCAGCTGGTGCTGAGCGGGGAGGGCGCTGACGGTCAGCTGGTGCTGAGCGGGGACGGCGCTGACGGCCAGCTGGTGCTGAGCGGGGACGGCGCTGACGGTCAGCTGCTGCTGCAGGGGGCGGACGGAGACCAGGCCCTGCTGCTCCAGGAGGGAGTCGAGGACGGCGCGGTGCCCCACTGGGAACTGCCGGCGCCGCAGGGCGACCCGCTGGAGCTGCGGGCAGACGACGTTCGCGGATAGCGCCGTGTAGTCTCCGCAGGTACTGCTACTGTCGCCGCCACTGGTCAAGGGCGGCTGTTGTCGGCTGTGCTGCGATAGATGTGTGCGAATGTCCCAGAGTCCACCTACTCTCAGCTCCACTTTGCGAGTCAATGCAGCTCTAAACATCAAGCTAATGATACGGTCATGAGTGGTTTTACTGTGTGCCTATCTGTGGCATGCCGACTTCACGGCTGGGAATCGTTATCGTTATTGATATGAATGTGCCGAATCAGGGGATTTTGTATCAGTGACGTTAAAGGCTGTGCTTTGGCAAGTTCTTTTTGCAAGCTGAGAAGCTTTCTGAGCCGATGCGTAGCACTGTTTGCTCCGATAAATGGAGCGAACCGTTTGGCCGGGAACTGTATGGAACGTTCCTGTATGGATCTGGTTGTCTCATGAATGATGCCGAATATAAACAACAGGGTAAGAGTAACGTTTGTAACCATGCTTTCTGTTGTTTGTCAGCAAACTGACACTGCGAATGTTCTACCGTTCTCCAGTCTGACCGACCACTGCGTAAAGCCATGACCTCGGCTCCCCGACTGGTTTACCACAGTGATTTTGAGCCCTGCTACCGCACTGGCGCTCGCAACTCATCCAGAGACCAGAACCGATGATATGTACCGTATATTGGTCGATAGCACGCTATGTGGGATGAAACAACGATGACGCGGAAAAAGTACATGGCACGGAACGACTGAATGGTGGAAATACAGCTCAACATTGGACACACACTCGCACGGGCTGGCTCACGAACGTTCATACATAGTCACTCGGGCTAAATCGCTACTCTGCTCTCCAAATCACAGTCGGGGACGGAATCAGGCGGCCTGCGGGCCGCACACAGCTGCCGGTTCAGCAGCGCAGCCGGCTCGGTCAGCAACATCAGCAACATGACCAACATCATCACCAGCAACATAATGCAGTGGTGGCCTAGCGAGGGGGGCTGACAGCAGCCTCCTGCGGTCTCTCTAGATGAGCCGCGACCGTTTCAGGTAGTGCGCCAGCACCTGGTAGACGAACTTGTACTGCGTCACCGTCTGCACCATCAGCATCCGCTGCTGGCGCAGGTGGTGCAGCAGCTTCGGCACGTCCACCTCCAGGTTGTGGTCCAGGCAGTGGAGCAGCACGTCACACATGATGGTCACGCCGGTCCGGCCGACTCCGGCCGAGCAGTGCACCAGCGCGGGCGTGTTGCGGCTGCCGCCGGGCGCCACGGCCATCTCACTGGCGGCTGTCTGACGCAGAGTGGCCATCTCCTCCACAAACTGAACGAACCCTGCCGCGTCCTCTGGACACCCGTGGTCGGCCCACGCGGTGAACTGCAGGTGCCAGACGACCCGCGAGCGGCGCGAGCCGCGCTGAGTGAGTACCAGCCGCGAGGTGACGTACGCCCGGGACGGCGTGGACACACTGCGACTGATGGTGAACTGATCACACTCCACGCTGGTGTTGTCCTGCTGGGGCCAGTAGGGGAAGGCGCGGTCCTGGCCGCGAGTGGCGTCTGTCAGCATCACGATCAGGTGAACGTTGTTCTCCCAGACGGCCTGCCAGAAGTGTAGCAGAGTGGTGGGCAGCGGACCCTGCGCGGCTATGTAGAAACGCTGCTGGCTGCCCATCGTCACCTGCGAACAGAAGAAAGATAACGTCACTCTATGATCACAAATACACATGGAGCAGCATAGACTTACAGACGCTCAGTCTGACACGACTCAAGCTAAGCTGACCAAACCACCAGATAACCCGTGACACCACAGACGTTTAAAACGTTTTACCTATTCGTCAGCAAGCCCGAACCGTGAGGTCGGGACCCTCCCTGACGGTCCTAAGGCCTGAACAGTCACATGTCGGCTCCTGCGCCTTCTGTGTCGCTACTAAATAAATGCTATCCGCCGTCGATGGCCCCTCTAATCCCGGGTGTGCCGCTCGTGGCCGTATTTGAAGCCAACTGAGCCGGAAAGTGTGTCGTGGCGCCGAGTGAGCCACTGCATCTTCCTAACATCGACTCCACAACAAACAACAAACAAGTGATCCTCACGCCACGCCGACGGGAAGAAGACCTTACTGGGAGCGGTTTATAGCTGAACCTCCGCGTAGTTAGTGGGCTTATAGAGACAATATGGACAAATGGAGAGCTATCGAAAAGCAATAATTAAATTGGCCGCAAAATTACCGTTCGGGAGGATTTAAGGCATCGTTAAGCGGGGCGTAGCAGCGATGTGCTGATAATTAATTAATCGATGATCAGTTTGATAATGATCAACTTATGGTCAAGCTAATCCTTATCTGGAACGTACCGCCAGGCATGTTGTGTCAAACTCTCATATTAAATTGATGCAGGGCAAATAAAAACTTCGAATCATCCGTTATAGGTAATGGCACCAGTTATCAGTGTGCTCTTGGGTCCAATCACTATATTTTGTTCTATCTGATTATAACATCTTCCAGATCTGATAAGAAAATGCTGATCGCCCGATGAGTTGGAAACAATTACGGTTGCCAAATACGACCCCGTGCTGCCAGACTCCTACCCGTCACCCATGGCCTCGATTTCGGCTGGCAACAGCGACGGCCGAGGCTGTCACACTCGCCAATAAATGTTAACAGCACCTACCGACTTCATTTCAACCCACAGCCTCCATCACCTACTGTTATAGCCATGGCTCTCCCCACTGAGATCCAAAGGGAGATAAATGACACTGCATGAATCCTATCCAGTCCCATGGCCATCCATGGGACTGGTCCCATCCAGCGCACGCAGAGTTCGCCCACGATACACGCCTATGTAAACTATCAAAACCCGTCCCGCACTCACGCTGATATGTGACGCGTTGATGTAGCCGTAGGGGTTGTCTGAAGACGGCGTCAGCCTCACTCGGTTGTCCTCGTAGGGCAGCACGTCCTTAAATCTGTCGGCAGAGGTAGTGGAACAGTCAGCAGATCGTCAGAGGACGGAAACGTCACGGCCAGCCACTAGATCACTGAACACGCTGGGTAAGACTAGTCGGCAAGACATCGAGCCGCATTCAGGGCACGGATAGGAAGCGTGACTCACGTGCCTCGACACCTTTCCGGACTTGACACCTTTCCGTCCAGATTATCTACATCTACCTCACACCTTCCACAAGTAACCCGCATCAACTTTAACATTCCGACCCGACCCGAGCCAAGCAACTGTCTTTCGGCTGAGCAACACGTCATGCTCTCACGTCGCGCCCATGCCAGCCGCGTCTGGCGCACCCAGCACCACCTCACACATACAAGTTCCACCGGTGAGTGTACGACACGGCCCGGTATGCGGACTGCGCAGGCCGGCCGGTTTCCGGGGTGATATCTACTCAATCCCAGCCCCAACAGTCTACTGTGATATAGAGTGGAGCCAATTCAGGAAAATGCAACCACTGACGAGATTCCAGCCGGTGACAACGGCGGCGGCGGAGAGTGAACGTGAGCTCACCAGGCTTACCCATAGGGAGAACCATTTATACGTACAGCACAGAGCACACGATAGGATGCTCACGGCCTTCAAGCACTCCAAAACACCCCCTACAAAGGTTCCTTTCCCTCTGCCGTCCCCTTCCCACCTCCCTCTGTTTTAATTCTGATACTCCCTGTGCCCACATAGGCAGCTAAGACAATAAAACACTAACTAGTAAGCAGACGCACCTGTTTTTGTTCTCGTTCTCTGGCCGCCGCGCGGTGGTGAAGTCGGCCGTCTCTCGCTTCTTCACGACGGCCTCAAACTCGCGGAAAAAGCCCGGGTCACTGATACGGGCCTCGATCGCTTGACACTGAAACAAGTCGAAACAAGGGCCAGGTCAGAAACAGGTCAGGCAAGGTACTCGCTGGTCTGGAAACCAGTGGAAAATAGATAACTTAATCGGAGGAGCAATGGCAACACACTTATTATTCAAGTAACAATACCAACTTTCGTTTGACCGTTAAATGTCAGTCAATACGACTGATCCAACGAGCTATGACCGTTAAACACCAGCGCTGCCAACATTCCTCAAACAGCAGGCGAATAACGGCACGCCCGTGTTGGGGCAGACGATTGGCATCAGTCTGAGTATCCGATCAGCCGAACCAGAGGGTCACGTCAGCTCCAAATGAATTGCATAGACTCGTGATCCTTTGGCCTGACGTTATGTTATTCGGACCACCTCACCCATCTATCACCATTTCACCGAATTTAAGTGTTTGTGTCGCCGTGACAGCAATTCAATAGCAGGTCAATGATGAATTTGCCTCATCTTCGTGACTGGCCCGGGACAAAGTTTATGCATCCCGTGGGACACCAGCGGGCACCAGGTCAGACCACATCGATGGACAAATCGATAGCCTCTACTGTCGTCCGCCACAGCGTAGGTGATCGCTAAGCCGCACTGAGCGGTAACAGTGGGGCGGGGAGGGACAGAGTAGGTCCCTACCAGGACAATGCCGTGTTTAGCATGTGATGCATCGGTATCTGGCAGGGTCTAGCCGTCTGCAAACGGCAGGGACACCAGGTACATATATGTACACTGACTGTTGCGGTACCAGCGAGCACAACGGTACACACTACACGTGGACAGCGTGCACGATGGTACACGATTGCAAGAGTTGCAAAGGTAGCCGTGTGCCGCGTAGCCGCACACGGCAGTATGGTGGTACGAAACGCTCAGCTACTCACCCGCTGTTCCCGGGGGATGGCCGTCGATTCCCTCTTCACCACCACATCAGGAGTGCGGTGGCTCAGCTCCGAGCCGGAGCCGGATCCGGAGCCGCCGGAGCCCCGCAGCCGCGGCGTCTCCCGCGAGCGAGTGAACGTCTCCTTAATCTTCCGCAGTGTGTTCGACTTGACCTGTTCCGGCGGGGTCCCCTCGCCGCCGCTGCCGCCGCCCCACCGCTTCCTACGCCGCTTCTCCAGCGTGGACGAGTTGGAGGCCGTCGGCGCGTGGGTGGGTGTCCCCACCCCGACTCCGATCTCCTGCATGGCCGCTGCCGGGATGGGGATGTCTCTGGGCGGGGCCACTCCGCGCGCCCACCGCGACTCGGTGGGAAGAGACGCCTCGGCCGGCGTGCCTCCCGAGCAGCCCGTGTACGCCCGGCCGCGCTGGATGAACTCGACGTTCTCGTAGATCGGCTCCTCCGGTGCGGCGGCGGCCGGTGTCGGTCCCACCGAGCTGACCCGGTTGCCGCTGAGGAAGTGGCTGGGCGAGCCGGGGCCCTGCGGGTCGACCCCGGGCGGTGTGAGCAGCGCGGCCGCCGGGGAGGGGCCCGGACCGGCGGCAGAGACGGCCGGCGGCTGGGGGCCGGACGGCGGCGCGGCCGGAGACTCTGCCGGCTGACTGCGGGCGATCTCCGGTACCACGGCCGACTGGGTGACGAACAGGGCAGATACCGAGGCCGGGCCCACCGGGTAGACGCGGTCCAGCTCCTCCGAGCTGAACGCCGCCTGCTGCCGACACACGGAGACATGGATAGGTCAGAGAGCGGCTCAGGGTGCTGGTCAGCGCATAGGTTATGATACAGGTCAGGGTACAGATATGGGACAGGTACGCACACACGCTAGTATACTGGTCGGGGGTAAGGACCGTGCCATGGGCCATGTCAATCGTCACGGCACATGTCAGGGTACAGGTCTGGGTAGTGGGCACAGCCGACTACACGGGCCAGGTGCCATTGCACAGACAACAGCACAAGAAACATGACAAACATGGCCGCTCAGGAGACATGTCAAGATACAGGTAGCACGCGGTTCAGGACGCATGTCAGATAAATGCAATCTTTTCACTACAGCATACCAGTCACTCAGCTATCAATTTCAATACAATATTACAGTATCGTGTTCAGTACTGCACAGCTAAGCTTCAACCTACGAACTTACGCGTTAGACAATGCGCTCGTATGTAAAGCAACACAAAGTCTACAACAGGTAGGGCGGAAGCAACTACCAACTGGGGACACAAGACAACTGGGAGCCCCTCGCGCCTCGGGAGGTCCGGGCCTGACGATCGATGACATCCCATGCATCGATCGATATCCGACGTGTTGTGTTGCTCCGTGTGTCACCCGCGTGTCACAGTGTGTCACTGACATGTGGAGACCCGCACTAAGGGCGTCAATACATTGAGCGAATCCTCGCCAAACTTCGTTCGGCCACAGGCCAGTCGCCCGCAGCCACAACAAACCCGGCGTCTGAGTCACGGTTCGGCATACCATTCCACAAATCACTGAGTCAGCCGTGCATACGCTGTGTGCGGCGTAGTCGTAAATTCACGACGGCAAAACTCCAGAGAGGTGACGGAATAACTCTCGCTAATTCCCATTCTGACATCACCTCATGTCTGGTAACGTCAGTGCTTCCGCTGAGGTGCCGGCGGCGGGATGAGCTGGCGCTGTCCGAACTCATCGACTCATCGACTCCATGACTCATGACTCAGGTGCGGCTGGGATCTGTTGCTATGCCACTGGTCATCCAGGGAACTCGGGTACGCTAGTCGGTCAGTTGACATTGTCGAAATGGACCACGGCACAGCACGACATTCTAAGCACGGCGCTACGCCACTCAAAGTGCGGCGCGCGCCGGGAGGAAATTCGTCATTGCTGCACGCTGCCAATGTCAATATGTATCATTTGTGTGACACAATGTCAATACGCAGGCTTGCAATTTTATGCTGCGCAGTAGATTCTGCAGCAGTTCCCACCCACATCAGCGTTTCAAACCAGCCACTGGCATGGTGCCTTCACCACTTGGCCGCTCTACACGTATATCCCTGTCTACCGAACGCCTCCGTCATGCCAACATTTTTCATTTCCTCACGCCACAGCGCCCCGCATTCTCCAATGCCAACTATTCCAGAGTCGGTGACGGTGACGGCGGTGTCGGGGTCGGGCCGGGGGGAGGGGGCGGTGTCACGAGCGCGCGCGGCCTGTTTTGGTTCCGTCCCGGCACGTGACCTGACCGGGAGTCACGCGTGCCCCCCCCCCCTCTCTGGCGGACGGGGCGGCACGCGGCACGCTATCCGATGTCAGCCCCCGGACCAACACAGGCTTCGAGCCGCAGGTAGCCAAGGCCAGTCAGCCGCCGGAGTCTCCATGCGCCGGTGTGCCGGCGGGACAGACCGGTCGGCCTGTCTCCGACACCGCCCCTGCCGCCGCCGGTCGTCCTTCGCTCGGTATCCAGAGCGGTTACCGGTGCACGGCGCTGGGTGCCGACCGGTGACAGGCCGGCCGGTCCGACACCGCGCCGGCTCGGCGCCTATCTCCCCTGTATCGGCCCGGCGCCGCCACGCGAAACGGTAATCACAAACAAACCAGTCCGGGCACTGGTGTCGGGCGCTGAGCTGCCGCGCACCCAAAATAAACCGATTCATTGAGAATGGTTTTCGAAGGGCACTCCAATAACAACAGCCGTTTCGAGGCGCGATTCGTTGAGAAAGTGGGCACGGAATTCAATCCTGCATCACCAGTTAATCAGATGATTATCACCGACCACGATCTGTAGAATTTCGGTCATCCACCTGACCGGCCCAGCAGTGTGACAGATTTTAGGACGAGCTCCGCCGTTCCCGCCTGCCACGTGCCCGTTAGTCGGTGGCCCCGCTCGGCAAAGGTCAGTCAGACTGTGTCCGGTAGGGGCAAGGCAGCGGCACCAGAGGGGGCGGGGCTGTCAGGGCCGGGACTATCACATGGTGTGAGTCAGCTCTGTCATTTGTCCATAGTCAGATACTGTGGTCGTGATTCACATCTGATATTAGAGGCCAAATGTCCCCCGAATCAACGTATCAATCCACATATGTGATTCTCTCAGAGTCAACGCATAATCCACACATTGACCGTGGGAGACTTCTCGACAGGGGTTTGTGGGCGTGTCACCTCACCCAAAGACGCTGTTTTCGTGAGAATATAGCCCCGAATCACTTTCGCACCGTCTTTGCTAGCGCGTAGGAGCATTGGAAAATCGGCGTTTAGCGCAGCTAGGAGCTTTTTCCAATCGTATACGAGCGAAAAATTTTGTGGTACCATGACTTCTCTGTTTGGCCCTCTAGGGGCAATGAACCAGCGCGCGGCCGCTGCGCAGTCAAGACGTCCGTCGCGGTCACGTGACTTAGGCTAGGGGACGCGCGCCCGCGATAACGTTGTGTCCCATTTCTGCCTGGTCTGTCTGGCGACACACGCGTTGCCGTCCGCCTCCCCGCCGCCGCCATGTCATGTTATTCGCTTGTCGCGTGTTATACCTCATCGGGCTGTCACCTCACCCAAAGACGCTGTTTTCGTGAGAATATAGCCCCGAATCACTTTCGCACCGTCTTTCTCGACAGTCTTCAATAAACACCCTGTTGTGAGTGTTCAGCACATATACCGCTGAATATCCAGGACGCTTGAAGTTCAGCTGGAACCCCTACCATTCCCCAACGTCTTGTCGATCAACCCGGGTCTTCAATTCTTCCCTCACGCAGCCTCCGAACCTCATGCAGTCCATTCAACCAAAAACATATTACCAACCTCCGATCTCTACCCGAACAAACCCGAATAAACCCAATACAGCCAGCTTTCGTAGGTGAGACAACGAGCCGGCCAACCTTCCCGCGCTACTCACAGGTAAGAAGCGCCAACCCCACCACGCTTCTCCCCCGCACTCACCGGTGAGAAGGCGACGGTGTCGGCGAGGTTCTCGTAGGTGCGGTGCGTCTCCCTGCTGAGACCGGCCGCGGCCCGCGGCTGGTTCAGACGGTTCTTCCGCGACACCAGGTCGGGACTGGAGCGGCTCACCTGTGAGGGAAAGAAGGGTGTAAAAATAACATATCTTATTTATAGGGTAAGAGGGTAATAGTGTGCAAGAAGGCTGTCAGGCGGAGGTTCCGCCTTCTTGGAGACAATTAGACAAACAGTTCTCACCACAAGGTGTGATTATCGCCGTGCCATAGTTTTTCGGTATGTCGCATCCGCCTCAGCGCTTTTTTTCGTTTCCCTCAGCTGTGCATCGGAGCATGCCAGCTCCGACTGCCGCGGTATGTCCCACCCATGACCAGGGCCAGGGACCACAGTATGTGTACCCTACCACACCCTGGACGGCCCTGCAGAGACTGGGACCGCACCTCTTCAGTACCGGGGTCACCGCAGCGGCTACCTCTAACCGCCGGACGACGGACACACCCGCTGTCATGCCAGCGCGCACGCAAGGAGTGGCTAGGGAGAGTCCCGAGGACAGAGGCCGCTCTGCACGGCGGCGTTGGAAGATATGACGTCTAAGGAGGTGACATGGTCAGCCAATATCCCTATAGTGGTGACTGGCGGTGGCAACAGGCAGCGGAGGCGGACAGATGGCCGCAGACTCGGGGCGGAGCGGCCAGACTGTCCCTGACCCGACCACCGCTGCACGGGTGTGTTCCGTGCCCAGCTCTCCGTGTATGTGTGTGTGGGTGCAGCCGGGCGGCGGCGGCGGCGGTCCGCCCAGACTGTCGGGCGGCGCACCTTACCGGGTGGCGGTCCGCCCGAATCCGCCCCGCCGACCCTGGGTGAGCGGTGAGCACACCGCCCGGCCAGCCGCCCGGGGTCAGACGTACGCGGTCGGCGGACGGACAGTAGGGAGCGTCCGCGGGAATATTCTCAGCGTTCGCCTTCAGTAGCGGCCGTCCGTTAGACGGACGGGTGGCTCAGGAATCAGCTCAGCCGTCACGAACGCTGCCGGTCCGACAAACCAGGCAACGGGTGCCGGCCGACCACTCCGCCGCTACAGCAGCCACCAAAGCCGATCAGAGCATAGGAGAAAACACTACTTTGATATATTGAAAAGGTCAAGAAAGAGCCAGTCTCGGCGTCAGTCTCAGAGTCGACAAACCGAGGAAAACAGTCGCCGAGTCGCCGTTGCGCAATCGACGGCCCGTTGGCCGGCGGCCGTCACTCACATTCAGCGACGGAAGACCCACAGAGAACCTGTTTTCCGCTTAATAAATAGCGCGATCGACACCAGATAGCGAAAAGAACCGGACAACATACCGGCCCGGCGACTACCTGTCCGGCAACTTTGCACCGCGCCGGCAAATCCAGGCGTTGCGTAAAGCCAGAAACACGTCCGTTTTTCGCTATGACGCACGTACGATCTACCTACTGAGCACTGCTGGAGGTAGCGGCAGGAACAACAAAGAGGAAACGAAATGGAGCGAACAGGCATAAGCCCGGATCAGAAATCCGCAGCAGCTCAGAGACCCACGTTGCGTAAGGAGACGATGACTCGACCTGGAGGCTGCGTGACTGAGAGACTGTACGCGGAAAACCGCACGCCGCCGTCGCCAGACACGGATGGAGGGCAGACTGGGAAACCACAGTGCTGACGCTAGTCTCTATCCTGGGATAAAGACTAGTCTATATCCTGGGATGAATACAAAGAGGAAACACGCAGGTGGGAGTGTCAACGCTCACGAGACACCGCGAGGCACAGGGAACACGCGAGAGTGTCGAGAGCGCTCACCAGACACCAGCGCAGCGGCACTACTGAGCCGAGAAGCCCTGCACTGAGGCACCCGCTCACCACGGCTCGCACTGCGACACTTTGTAGTGAGATAGTGCACAGTGCACCAATTCACCCCTGAAACACGCGGCCGCCTGAGCACGAGCGTAACTCACTGTTCAAACAAGATAACGCACACACACCTGCACCTCGCACGACACAATTACGCTGTTGTACTACGATAAACCATGGCGGCGTAGTCACCGCCTCTGACAGCAGCTCGAGCAGGTCGAGCAGTTCTTACCCTGCGGAGAGCGGCCAGCGGTGGTGGCGGCGAGCCCGTTTCCGCACCATGGTACTCGCGCGTCTCCAGAAGACTGCTCGCCACCATGACAGACGTCCTCAGACTTCTCTCAGACTTCTCTCAGACTCTATCAGACTCCAGGGTGCGACAGTTCGTCAGGATCTCCCAACCTCCACAGCACGACTCTCCACACAGCTCTCTGTTCACACGGCCCGCGCCAGCGCGGCCCACCGACTCGACTGAGGGCAGCGTCCAGTCAGCCGCGCCGGCCGGTCGGCCGGTCCGTCTCGTGACCGGTCTGCGCCGCCGCCACCAGCGCCGCCGCCGCTGCTGAGGCGCTGTTTAGCCAGCAGGGCGCGCCGCCAGTCGAGGTTACACGCAAGGTGACTGACCAAAAGAAGCGCTGCGCCCCCGCTCTCTCTCCATTCATCCATCTCTCTATCCCCCGTCGCCTCAGTGGTTTGACGGTTGTGGGCGGCATATGACGCATGATAACCGATAGCGTCGGTTTGGAGTTCTCCTGACCGTGCCACTCACGCGTGAATCAGTGTCACGACTGGTGACACACCAACATACCAAGGCACAGACAAACGGAGCGGCATGTGTGAGGTATGCAATAGATAACAAACGACACTATGCAGCTTCAGTCGGTAGTGGGAAATTGATCAGTAATTCACGGACCCGTGTGACTAAGAATCACAAACTCATAAATAGATAGAGCCCACTGTATGCAGAAACCCCGAGAAAGGTCAGCTAACTGCGTTACATCACCAATCCTGGACGCTCACGCCGTGACTTTCCACTTCGTGATTTTCCACGGACCGAATCATCGACCACGCCGTCCGGTACGGAGGTGCCATGCCACACATGTCCTAATATGCCAGCCCGCCTGACATTTCCCTCAGCTCGTCCGTGAGACGTGAGACACGCAGGTCGATCGGACCTCATCGTACCCCGACCTGACCGCAGACCATGGCTAAACGGCACGACCGGAGACCAGGGACCACAGACCAGAGGGCACGCCGCGGACCATGAGCTGGGACCACGGCGTAGGACCACGACCACGAGCATACCACACCTGGTGACTGCGGTCTCACGACGCCGACAGCGGAGAAGCAGACGTTGCGGTCACCAACACGCGCCAGGTGCGTGAATGCAGCGTGGTGGTGGTGAGCGCAGAACAGTCAGAAAAAGAAATATCGGAGATTACAGACTGCGCCGCGTCCAGAGTATCGGAAGTTGCACTGCTCCAAAACACGCTCTTAAACAGGCGAGATGATTCGATAATCAATGAATCATCGCCCAGTCTTTCCAAGTCCAAACCCAAGTGTCTTTCTTCCCAACAGAGATTGCCATCTAAACGACAGCTCAGATTCTGCAGCGTCCCATCCATGCCTCACCATCCGCCATGCCTGCAGGTAGACCTGTAATTGTCAACGTGGCGGTGGTGGCATGATTCAGGTGTCAGAGGTGACAATGACACCCTCCAGCCGTGGGTGTCATCGGGTGTCACCTGTCATCCCCCCAGCCATGGGGAGACCTTTTGTATGAGTCAGAGACGACCCCGCTAGTGTGCAAACTAGCGGGATGGGGCTGCAGCGATTCACGAACAGAATGTTCCCCAGCCGGAACAGGCCGGCTTGCATTCAGTTACAGCACGACTCAGTGCGAGCTATGTACAGCGCTCGACTGGGCTAAAGCTCTGGCAAGATAGGTGGCAGAGCAAGTGGCCTTCAAAAGAAATGGTTATCAATCTTAATTCCTAATAACGACGACTGGCAAAATCGTAAAAACAAAGCAGGCACAGTCGCTCTCACACGCTGTTCAATCTAGTTTCATTTGTTTAAAATATATATAACACTCAAGTTCGAAAACAGCTATATCTAAATGATTACTTTATCGCGCAAGCACAAACAAGGCAGTTGCAAATTGTGGCGCCACTTTAACAAGGCCATTAAGGTAACGTCTGATCCCGCTTTGATAAAGCAGTGAGCTTAGACAAGCCAGCTATCGGGAAAGGCTGTGGTTCTGTGCCGTTGTCAGGGAAAGGTCACATTGGATTGGTGCCACGCCAGAGCTGGCCATACCTCTTGCATGTGATGTGACACATAGCCACAGTGCAGCCGGTGTAACTTTCATGCGTTCGAGAAACGATCTGATGAAATGGTGCATACAAGAAGAGCTAGACGCAGAATACAATGGAAACGACAAGATGACTCCTATATCCAACTAAGGAGAGAAATGAGACAGACGAAACAAAGAGAGGAAGAGAGCGAGAGCGAGAGAGAGAGAGAGAGAGAGAGAGAGGGGGGGAGAGAGAGAGAGAGAGAGAAAGAGAAAGAGAGAGAGAGAGAGAGAGAGAGAGAGAGAGAGAGAGAGAGAGAGAGAGAGAGAGAGAGAGAGAGAGAGAGAGAGAGAGAGAGAGAGAGAGAGAGAGAGAGAGAGAGAGAGAGCACATCACGGGACAATAGCCGCCCGTGCCACACAGGGTCGACCCCGCCTTCTCCACGCTGAGAGCCACCAAACAGACCTTGAGGGACCGGCGGGCTCTGAGTCAGCTCTTCAGACTCCGTGACGTCACAGACAGGTAGTATGACGTCACACCAGGAAGGAATGGCCGGTCGGCGCGGCACGACGGAGGGAGGGGGAATATCGCCCATACAGAGCTGGCGAGGCATAGCTATGACTGTGACGATGGGCTTCTCTCCCGAGGCACAAGAGAACTGTTGCTTCAGAGGCAGGACGGAAGACATCGTTAAGACTTCTTTACACCTAAGAAAAAATATTATTCTGAGGGCCATACATCACAGAACTTCTACATTGTGATGAGATATAAGCGTAGCACCAATATCCTGAAAGATAATCCCTCTCAAATTCTCTGGATAATGAACACTTGTTATGACAGCCATTCAAATTATTGCGATGCACGAAACTGCATCGACCGGCCATTCGTCATCATCGGCTATAATGTCGACCATGCTAATCCGGGGCGCAAATAGCCCGTGTTCGGCGGCTGTGTTCGGCACGGGTCGGCCCACACCGGATCCGACCGGCCTGATGGCGCATTTAAACAGGACCGCTCACGCTGCCGCCACCAACGGTGGAAGGGGAGGGCGGGGTGCTCGGATCAGAGCACGCATAGCATAGCACGGCAGCTCCATATAATGTTTCGGCTGAAGGGAGATAAGAACCATAGCGAAGCTTCTGCAACCGGTCATCAATAAAGGCATGTTCTGTGAACGAGTTTGAGCACAGTATGACCTCCAGAAAGAGAGACGAGTACAGAAGTAGGCATAAGCGAAACATAAGATATTGCAGACGCGAGGATAGGATGCGAACCGAGGGTGAAAATAAGCGTAACTTTTAGTAAGCTGTGCGTGGGAATTCGTGCATGAATGAAGATCTAATGACATGCCTCTCATTGACATAAGCGTCACAACAAGCCGGCCGGCCGGCCATCTCCCCAGTCGGTTAGTCGGCCGGTATTTGAACAAGGTTACTGGAGCGGTCCGCTGATGAAATTACCCGTAACAATAGCCGCGGATCACCCACCTCGCTCCGGAGGTCTCCGAGCGGTGAGCTCACAAAAAGGAGCACAAGGAGGCGATCGCTGATCGGGATACCGGACGTGGGCACGACAGGAGACCAATCAGAAGTCCCAATCGAGGACCGATCAGCCGATCAGGGGTGGTCGAACCACAGATCCATCACAGGCGTCTCGGTGAGTCTGACGGGAAAGAAGAACTTAGCTGGCTGAACTCACAAGTAGACAAGACCGACGGGGCTTAATTCGCAACGAATTTTCCAGGTGGGCCAGAAGACCACCGATGTAGGCAGTGAAATCATTCAATTAGAGGCCAGAGCTAGATGGAGTGATCGGCCATAACACTGTATTCAAGGTATATCCAGCCACTCGAACTCGATCGATACCGTGATCATCTGCCCGCCCAGACTCAGTAAGTTCTGGAACTCGGATCGATGAAGATGCCTGGCGGAGGCAGACACGCCGCTTGATATGAGGATGATCTGGTGGAGCACTGCAGTCGATTGGACAGAAGCACGCCTAACCAGCCGATCTATATAAAGGTAAACAGGAATACAGCTGACTGGTGGGCGGATATGATACGCTGAAGCCATACCTAGCGCGGTGCAAGCGATGCAGGCGGTTGATTAGAAAGCAGCACATACTTAAGAATTACTGGCGTGCCACACCCACATTTGGCAATGAGGCCTACAACGTTGAGCCTGAGGTAAAGCGGAAAAATAAAATGAGTAAAATGAGAAACACCTAAAACACAAGAAACATCAAGCCGATCCAACTTCACCAGCCCAACGCTTCGGCTGTATCAGTATACTCACACAATTCCGGCTCCCTCTCCACACCGCACTGAAGCTCCCAGCCCAGCAGCTCACAGCTCCGGCAGCTTCGACACCCCACAGCTCTGCCGTGGAGCGCGGTGACTCGACTGGCAGCCCGGCGGAGGCTCGACGCTCTACTGACCCGGCACCCGGCGGCAGCGGCGGCGGTGGCGGTGGGCGGTGGGCGAGCGGTGGGCGGTGGGAGGTGGGAGGTGGGCGAGCGGTACGGTCGTGGGACAGCGAGAGCGCCTCTTCCGGCAGACATAGCGGTAGCGTGCGCCCGGCGCCGGGCCTCTCACGGCCAGTCAGCGGGCGGTGAAACACGGCGGGCCAGGGGTGGCGAGACCCCGGGACGCCCTGCTAATGGGGTGAACTCAGAGCGATGAGCGAGAGCCAACGGAAGCGAAACTGACGGCGAGCAAAGGCGAGAGACAATCGACCGCCATCAACCAACACAGGCGAAAGGGCGAACGGAAACACGGCCGAGTCTGAATATCTCAAGTTTTTCTCGTTGAATCTGGTCGTGCCCAACAGGAAAAACGTCATGGGATAAAGATCAACGTTCAAACGAACACTGATTTTATCAAAGGTCGAAGGCCGGCGACCAAACAGGTTCGGGAGATCAAACCGGAACCATGGGAGAAAACGGTACGGCCACGACTCCGGCAGCGCTGCTGCTGTAGGAATGTTCGAGGTAAAACTGCATACTGCCGGGCTGCACGATCGAGCACCGTATGCTGACCATTACTCACCGATTAATCCCCTGGCCTCCGCAGCATGCAACGAAACACAGTCAGAGCTCCTGGTAGCAACTCAGGCGGAACCAGGCGTGACCGGCCACTGGGCTTCCGGAGAGTCTACGGAGTCAAACGCTGACTTCCGACGGAACCACGCTACATACGTCGGCCTGCACTGCCGGCACGCCACAGCGCAGGGACCCCATGCCTCGGAACCCTACAAAAGGCACGGTAACCGCACCGACCAGTGAACATTCACCCCCTCCCCTTCCTAGCCCCCTTCTGACGCGGCGGTTACATCACAATACGCCGTGACGGGGCGGCCGAGCTATGGCACAGCTCTATGAGGCACCCGTGGACACTGGAGCGATCTTTCCGCCCTGTGGCTCCACCGGCCGCCTCAGACGGCGCCGTACGCCTCACGGCACGGATAAGACACGCGCTGTAGCGGCGCCGTCACGGGTGGAGACTTCTTGCGCCCGAGAGCGAAAGGCAACAGGTGGACACAGACGGGCATTGCGCAGGGATGGTCCGGGCTCTTGTTTTAAAAGGGGTTCTTAATTGCAAGTGTGCACTGCAAACCGTAAATTGTCCGCTAAGTATGTTCTTGAAATTCGCTGCTTCCGGTCGATGGTCTGCATAGAAAGACCCGACGGGCACAAACTTAATACTCAGCCTGAATAAATTACTACCAAGCCGCGGTATAATACTGTCATAGAAACGAGAGGAAGAGTTCGAGCGGTAAGGAACACCTTGGAATGCCATACATGGCTCCTTCTTTGAACTTTGAACCCCAAACCGCTCAAAACATGTGATCAGGCTCGTGATAAGTGAGAGCAAGATATTAACTTGGCTGCAGGATATCTGGTTCAGAATATCAACTTGATAAAGGTGCCCTATCGGACCGTCTACTCGGCGTCCCTCATTCTGCCGCCCACACCTAATGACAGCGATCACCACTGACAGTAACTGACGGCCACCCCCGCCGATACCCCGCAGCGAGGACGGGCCAAAGGTTGGCCGCCGTGCGTCACGGCAACGTCACGTGGCGTCACGAGGGGGCGTCACGAGGGGGCGTCACGGGGCCGTCGGTAGGAGAAGTCCCGCATCTGTGACACCAGCGACACGGTCAACTGCAGCAGGCAGCGCCGATCAGCCGAGGGCGGTGGCTTTGTGAATATCCGCTGAATTACGGACAATCGATGGCGAACCCGTGGTGTGGCACCGAAACCTTCGGACTGATAATCGCAAAATAAAATATTGTCATGCCCTTTCGCATAATAAAATGCAGATACACTATTTCAAAGGAAAAATTGTGTGCTGACTTGACTGGCAAAATACCTGTAAAATGAATGGCTGGCAGAGACCGCTGACCAGTAGACAACTCACCAGCCCAGGGTGAAGAGACGGCGCCGAGTGATCATCTGTCTTGGGAACCGGCGGGGCGTTCCTCGACTTGCGAGGCGACGGAGACCGCCTGGGCGGCGGCGGTGGCAGCACAAGACACTTGGCCGGCTTCGCACGCACCACAGGCAGTTCAGCCGTTTCGGGAGACAGTACGAGCCGCTCGACCGGTTCACGAGACACTTCGGCTCGTCTCGCCTCCGGAGCCGCTACAGGTCGGCTCGCTTCAGGAGGCACTTCAATTCGCCTTGCTTCAGGAGACTCTTTAGGTCGGTTTGCCTCAGGAGACCTCTCGGATCGAGTCGCCTCCGGGGATGCAGACCTTCTAGCCGGCTGAGGAGGCGACACAGGTCGCTCGACTGGCTCAGGTGGCACAACAGACCGCTTGGTTGGCTCAGGAGGCGGCATAGACCGTTTAGTTGGCTCGGGCGGCAGTCTGGTCGGTTCAGAAGGCAGTACATGTCGTTTGGCCGGTTCAGGAGGCACCACGGACCGTTTCACCGGCTCCGGAGGAAGCACATGCCGCTTGGCCGGCTCCGGAGGCCGCCGTCTGTCCGTCTCGAGCCCTGGCATTGTGAAGCACTGACGAGGAACACCTCTGTCGAAGTAAGACAATAAACTGTGAGAGGTTCGCTCTGACCCACTGCGGTCGGCGGCGCTATCTAATCAGCCGCCTAGCGCGGGAGACAGATAGCAGGAGAGTGGCACTCTCCACACACGGCTCCTGGGCTGACGGTATGTCGGCAGCACCGGAGTGTCGTTAGGTCTGTCCTAGGACCGCAGATAACCCTCACAGCCTCCAGAGCCGATACGGAGCCCCGCTGGCCGCCTCCACACCTCGCAGACCGTCAATCACTGTGCTCAGCTGATCACAGACAGACGGAAGAGCCCCGCCCCCGACACCTCCCGGCACCCCCCCCCCCCCCCTCCCCGGTGATGGCGCGGCGGCTCCACATTAGAAAACGGCCCGTTTCCGGCACAGCACGGCAGACGGTAGCTCGCTCCTGCGCCATTAATGCCCCGGTGCACAGCACGCCACCACTGGCTGGGGTCGGGTCAGAGGTCACGCCGTGGTCCGGTAGGGTCAGTGAGGTCGGAGATCGGAGCAGGCCACCCACTGCACACACCGCATTCACGGCCAATGTAACCCCAGAGCGGTTTGGTCAAACGGAACCGGTGTCTTCATAAAACACCGCAATCTTCATATGAGGGAGAGCATCCAAGAGACAATCACCACTGTTTACATGCGTGAAAGCTTCAGAGAGAACAGTCTGTACGATGCGATACTGGACTATTTAGCGTCTCAAGATAACGGTGATTCACCGTGACGCTGTTTCTTGCTTCCATCTTCGTCCCTCACGAGGCCAATCAAACGCGCTACCATTAAACCTCCCCCGCTCCATGAATCACCCCTCCACTCGCCCGGCGCGCCGTTATACAGCGCAGCCCGGGACCCACCTGCACATTAGCCGAGGCCAGGTCGGGCGTGGAGCAGCTGGCCAGCTTGCTGTACGGGTAGGGCGGCGGCGGCTTGTACAGCTGGTGCTGGAACAACTGCAGCTCTGACGTCATCACGGGGTCGGTCGTGACGTCGCCGAGACTCTGAGAGGCCAGCTCAGGCGTGCTGCGGCGGAGACGGCGGGACGCGGGGTTAGTGAGTGAAGGACAACTTCGTGTCACACATAATGACATCAAATGGTATATAGGACCACACAGTAACATCATGAATATAGGTCGGTCAATGTAAGATTGAAAGCGTACCATGTATCTCAGCGTGGTATTTAAATGTAAATTCAAATGAAACTTGCAAAAATAACTTGTTAAATAAGGTACCTAAATTAAAGTAAGCATTCCGGAGAATCATACGCAGCTTATTGAAAGTGATGTTTGTGAAGGTGGCTCGGAGCTTCCTACCAACTGCCACTTGTCGGATAATTTGTCACGGAAGAGGTGTAATTTGGAAGTTTACGAAAGCCGAGGTTAAACACCGGAGAAGCAGCTGCGTGACTGAAACACTGTTATTAGCCGGGGTCGTGTCTCACTGTGTTCTCATAGTCTAAAACTAATTACAAAAAGTTGTCACGCAACACTCCTACCAAGCCTCTTGGAATAACAAATCTAGGCCGGGTGTTTTGTAAAGTAAGAGTGTTAGTTTGCGTAGTTTATGTTTTATTTCATTAGCAATTCTCAGCATTCAGAAAGCCAATATACCTGAGCGCCTTGGATATTACGACATCCAGCATGTCGGGTCAATGAAGAAAGGTTTTGTGGATTTTATTAAAATTGACAAGCCAATCGCTATATTCACATAGTCTCAAAATCATCAGCCAAACAAAGGCGCTTTATCGTTGCTCTCTATGTCAGAGGAAACATGCGGTCCACGCTCAAACACACATCATCTAGCCACACTGAAGCCAGCAAACCACTTAAAGTGAATGTCTTTACACGCTTCTACCGATAAGATAGGTTGATTCCGGCATAATCACATGACAAACACATGACCTTGATGCCGTGCAGGTATTTTAAAACCAAACATCTGTGAATATTGTTGAGACAAATAGACCACTTTACACTGAATAGCCTCTATGTAAAAATGTACAGGTGTCAGATACCGTCACTTACTTTACCGTCTCCCGTATCATCACAAACAGAGGACCTGATCTAACGCTCCCCCACCGTCCCACACAGCTCTCACTGACCTGTACGTGTGGACACTAGAGTTGATAAGATCTCCAGCGGCTGGCAGAGCCTGCACTGCCGCTCCGTTACCAAGGTAACCGAACGAAGGCAGGTGAGACAGATCGGCATAGTTTTTGTACTGTGAGAAGTCGGTCACCTGGCAGAAAAGGAAAAATCGTTAGATGGCGGAATAGTTTACCAAGTAACTAAATGGACAGGTTCAAAGAACCTTACTTGTTCTCTCCAATAAGTTGAAACGGAATGACTCCAATTATGAGTGGCTTGCTTTTCCAAGAGTGCAGGGTGCAAGCCAGGCGAGTTCACAAGTGTCTCATCCCCGTCCAGGATTGAATAATGGTTTCTTACCGTGCCCCAGAACATTCCTCCATCTCAGCATTCTATCTCACGCTGAACTACTGTCACACATGCCCCAATATTATTCATTTGACACTGTTCCACCGCTACATTGTTCGCTATCACTACAACACCGCTCCTCTCGTGTTTACTTCAGTCTCTCATTACCCCTTCTGTTTCTCATCTCGTCTCTCGCTCTCCCCCGCACTCACATCCGCCGGCTCTTTGTGCTGGATCTCCGGCTGTGACCGGTACATGTAGGACGGCTCGGCAGCCGGCGCCGCGGCCACGCTCGCCGCCGAGTACATCTGTTTCAGGGCCGTGTCGTAGTCGGGCGCCTGGCGGTACTGCGGCAGCAGCGCCCTACGGTGGCGAGACGGGGAACTAGAGGTTAGAAGTGACTGCCATATAGGCGCTGGGCGGTAGCACAGTATGTTAGTCCAATACAATGTACAAAAAATATACCTGCGACAAATACAAGACAGTCGAACAGGTCTCCATCGAACCCTAGCCTCCCATGACAACAGTCACACAACCTCGGGCCATGTTGTTAACGAAACGAACCCTAGCCAAGTTAACGAAACCGAACGGCCGATTAGTCCAAATTCGTCCACACACTCTGAACATGTCTATATGATGCTCCATAACCCGACTCCGCCGCTCTCACATAGCACTGACATCGCCGGCACTCCAAGTCCAAAAACATGGTATCATGCCTCATGGCCCTCCGACTGAAACAGTCAACGCTGGGACAGCCAGGACAGCCCTCGTCACCGCTGAGTAGCGAGCTACCCACCTTTCAGTCAGATTATCATCTGCGTCGGCCTTATCTGAGTCCATCGAGGCTCAAATCGTGTGCCTATGATCAGCCAACAAACAGAAAACGCCGACAAAAGGCTTATATTATCCACTTTGAATCAATATTTGGGTACTTCGCTCAAGGCGGACGCCTTTCCCACGAGTCGCTTGAAAAAAGACCGGCAAAAAGACGCATTGCAAAACAAGGCCGCAAAAATGGACGGGCTGAAACTAATGGCACGTGCGCCGTTTCCGAGGATACCTTCAACAAAGAAAAACAACGCCTGTGCTTGGCCTGTTGTTCAACGCAGAGCATATTGAATTGTGTTCGTCCTTCGGGTGGGACTAAACCGACAAGTTAACATAAAATTAACCATATTAACAAAACCAACAACTATTGAGCAACTTTATTTCATCAGAAACTGACCTGGCCTGAGACAATTGTTGCTGCTGTTGCTGCTGCTGCTGTTGCTGTTGCTGCTGCTGCTGTTGCTGTTGTTGTTGTTGCTGCTGCTGTTGCTGCTGCTGCTGCTGTTGTTGCTGTTTCTGCTGCTGCTGCTGGCCTAGGCTCCAGCTGCTCTCCGTGTGCGGCTGACTGTAGCTGGTGATCAGCCCGTAGTGAGCGCTGCTGGTACTCTGCTCAGCCCGGTAGCTCGGCTCCGAGTGGTAGGTGGGGTCCTGAAACCAGAACCGGCCGGACGTCACAAATGGAGAGACTCGGGGTCGGCTGGGACACAGCGACAGCTCGGGAGAAAGCTGGATACTCAGGGTGTCACGTCATACACGGTGAACAGAAAATGCGTAATATCACACTAAACACAGATAATTTAAATTCAGATACAACGTGACACCACATAAATAGGGAGGAGTCGACAGGGATCAATGCAAGCCTGCTCTCATCAATCGGCGGCGCCGCATAGTCCACATCCCGTCCGAAAATTATGACACCTGCATAACAGAATAAGCTTTAGAAATAAGAAGGAAAAGGAAAGCCCAAATCACCACTCAGGCCACTACCATCCACCGTCTCGCCAGATCCCAATTTGGTGGCTCACCTGTCCGAAGGGACTGGCCCGGTCCCTCTCGGGCGCCACCATCCGCGGAACGGTCGACGCCTGTATGTCGGGCGGAGGCAGTCGTGACATGGTAGGCTTTCCCGACAGGAGCGCTTGGTTCGTGTCGAAAAACTTGTGCTGCGCGGGGAGGGAGTAGTCAGGTCAGTGATCAGTTCAGTTCAGAATAGGAGTGGTCAATTCAGTCGATGCGGCCATTATCATAGTCTGTTCTACTACACTAAATTCCAATGTTTACTCCAAGCTGTTCATTGTTCGGTAAATGATAAATGAACGATGCATATTGCATGGTGGAACAAACTCCAGACAGCAGTTGCGGTACACCCTTGGAAAGCAGCCTACACAGAACGTTCCCATGCATTCCAGAGGCGCTACATATTCATGCAAGTGACTAATCCACCTGCTGGCTGGTCGGACCACACTCAGGACTAGCTCCACGAACCGTTTGGTGACGTCAGCACACAAAACACGGGCCCAACACGGCGGCGACAGCTGCCTCAGGTCTGATTTACAGCGTAAACTGGAGCTGTGTAGCACATTCCTCATCGCCCGAGCCATTACAAACAGCTGACTCAAAAAACAACACCTCCGGTTGACCAGCTTCCGTCCAATATAACCACCGCGTACCTAAACCCTCTCATCATTCTTTCTGTCACCAGTATCGCTCATCCCCAAAATATCTCTACCCTCTCTCTCTACCCCTGCCTCCCTCCCTCCCTCTCTCACCTGTTGTACGCAGACCTTCCACACATATTTCGCCAGCTCCTTGTCGTCCATCACAAAGTTGGCCGCCCGGTTCTCAGTCAGCTCGATGCCGAAGTTCCGTTTGTGGTTGTGCAGGTTGGTGATATCGGCCCAGCGGTAGAAGGTGGGCGGCTGGTTACCGCCCAGTCGGACCACGATACCGGTCAGCGAGGCGCCCACCAGCACACCGTTGCCGCTGTCGTCCTGACGGGCATCGGGTCACAGGTCATGTCACATGGCATGGGTCAGACTACGGGTCAGGCCACATGGAGAGTAAGCGGCCAGGAACATGACAGGTCATGGGTACATTTGGGTCAAGTCATACGTCCGATTACGGTTCAAAAATCAAAATGCGGGTCAGGTCACATCTAAGCTGACAGACCAGATCAAACACTGATGCTGACCAAAAGAAGAGAATGAGACACCCAGAGACGGGGAAGAGAAAAATCACCGCGTGCCAAGACAGAATCCTTCTCTCCTCGCCAACCCTCTGCATAACCCTTGTCTCACCCGGCAGACAAAGTGCTCCTGCCCGTATCCCTCGAGCTGCTGCGCCTCGATGATGTAGTAATCCTCTGCGGCCTGCTGGGTGAAGCCGCGCAGAGTCGAGTGCGACTGGAGCGCCGCCTCTGTCAGAGTCTCACGACGCTCCTCGTCCAACACCATGTGCTGCAACGGGGCAGAAAGGGTCAGATAGGGGGTCAGATGAGGTCAGAAAAAGGGTCAGATAAAGTCAGATGAGGTCAGAAGAAGGGTTAGATAAGGTCAGATGAGGTCAGGGATGGTCACAAAGATGTAAGCTCTGGTAATCTAGTCAGAGCAATATCGTCAAATAACGATTGACTGTGTCAAAACTGACGTTACAGTCGGGTGTTAACAGAGTGATTTGACATACGGCGAGTCAGTCGGCAGACGGCCAATGCCAGGCAATTAGACAGACACGGTGTCATAACACTCAGGTGAACAACACGATATGATGACGTGAGGCATTCGACACGTGAGCTACCAACACACGTTGCTGGAATACCACACGCTAATGACAGACTAAACACAAACATCATTATTCTCTCCAGACACCGACATAGCGGTCCGACAGCTTGACGCTGTACCAATGGCATCGCCCGACCGTCGAGAAGGAACCATGCCTGCTCTACTCTTCTGTCTGTTGTAATAAACCCAATGCTATCCAGCCCTCCAGGCTGTCCTGGCTGTGTCGCTAGCCTGTACCGATCAACCAGTGTGCTTCACCAATCGGGAAAGAAAGCTTAGCTCAAAGGTTAGACGGTCATAACCTTAAATGGCTTCTTGGGGGAACGATAGCGCAATCTAATCAGCAAACAGCGTGCTGCGTACACAAAGTGGATAAGATTGGCAGGACAAAGGCGATCCAGTACAAACAAGCACGGATTTAGCCGAGATAGGTTATGCACACATTCCATCTATTAAATGAAACGTGGAGCTTCCGATTACGATAATAACAATAGTAGAATATCAGACCAGCATTGGCCTTTCCTGTCTACATGTTTGATTCCACTGCGTGTGCAAGAAAATCAGGAATACAGAAGCAGAGCAATTGATAACAATAGCCATCTCATGTCCCTAACATAGATCACGTTCTTGAATAACAATCCAACCGTTCAGGCATATCATCCGTCGAAGACTGCCTACTTCACGCTCCGAGTCCTACCCTGGAGAAGAGCTCCGGGATACATACTGGGCCGTGTGGCCGTGTCTCACCCTGGGGAAGAGCGCCAGCTCTACGCGTTGAGTCTTATCCCCTGGGGAAGAGCGCCAGCTCCCTCATGTACTGTGTATTGTGCAGAGTCTCACCCTGGGGAAGAGCGCCAGTTCCCTGATGTACTGCGCCGAGTGTCGGTCGGCGTCAAAGTCTCCCAGCTCCGCCTGCAGGCTGTAGCTGGCCAGCATCACTGCCTGCTCGTAGTTACAGTGCAGACGGCACTCGAGAACGTCATTCTTCAGCTGAAGAAAGTACTGAGTGCTGTGAAAGACACAGGAGGAAACCGTCAGAGGCATTCAATCGGCAGGATATTCCGGATGTTCATTGTTCACTCAACGCAACGCATATTTCGAGCAAAGAGCAAAGCTAGATACGAGAGGTACCATAAAAAGATGTCCCCTACCCATACATTGGCATAATGCATACTGTAACATCCAGCCATGCATATAAGTAAGAATGATCACGGAGCATTTGCACACTCCACACTGCAATTACGAACGCAATGTTCATCTGCCTACAATAATTGAGTAAGTGGTATGTCACCACCGGAAACCCTCAGCCTTGCTCAGCCGCGTAACTCAACATTATGGGGCAGGGATCATAGCACGGAAGCCACAAATGTGCGATAACTCGGCGCCACCACCACAGCTGAGGAGGGCCGGGCCGAACCTCACAGCCTGGGAACGGTTTGACGTAACGCCGCGGTCACCTTCCCATCGTAGAGTAGTACGGGTGGTTCATATTGGCGGTGAGGCGATACAAACCGCAAGTAAATCGGAGCTCGGGGCTGTTATAAAACCAGAGCTGAGGTCCATGGACCCACGATGGAGACGGAGAGGTATTGATGAAACAGATGAGCAATGAGAACGCAGCAGAATTAGACCGCAAATTGCAACAAACTAACACTTCAAACGGAGAGAGCATTATTACCGAACTGGAGTCATATGCTAATTAGAGAATGGATACCCTTCTATGCAGAATGCACACGTTGCAGGCCGTTTTCATTTACCACCTCGGTCTCTGTACCAACTCCGAACGAGGTTCAAACCTTGGGCACAGGTCACGACACACCGATGTATGAAATACGTCGGTCAGATGCTTATAACCATGAGCTTATCACATTTTGTAACTGCTTACAAAATATTTATAATGCCCTCCTGGTTTGATCTTCTTCTAACAAGCACACCCATCCCCCTCCAAACGTCAAGTTCTCCTCATCGTCTCTCACCGCGTCAGCTCGTCCTGCAGCGCCGAGATGTCGGAGACGTAGAACATGACGCCCAGGTGGAGGTTGCTGGACTCGGCGAATCGGTCCAGCTGCTTCTTCAGCGGCCGGTCCAGGTCGAGCCACCGGCGCAGCGGCGGAGACCGGCGCGCCCGGTACTTGAGGCCGAAAAACTTGGGCTGCGGACACAGACGGGGAGAGGCGGTCAGTGGATGATAGCTGATATTAGCGAGGGAGCATCCTACACCTTTGAGATAATAGTGGAGGCATTGAGGGACAACTGTTCCCGAACAGTTGCTTGGTATGTCTTTTGTAGTCTGTTTGTTGCATCTCAAAACAGACATTCTACATCTAGGTACTTTAAATATCAGAGCCAAGCATAGCACAAAAATAAGCCATCAACGATTATATTCAGCAAAATACGCGGGACATCTGCACGCTTATATGGCAATACGTACGATGGTTCAGCCGACATCAACATACGTTACATAACATATTCTGCATACATTACGTGAGGCATCGTCTACACGTCGCATACAGCCTGCACGCGTTACGGCACGCGGCGGTCGTTTGTAAAAGGCGCACATCGCGCCACGTGTCGGGTTTAATTAACATGACAAAGGGCCCTCATTGCCAAAACTATTATGCTCACGTTGGCTGCCGAAGGAAATAGGAATGGCCCAGAAGGACGGTGCTGAAACTGTATGAATAAATTCCTGGTATGACGGGATGCCTGTGTGGGTATCTATTCCACCTGGAACGCCTCAGTATTAGCCAAATGGCAACAATCCTTCCTTAAGTAAGTTTCTGGGTTATCTGTGCTCTAACATGTCCTTGGACAGGACCATGTTTACAACTATCTACCTTCCATACAGTGCCGTGTCTGTCTGCACTATGTCACATCTGTCTGCACTACCCCGGACATCTGTTTGTCTGCTCCGTCCCTACAGCGTGCGTAGGTATGTGTAACAGTGATCCGCACCTTCCGGACACAACACCTACGATGCCGGTCTCACAGCGCACCGTCCCAGGGAGGTGTACCGCACCGCACCGTCCAGGGAGGAGGTGTACCGTACCGCACCGGCCGGGGAGGTGTACCGTCCCGCACCGTCCAAGGGAGGTGTACCATACCGCACCGTCCAAGGGAGGTGTACCGTACCGCACCGGTCGAGGAGGTGTACTGTACCGCACCGTCCGGGGAGGAGGTGTACCGTACCGTACCGCACCGTCCGGCCGACAGACAAAGCGGTCCGGCCGCTCTCCGTGCCAGGTTCAAGGCCGGGAGACGGACGGACGGGGGCGGGCACGGCGGGCCGGGATGCAGCCGGGGCCGCGCAGAGCCGTCTTATACAGCGGAGTCCGTGTTGAACGGTGCCGTACTGAGCCGTATTACGTTGTGTCGTTCCAAGCAGTGTTGCAATGTACCATACCGTGATTGTTGTGGTACGCCGAGATTGAAAACAGCGCACTATAGCGTTTGTTGCATGTTCTGCCGGCTACAAGACGATTTGTGCCGTGCCGAAGCTTTGTAATTTGTATCACAGAATTCGTTACATACATATTACATAACATCCATCACTTGGCTAACAGCAAGACGCCACCTTTTTGCCCGTGACCCGTAACCTTTTTAAATGAAATATCAACTTCGACAGTAGGTATACGCGCAGATACAAGGCAACATTACCAATAACAAGCAACAGACTGGTACCATCTCCGTCAAACACTCATATCAGCGCCCTACCAGCCCTACCACTACCCACACACTCCACACATCACAGCTTCCAGTTCTCACCTGTTTGATACCGGAGCGCTGGCAGACGCTGTTGAGACACTCCTGACCCGAACTCTCCGAGGAGAGTGTACACTCGACCGGCGTGCCGTCCAGCAGCTCCACCCGGATCACCATCAGCTCCTTGGAGACCACATTGTACTGGCGAGACTTCTTCACGTACAGGCGCGGAAACAGCGGCATCCTGGCGGGAGGAGAGAGAGGGGGAGGTTAGTGCGAGAAACACTGGAGATGGGGGATGGCGGCTGATATGCAGGGTGTTGAAATATTTGAGATAGAATCGCAAAGCTGAACTAGAGACAGTATACATTTCAGTATCAGTTTAAATTTGTGGCTAAACAGTCGCCAAACAATGCACGGAACTGGGCTGTGGAACAGGATGCAAATGACAGCCGTTTAGCTGGCAATGTCTCACGAAATACCTCGAACGGTTATCGCGGCCGTGTATGAATGTTGACGCTAACAGCGTGGTTGCAGCGTCTAATTGAGCCGCTCTGGCCCCTAAATCACGCCTAATGGAGCCTGTTTAATTATGTGAGAAGTTCAGACAGCTCGGTGACATTATTTACTCCGCAGAGTAAGTGGGACTGTTAACAGCATGGAGGCATGGCAAGTGGTTTTCGTGAGCACCTTCTAATGAGGCTGCTGACCCGACCACACGAATGAGGCGTGAATCCAAAGTTTCGTGTTCATATAAATGTAACACCACACCAGCCCATTTAGCATCATTTGGCATCAAAATGATCCCTCGCGCGAAATAAACAAGCCAAAAGCTGAGCATTTTTTTATTGAAACATTCAAATGTGCTTACAAAAAAAGTTATGCAAAACGATCAAACACGACCGGAAAACGGCATGATGAAAAATCATAGCCCGCCGGCCGCCACAGCTCCAACGTCCGAGGCCGACAGTTGAAACCACAGGTAATGGACAGCGAAACCTCAGCGGTGTCTACGAAATCCAACACCGACAGCAGATATTCGACACCGGTCGCCGGAAGCCGCCCGGGCATCGGGCGGACAAAAGATACCGCCGACGGCGCAAAGCAGAAGCCATACAGCGCGTCCCGGGGCAGGTCTGACACCTGACCCCCGGCGACGTCGCCTCTGGGTGAGCCGTGACCAGGTCATGAACCCGGGTCACCCTCAGCAGGGGCCGGTGCTGCTACTGATGGCATGGAACACACGGGCAGACGACAGGGAAAGAGAGAAACCAAGGCAGGACAAAACAAATAGGTACCTACGGGAGGGAGGGAGGGAGGGAGGGAGGGAGAGGGAGAGGGAGAGGGAGAGGGAGAGAGAGAGAGAGAGAGAGAGAGAGAGAGAGAGAGAGAGAGAGAGAGAGAGAGAGAGAGAGAGAGAGAGAGAGAGAGAGAGAGAGAGAGAGAGAGAGAGAGCAACGAACCCGAAATCGACGACTTTTGACGCAGAAGAGGCCAGGAGAAAGCAGCTATTGAAAGTCGATTGCGCTGCACAAAAGCCAATAGAAACCCGAGATGAAACGAACTGACGAATGGCTGTGACATGAAAAGGTGAAACTCGAAGAGACAGCTGTACTTCTGAACACTTCTGAATGCACTTCAGAAGACGACGGGGACTTGACACATGCCAAAGAGCAGACGCTCGGTCGATGCCGAGCGCTATAGCTCGGGTCTGAGGCGTGAAGACTACCAGCATCGAACTCGGTCAAGCCAAACGACACTTCCTTCTAACGGCCACATCACAGGAAGCTGACAACCAGCATCTCCCCGTGCCTTGCCCCCTTTCTAGCACTTTATTTCAAAGCCAATTTCCAGAGGCAATCCTTTTCATATCCGCCCAGCATTTGTGCGTTGATGGGATGACCTGAGATTATGTTATGACATGACATGAGCCCCGTGGCATCAGAGGTAGAGAGGAGAAGGTAAGCGCCAAGCGGCATGTGTGTCGCTACGGCCAAACATTGTACCTGGTGTGGCTTATTTTAAACAGGTTACGCAGCTTGCAGCTGAGAAACGGTGAAAGAATGCCAGCCGAATCCACCCCTTTCCCACTCTCAGCATTCGGCAGCACTGAGAGAATCCCAAGTGCAGTGCCATGAACATTTGAACAGCCAGACCACTCCGAACACCACCGCCGTCTGGCCAGACAGCCATCCGTAAACAGGCGGCGTGCACGGCACCGGCGCCAGCCTTGGAGGGACGGCAGAGCGGCCGGTCGACGGGGACCTTGACCACGGCTGCAGCGGCCGCCACCCGTCCATGTGGCGGACCGGCAGGCACGGCACACGATGGAGCTCACCCGGCCGGGAGGCGACAGTGCTGAAAAGTGGTCTGACCAGACAGCGGCTGACAGACCGTGAATGTGCCATGGTGGAGCGATGTGTGAGCAATGGTGTGTGTCGAATACGGGATTTTGCCCACCATAACCTGATCACAGCAGCTAGTGGAAGGATTAAATACGCATTAGAACGTTAGCCCTATCGTAGCCCAGTCTCCAGGCCGTATGAACATCACAGGCTCGCATCGCCGAAATGTTGGACTTGTAAAAACTGGGCTTATATGATCCTTATCGTGTTTACGGACCAGCCAGTCGGTGGTGTTTGTGTCGCGAAGACACCCGATGCAGGTCATGGTGAACAGGATACGGGAGCTGCTTTATGATACGCAGTCGGCGAGCACTCCAGGTCAGAGCAGGTCAGGTCGAGGTCACCAGGTTAGGGTCAGGGTCAGTCGGGTCCAGTTCCAGGCCGGTCGGAGATCGGGGGAGATTTAATCGGGTATGTTATTACCGCCCGATCCACCGCCAACTTTCGCCTTCCTCGACACCGGTGACGGCGGAGGAGATGGCGATGGGACGGCGACCAGAGGTCGGATACAGGTCACGCGACCCATCCTCTCCCTCGGATGGTTTACTAGACCCCACTCCATCATTACCGACACGAGCTGATCCCGACCCCAGGCAATGACGAAACCACGAAACTACGAGAGAGTCGCTCAATCACAGGTCGCCGAGAGGCTGCATCAAACCCAATACGGCGCCAGCGTGGAAAGCGTTGCGTCACTGATGTGTGTTCCACGCCAAACACACGGTTAGAAGTCGATCGTATTTCGTAGAGGAAATTGTCGACTGGGAATCGATGCGGTACGAGTTTCCGTGATGAGCCTGGTACTACACGGCTCGTTAGGTTGGCGTTATGCTTGATAATGAACGGGTGAAATAACGATATCGTGCTGATATTACAGCACTGTTTCGACATTCACGTCTTTGATCTATTACGTCAGATAATGTCGGATATAAGCGCATCGTGCAGAGCGGTCCGCATAGGCATTGCCCTCGTCGTGTCAACATATCATGCGACTCCAGCAACGAATGTTCTAAAAGTCGTTCCATTGACTTACCCACAGAACTTCATCGTGAATGTCCTCTGTGACTTCCGATCACTCCAACAGCCAAAAATCCTTCACAGAGTCGATCAAAATTCCACCGCAAGACGCTGCTTAACCACTGACAGCCACGCAGGCCGCGTCCACTCGTCCCACCACAGCCCGAGCGCGAGCCAGCGACCACTGTTGACCAATCACACCTCTCACTGTCACTAACAACTCCACACTTCACCCAAATCACACCGCTCACTTCCCTTCACTTCCACTTATCACCACAAATAGCAAAGAATCCCCGAAAATTCCCCCGACGTCGTCGATATTCGAGCGAGCCCCTCCGGCGGCGGCCACTGTCCACCACAAACTGCCCACAGCGCCTGACCGGCTCCTCCACGACCGCCGCCGTCTGTCCGTCAGACTGTCCGTCCCGGTCCGAGGCTGTTTGTTTATCCTGTCTGTACTCGGCCCTGCACGGTGCGCAGTGAGTACCGCCACTGCCGGGTCATGGGCTGGGGGAGACGACCCGACACGTGGTGTTGTGAGAGGGTTGGTTCACACCCCGGGGTTTTATCAGAGCAGGCACAGCGCAGGTCCGTTCGCTATGCTACCATACTCGGTCACTGATGGGGTTAATGATAAATTCCCAAGGTTAGTATTCGTCACGCGCTGAGTCGATCAGCGGGCCATTCAGCGGTCATTCCCTTCACATTCCACCGGTGATGTATCGCCAGTCAGTGTCAGGGCCCAGCCTCGCCGTCCATTCAGACGTGCACCAAGCACGTGATATCGACAGTTCCCGAGCTCTCTGCGATGCAGACAGGGGTATGTCGTGCCTTTTTACAGAGTCGCGTGACTGCACGGAGCCTCGGCGGGGCACTAACAGACCTGCTAGACGCAGCGGCGTATTTAGAAAATCGCGAAAGGGGGGGCCAAGGGTTTGGAGGGCGCCACCTCACCCAAGGAGGGCGCCATACGGTCGCGAGATAAAAAATCGCTCAGTGGGGGTTGGGGGGTTGGGAGGCGTTTTTTACCATGCCACCAGTTTTTTTTTTTTGCGTAACCTCGTATAGGTCGTGCTGCATTGATTTTGCATCGTGTGTATTCATTATACTCCAGGTCACAAAAGGTCAAGTGTTCTTGAAATGCTGCGCCGAAGGCGCGCGAAATTTTTGAAAACAACCTTTTCCTCCGCTTTTTAGGCACGCCTTTTATACGATCACTGCTCAAAGCTCCTCTCGCTCTTTTACCAAATTTGAAGGTGTAAAAAATACCTAAGGTTTGGTCGGGCCGCTGCCACACAAACTGTACAGAAAGCTTGGCTCATGGGTGTCGATGTATAAAAGTTTATTGGCGGTGGCATATCTACGCACCAGATCACCGTATCGGATTGATACCGGAGCGCGAGATGCGTAAACATCATCCAAATTACCTCAGACCAGCCTTCATAGCCTTCTCACAGATGCATACAGTGTACCCACATAACCAGTTTCAATCACCGAAACTTCAGATGCCTGCTGTTGCGCCCGAACCTGTTGACAATACTTAATCGTAATCCATATAGATGCCATGATGCACGTAAAGTAGGATCAATCCGTTAAGACCAAAGACGTGTTTTATGCATCGTAGAGCGTAGATAGTTTTGGTAGGTATAGATACTTCATTCATTGTGCTGAATGCACGTTCATTTGTGGCAGTTTTCACAGGCAAGACATCAACTATGTGCAATAGAACGACTAAGTTGAAAAACATGCCAAAGGAGTAAATAAATGATAGGAGGGCAGCGATCAACGGATGTTGCCAATAGGTAGAAGGGCTGCGATCCACAGGAGGGCACTAATAGGTAGAAGAGCCCGATCAACATCCCGAGTTTCGACAGTAGGGCACCGATAGGTAGGAAGTTGGCGAGCAGCAGGAGGGCGCCAATGGATAGAAGGGCAGCGATCAACAGGAGGGCACCAATAGGTAGGAGGGCGCCGATCAACAATCAACAGGAGGGCGCCACCAGGTAAGAGGGTGGCGAGGAACAGGAGAGCACCAATAGGAGGGTGGCGATCAACAAGAGGTCGCCAATAGGTGGGAGGGCGGTCATCAACTGGAAGTCGCCAATGAGCGGAAGGGTGACGATTAAAATGGGGGTGGCAATGGTGAGGAGGGCGCCTTTGCTCAAGAGGATGACACGAACAGGAGGGCGTCTGTGCGGAGGGCGCTGGTCAACAGGAAGGTGCCAGTGGATAGGAGGGCGGTGATCAACAGGAGGGTGCCAGTGGTTAGGAGGGCGGCGATCTACACGAGGGCGCCAATAGGAGAAGGGCCCCGATTAACATTCAACAGGAAGGACTAGGGAACCAATAGGTAGGAGGGCGGCACTGAACAAGAGGGTGCCAAAAGGGAGAAAGGCGGCCTTCAAAATTTCACATGAGGGCTCAATAAGTAGGAGAGCGCCAATAATTATGAGGACGCCGATCAGCAGAAGGGCGGCAATGTGTAGCAGGGTGGCGACCTACAGGAGGGCGCCTTCGGGTGAGAGGGCGCTTATTTACAGGACAGCGGCTTACATAGGCGACCACCGTTACGCTTAGAGAGCTACAGCCTACAAATGTGGTTGGAGGGCGCCCGAGGGAGCCCTCCAACCGTATTTGGAGGGCGTATTTGGAATGGGCGTCCTCCGAGGGCGCCCTCCATCCGTATTTTCCCTGTAAACACATTCGCGATTGGAGGGCGCCCTCCAGTCGCGATTGTTTTTCGATTCGATTATATCACAATTGCATTTGCGATTGGAGGGCGCCTTCGGCGCCCAAGGGGGGGGGCCATGGCCCAGTGCCCCCCCCCCCCTGCCTACGCCCCTGGCTAGACGGCAGCCCCTTCTGAGGCCGGCCTGCGACGCCACGGCCCCACTGCCGACAGCCGGGCGGGCCGAGGAGGGCGGTGGCTGCCACAGTCCTCCATTCCAGTCCTCTGAATCAGGAGGTATTCTCCCACTGGACCGCATGGGCCTCTCAGCTTTCAGTGAGTTGTCAGTAGTGCGCAGCTGTGGGAGGAATTCTCTCCAGAGGCCACCATGAGGGGCATGTTCCAAATGTTCTGGCCTCTGGCGAGTGTGGCGACTACATGAAAACCCCATCGGTTCCCAGAAAGGCCCCTTAGAAGCCCCATGTTCTGAGGGGCCCGCCAGATAAGCCATGTTACGGCCGACGGCTCAGAGCTCAACTCTGGACCTCAGTAGCGACTAACGAGCATCTACGACACAGAAACTAAACCGATGCCACCGGGCGGCGACCGGCACTCAACAAAAGGACTGCCGGAGCCACCCCAAACGCCTGAGACGGCAGCAGCTCCGGCCACGAGCTACGATGGGCGGCACTGACCCCGTTCGTGCCACTCCCATCCGTTGGACAGTCTCCACCCAGCCCATCCCGCCCTGGTAATGCACGGCACGGCACGCCTCATCCGGCGAGCAGCGTGCCACGACCGGGCCACCTCTGACACCGGTCTGCAATGTATGAGCACGAAGAATGCAAGGCATTGGCCAGGCTGGATAAATGTAAAACCTGTGACGACCTCCGCAGAATGAATAATTAGCCAACACACGAACCAAGCTACAACACGTGGCTTGTTTGGGCTGCTGCATTCTAAAACTGGTGGTTAGGGAGTTGAAAAAGCGAGTGTCGCACCAATGACCACTAAAATTACTCAGCAAATGAAGGCTGATATGCGCAAGGCATTCGAGGGATAAGGTTCATGACTTATTCTAGGAGTATCAAGAGGTCGTTCACCGTACCACCAGCGCACATAAATGCGGGCATGACAATGAGCCATTCCACAGGCAAATGAAGATTGATGAGTTTGCCCGAGATGATGAGTCAGAGGAGCTCGGGCGCATCCTTAGCACCTTGTGGAACTTGTAGTTACATATCCGCAAACAAACCTACTCACGTGTGTGTGTTTTCTCATCAGTCAGCCATGGATTGACTGGCAACAGACATGACACAGAGCACACGATATTTGTACCTTGGCGTCCTCCCAAAATAAATACAGCGATACCATCCACTGTTCGTCCGTCGAGCAACCGTCTGTCTTAACATGTCAACAGCATGCCATAATAACAGCACGCAAACTACAACCCATCAACACTGGGCAACATTCCAGGGTTCGACGAAATCCGACCGGCCCCTGAAATCCGACCTCTACGTCTGTGACAGCTCACAAAGTCAGACACACAAGCTGTGCGCACGGAGGGCGTGCATCTGCAACATACTAGCTGGGCGCCGCGGACCGGCTACCTATCCAATTTCGGCGGCTCGCCCACCTTCGCCGCATAGAGGCACGGGTCACCTACCCTCCCTCCGTCTCCCTCCCACACCGTGAGTCGGGAGTACAGGTGGGTTCCACTGCCCCCGCGGCGCCGCGCGGTGCGAGACAGGACACTGTGTCTTACCTGGATGTTGGTGGGGTCGCTGGTGTGAGCGGCCGGGTCCAGACAGTGTCACCGACAGGTCATGCCCCGCTGGTAGCAGGCGCGGTCGGCAGCGCAGACCGCGAACGTCCGGTCACGGTGACTGAAAGTGAGAAGATAGCGGATAAGTATACGACCGATATGAACGAAGATAAGTGTGGTGAATCGTGGCTGGCTACAAATGCCGACAAGTATTGATGAAAAATAGGATGAAAACGATAAGGTGTGCATTTCAATAGAAATTAGTTCAACGGGGATGTGACTGATTGAAAGTCGCAATATCACACAAAAAGCTCGCAAAAAAGAGAAGCCCTCGCTCGCTTTAGGTTACATCTCATGAACCGCTCGATTTATACAAAAAAAAAGACATCCGTCTATTGTATGTACACTTCGTGGCAACGAGTCCACTACACGAGTGAGTCCGCTGAACCATGAACCAGCAGCCGAGCCGTCGTACCAAACCCGGGTGTTCAACACGACTCAAGCCGGACCTGAGCCAAGCAAAGGTGTAACTCGATACAACCCGTTCAGCACCGGTTCAACAGATCGGGGAGCACAGTCAGCGGATTAGACGGGGACAACACACCTCACAGTCCCCCTTCCCGTTCCCTGAAAGTCACGAGCACCCCTTGACGCAGCGCCAGCCGAGGCGTCGGTAGCGGCAGTGGTAGAGGCAGTATGTTCTCTGCCGTGACCGCGTACCGTCGCCGGCCGACTCCCAGCAGGGACACGCCACCGGCCGCGGTCCGGACAGATCCGTTACTCGGTCGGCGCTCGGAGTAGCTGGGAGCGCGCGTGTGTGCCCCCGGGCACGGCGCTGCGGCGTGCCGGTGGTGGGCGCGGCGGGTAGGAGGGTGTGGGAGGAGGTATGACGGAGGCGCGGCAGGCAGCTCGCCGATAGGGGGAGGCGAGCCAGTTCGGAAAGCTGTCTCGCTGCCAAAGAAACTCGGATCACGCTTCAGTGTGAGAACTTCGGACATCCATCTATCCATCCATCCATTATAGTACTTTAAATTAGTATTGGGCCTCGCCTAGGACAGCATTTCATAATCAGAATTTCAAGACCAAGGCCAGTCAAACAACAAATATGGATATTAAAAGTAAGCACATGTGAGCACGATATGGAATCGTGACATTCAAACATTCCTGTGTAGCGTCGTGCCATATTTCACGGCATACCCAGCCGGGAAAATGCAGTACGAGGTATGCAGCTCTTGCAATCTGCTTCAGCGAAAACTAATGAATCCACACACCACTCGTCACTCCGCGGTATGCCAGCACATGTGACCGGCGACCGAGACCACCGCGTCACCCTCTACTCCGAACTCGGAGCACCACGGCCTGACCTCAGGAACGCCAGCCGTGACCTCAGGAACGCCGCTCGGCCTGGCCGCAGTGGTGATCTGGTGATCTCGTTAGCGATACTAGAGCGAAGATCCCAGAGAGGACGGGGCAGATTAGCAAGATGAGCGAGAGCACCGCACACTCGAACATGTCCGTGTATCAAGAAACAGCAATAAAGCTACAGCTTGTGATCAATGAAAAAAAAAAACACGAAGACGTGAATACCAATCACCGTGCTGAGGTCTGAATTCCACCAATGCTAAAATCAACATCTGTGCACTAGAATGTCAATGATTTCACTCGTATAGAATGTGTTGATTTAAGCAAAGTAATGGCGCAACAGCGGAATACGGACATCACGAAGGCATTTGAAGTCCTAAACACGATAACTTAGCATGGATACTGTGAAAATCAATGTAAAAATATAACCTACATTATTTGACTCTGTCTCGTACAAAACAAGACCTAAACACGATCCAGATGCTACAATTTAGGAGTGATTTTACCGCGAATCACGGCTGAGGTCATCCAATTTTTTGCCCTCGCCTACAAAACAAAAACACCCGGTAGAAAACATGCCAATGTTATCATTCACAACACAGTTGTTTGTGCCTTTTATATTTTGAAAATAAGTGATCGGCAAGAGACTCAAGGCTGTTGGCGCCGTGCATATGTTCCGAGCTCCCCGTTGCCAAAGTCAATAGGCCAGGCCTCCACATTTGGCCACCCCACAGGTCATTGGCAAATCCCCTGTACTTGTCCTATGTCCATCCTTCACTGATTGACGCAGGTTGTAAGGCTGCATCACTCACGGCCTAATTCGTGGCACTGCCGTATGCATGACGTCCTAGCAAAGACGCCGTTTCATGGTTTATCTATCTTAGCAGTCACTGCTTCGTCACGTATCTACAAGCTAGTTTCTACTATGTCCCCCCTCAGCACGACCGCAATTGCCCAGCTCCATTTCACTCTGCCCTCCCGCTCCCACCCTCATCTGCCGACCATGGACACTCCTACCGACCGCTCCCTCTCCCGACCCTCCGCCGAGCCGGCGGGTCACGCCGGGTCACGGTAGCGTCTCGACTCGACTGGAGAGGTCGAGGCGTGGAGATCGGCCCGCCGAGCGTGCGGTCCGCGCACTGCGAGAGGCCATCCCCGCCGCACGCCACCGGCACAAACGCGGGCGATTCGTCTTCACTGGAGAAAGTCGAACGGCGGCGGCGATGGTTATGGAGGGTGGGGATAAGGAGGAGCGGTCTGTATGGGCTCTCCGGAGAGAGAAATCTTCTGCGGCACCGGAAACGCATCCACATCCGCCCACTTCAGGGTGCTGAGATAGCCTCGCCGATACAGACGCACCCGAATAAGCCGCGCGGAGGCCAGAGGTGCGCCGCGGACAATGGTCAGTGGTCACCCCAGCCGTCACCCCAGACCATCGACTGCCCGACCGACGCCGGATGGTAGACAGCAGCCGCTGCCAAACTTCCGGCGGCAGTCGCGCGGTCAGCCAACAATCAGGGATAGGGACAGCCTATCGTCGATTAGGGGCTCGATTAAAGTGAGCAGACGGGGGTGACACAGAACGAGCAATCGAAAAGAACATGGGCGGTAGACGGCGGGCGGCGACAAGAGGAGGCCGGCGCGGAGAGCGAGGTGGCCTGAGACGGGACAGGGGCGCTGGGCCGGGCCGCGCCGAGATAGCGCACGACAAACAGAGGGGATGGAGCGGAGGGGAGGGGAGAGAGAGAGGAAAACACGTGGGGTGACACAGTCGGCGACGCGAGCGCGGAGGTGAAGGAGGGCGTAGAGAACGCGTCGGAGTGACAGACGGCGAGAACGGAAAAGTGTTTAAGCGGAAAAGCGTTCGAGGACTGAGGGCAGGACACACGTGGAACGGACATGACCGGTAAGTCATCGAATTTTTGGTTCTCCTACGTCGACGTACTTCCAGCCACACGGAGGGGAGGGGAGAGGATGCCTGAATCGTGTGGGCCCTTTTATGCGCCGGGTACGCCTGCGCTGTATCGGTGCAACAATTCAACATGCCTGAACCATGTTGACACAGTAAACCCGCCGTTCGTCAGGTATGCCTGAACTGAATCATATCGAAGCAGCGCCAAGCCACACATGCCTGAACCATGTGGGCTCTTTTATGCGCCGGGTACGCCTGAACCGCATCGGTGCGGCAATGCAACATGCCTGATTCATGTTGACAGAGTAAAGTCGCTGTTCGTCAGATATGCCTGAACCATATCGAAGCAGCGCCAAGCCACACATGCCTGAACCATGTGGGCTCATGTATGCGCCGGGTACGCCTGCACCGTATCGGTGCGGCAATTCAACATGCATGAATCATGTTGACACAGTAAAACTCGCTGTTCGTCGAATATGCCTGAACCATATCGACGCAGCGCCAAGCCACACATGCCTGAACCATGTGGGCTCATTTCTGCGCCGGGTACGCCTGCACCGTATCGGTGCGGCAATGCAACATGCATGAATCATGTTGACACAGTAAAAACTCGCTGTACGTCAGATATGCATGAACCATATCGACGCAGCGCCAAGCCACACATGCCTGAACCATGTGGGCTCATTTATGCGCCGGGTACGCCTGCACCGTATCGGTGCGGCAATGCAACATGCATGAATCATGTTGACACAGTAAAACTCGCTGTACGTCAGATATGCCTGAACCATATCGACGCAGTTTCAAGCCACACATGCCTGTCCCTGAACCATGTGGGCTCATTTATGCGCCGGGTACGCCTGCATCGTATCGGTGCGGCAATGCAACATGTATTAATCATGTTGACACATTAAACTTGCTGTTCGTCAAAAATGCCTGAACGATATCGACGCAGCGCCAAGCCACACATGCCTGAACCATGTGGGCTCATTTATGCGCCGGGTACGCCTGCACCGTATCGGTGCGGCAATTCAACATGCATGAATCATGTTGACACAGTAAACTCGCTGTTCGTCGAATATGCCTGAACCATATCGACGCAGCGCCAAGCCACACATGCCTGAACCATGTGGGCTCATTTATGCGCCGGGTACGCCTGCACCGTATCGGTGCGGCAATGCAACATGCATGACTCATGTTGACACAGTAAAACTCGCTGTACGTCAGATATGCATGAACCATATCGACGCAGCGCCAAGCCACACATGACTGATCCAGGTGGGCTCATTTATGCGCCGGGTACGCGTGCACCGTATCGGTGCGGCAATGCAACATGCCTGATTCATGTTGACAGAGTAAAACTCGCTGTGCGTCAGATATGCCTGAACCATACCGACGCAGTTTCAAGCCACACATGCCTGTCCCTGAACCATGTGGGCTCATTTATGCGCCGGGTACGCCTGCACCGTATCGGTGCGGCAATGCAACATGCATTAATCATGTTGACACATTAAAACTTGCTGTTCGTCAAACATGCTTGAACGATAACGCGCCAAGCCACACTTGCATGAACCATGTGGGCTCATTTATGCGCCGGGTACGCCTGCACCGTATCGGTGCGGCAATGCAACATGCATTAATCATGTTGACACATGAAAACTCGCTGTTCGTCTGATATGCCTGACACATATCGACGCAGCGCCAAGCCACACATGCCTGAACCATGTGGGCTCATTCATGCGCCGGGTACGACTACCCCGTATCGGTACGGCAATGCAACATGCATAACTCATGCTGACACAGTACACTCGCGGTTCGTCAGATATACCTGACCCATATCGACGCAGCGCCAAGCCACACATGACTGATCCATGTGGGCTCGTCTATGCACCGGGTACGACTGCACCGTATCGGTGCGGCAATGCAACATGCCTGATTCATGTTGACAGAATAAAAGTCGCTGGTCGTCAGATATGCCTGAACCATATCGACGCAGCGCCAAGTCACACATGCCTGAACCATGTGGGCTCATCCATGCGCCCGGTACGCCTGAACCGTACTGATGCGGCGATTCAACATGCATGAATCATGTTGTCAGTTAAATTCGCTGTTCGTCAGGTATGCCTAAACCATATCGACGCGGCGCCCCGCCTGACTAAGATGAAGCCAATGACGCTATTCGTTGGGTGCCGGGTGACGTCACCAGAACAAATGCACACATCAAAGCATTGTCGCCGTGATGGCCGCCGGGGAGTGCCAGCTGTGTTTTCGCGGACGGGGCTACCCCCACCCATTCCGCTGCACGCGCCCACCGGTCGGGCGGCCAACACTCGGCCGTCAGCAGTAATAGAGCCGTTACGTCACGTCGTGACACCGCCGCCGGGCGTCGCGGCGTGTAAAACCACCGCCAGTTCACGAGGGGGAGGGGAAGGCGCGGGAGGGACGCAGGGGTCACCTCTGTGGGGCCAAGTGGTTGACCTTTTGTCCGATAACACTGGGAAGGGACCCACGACTCCAGCAGTCGGTCGGGAGTTATTTGCACAGGATAACCCCTCACGCAGTCAGGGAGGACAAATGGACGCAGCGCCGTCATGGGAGACGGGGGGGGGGAGGGCGGCCGGCCGGCGGGACACTAGGGTACCGGCGGTGCCCATATAAGGAGATATACGAAACGTTAACGATGTTTACCCGTCTGTGTGCACAGAACTACGGCCGCTTAGTGCGGCCAGCGGCGAACAGGCGCACATAGACGCTCGGCTCCGCGCCGAATTGGACTGCGCCCTCGCCGGGGGAATGGCCCCACCACAAGGATTATGGCGACCACCAATGGACGGCACACCACATCCGGCACATAATATGGCGGCTCCAGCGCCCGCCGCGCCGGGCCACGCAACAGGACACGTGGCTGCGCAGCCACAGGCGCCCGCACCAACGACAAATGCGTGGACCGGAGCCGGCGGTGACCGGGGACCGACCGGATATGGAGGGGAGCAGGCATGGCAGGGCACGGGACCAGGAACAGGCGGTGAACACACGGTGTACATGCACGCCACTGCCAACCGGCCGCCGCCTCCTCCCGCTGGAGTCGCCGGCGGTCCAGCGGTGGCGCCGCCGGCTCGGCCGTGGCAGGACCACGACGGCCGGGAGCGCAGTCGCCGCCGATCTAACCGCAGTGTCAGCCCGCCCCGGCGTAAACGGCGCCGTGACCAGTCGTCATCGTCGGAGTCATCAGAAGATGATGACACGGCAGACAGACGGGAGGAATATCGCATGACGCCGCTGCGGGCGCGGGGAGGAGCGGCGCCGGCCGATCTGCGCTTGCCGGCAGTCACAACCAAGGCAGCGAGGCAGCTGCGGAATCGGCGGAACTACGTGGCGGTGCGTGATGCGGCCGATCCGGTCGAACCAAGTCCCAACAATGTACTAGAGTACATCGGTCGAGTGGCAGCGATCGTCACACATACCACATACTACTTCCCACAGTGTGGGCTACAAGCAACGAGCTACCTGACGTGGCTGATCAGCCGGAGCGCCGGCCGCTCCCTGAGAGACGTCCAGACGGCGGACAGCAGGGCGAGGCAGGCAATGGCGCTGCGTCCCCGGGATTTCCTGACAACCCTAGATCTCGATCAGTTCTGGCCTACACGTGTAGCTTCAACAGCTACAACAGCAGAGCGAGCGGGGACGAATCACAAAGAGGTGTGTTTTCAGCACGTGCGCCGGAACAAGTGCACCACGCCGTGTCGCACGGGTCGCATCCACCCGCCATGCCAGACGTGCAATTCGACACAGCACGCGACCGCCTTCCATGCCGCCTTTTCACCCCGAGGCACCGCCGGGTGGACGGCCGCTGACCAGCAGGGCGACGCACAGCGGGGCCGGTCATGGTTCGGTCCGCGATTATAGTCGGCGAGGGGACAGTGTGGACGACAGGCCCGTCCCTGCTGATACGGGCGTGAACGTCGAGCGCCTTGAACGTTTGTTCAGTGATTGTCCAAACATACGGAGAGAGGTCGGGGACCTAGTGGTACGGCGGTTCCGGGAGGGAGCGGACATTGGCTACTGCGGACCAGGCCACGGACGGTTCACAACCAACAACCGCTCGGCCACCTCGCGAGTGATGGGAGTGTCCGCCGCGATAGAACGAGAAGTGCAAACGGGGTGCACCCGAGGCCCATTTGAATCACCGCCGTTCGAAAATTTCACGGTGAACCCATTGAGTGCTCGGGACAAGCCAAACGGGGACGTGCGCCTCATACTGGACCTCTCCCAGCCAGTGGGCAGTGCTGTGAACGAGGGGATCGATCCAGCGGAGTTCCGAGTGGTGTACACCTCAATCGACGAGGCAATACGGCTCATTTATTTAGTCGGGGGCAAAAATGCCCAATTATTCAAGGCGGACATTAAAAACGCGTTTAAGTTAAAGGGACTGTCCCACCTTAACATTAGATTTGAGTTGAGATAGCCATCTTGATGGACGTTCTTTGAAAATCAGTGCCGTGAAAACCGTTTCTCCAGCAATTACTTCATCGCAAAGAAATTTGAGTTTGATTTTGACATCTGTGCAAATAAGTGCCACAATGTATTGGTATAGGCACTTAAATCTGATGACGTCATCAGGCTTTCGAACGTCCATTAAATGTTTGACTAAAACGTTTTGTAGCACGCGGTGGTATATGCTGCGTTGCGCGCAACAAATGCCGCACTTTTAAATAAAGTCGCTAGGAACAGGGGAGATCCCAAAAAGTAAACAAAAGTAAAAGTCTAATATCTTGAAAACCGGTGAATATTTTTCGGTGAAATTTGGTAGATATTCGTTTTCGCTCTTTCTGAACCGAGCGACATCACTTTCATGCCAATTCATAAACTTTTTTAAAGGTGGGAGGGTCCCTTTAATACCGGTGCGGCCAGATCAGTGGCGACTGTTAGGGTTTCAATGGTCAAATGCACTGTATTACCAGGTTGGCGTGTTTGGCGTATTGTTACCGCTCAGGACACGAGCGGTAATACGAGTCGGGTGCAGACGGCCATCAACAGCCAAAGGTAATGCATGTGATGAGCGAACGGCATGAGACACCCTAATCAGGGATAGGGACAGCCTATCGTCGATTAGGGGCTCGATTAAAGTGAGCAGACGGGGGTGACACAGAACGAGCAATCGAAAAGAACATGGGCGGTAGACGGCGGGCGGCGACAAGAGGAGGCCGGCGCGGAGAGCGAGGTGGCCTGAGACGGGACAGGGGCGCTGGGCCGGGCCGCGCCGAGATAGCGCACGACAAACAGAGGGGATGGAGCGGAGGGGAGGGGAGAGAGAGAGGAAAACACGTGGGGTGACACAGTCGGCGACGCGAGCGCGGAGGTGAAGGAGGGCGTAGAGAACGCGTCGGAGTGACAGACGGCGAGAACGGAAAAGTAACCCACCCTCCATCCCCATTTTATTGTTACTTTGATGATGATGATGACTATTATATTAGGTAACGCATCCTAGCATCATTCGTCGTCGGCCCGTATTGTTACCGCTCAGGACACGAGCGGTAATACGAGTCGGGTGCAGACGGCCATCAACAGCCAAAGGTAATGCATGTGATGAGCGAACGGCATGAGACACCCTAATGCGCCGTTATTACGCCACCGGGAGCCGTCACGACGTACTCACGGAACGCGTCACGGCAGACTCACGGAACACGTCACGGTAGTAGGATCGGAGACCGAAAGGCGCTCGATGTAAAAGAGACACATGACGGACATCCTGTGGCCTTCTGCACCAAGGGTCCCTGGCATTGTTCGGTGTCAGTGCAGCGGCTAGCCTCCCGGGGTGAGGGTGGAGAAGGGTTACAAACGCCAACGTAACAATGACGCAGCGGGATCAGAAGCGGTGAGCACCGAGGCGTTCCGCTGAACCGTCCCGCCCGAACCCCTGGCACAAACCACCCAACTCCCTGCCACCAGCTTAGAGCCGGCAAGCTCAAAGGCACCGGCTGGGTCTATGAAGCTACGCTTAAGCCATTTGGCCGTGCAAACGGCTTCATCCGCGGCCATCATGGGTGTAGTGTGCAAGCATCCAAGCGGCTGAGCAATACCGCATTCCAGCGGCTACCAGCGTGCAGTCGGGGAGAGCCAGCCGAACTGTAAACACGTCTAAACAATAGAGCTGAAATCCTTCCTAGTGACGTGCTACATGGGTTGAGAAGTAGCAAACTGCGTGACATATTCCGAGGAGTCATATAACGGAATGCGTTCAGTTTATGAAGTCTTGGAGCAATGTAGCGGCTGAAAAGACCAATAGATAGCAAGTGTCGCCACAGAGCTTCGGTGATTCAAATTGCGTCACATTTTCAGAAACACAACATGAGGAAGCCAGAAGAATCGATGAGCCACGGGTAGACTATGCGCATTGCAGCAAGCAGAAGGGCAGGCGACAGCGACTGGAATAAACTGAATCACTTGCTTCACTCGGTCGGTCGCCGTTCTGGACTTGACAGCCGTAGGCATAGGCGGATCCAACCCAGAGTTTTGGGAGGGGCAAACCATCACAATTTATTGTTTCTTTTCATGCACTGCCATAGACGTAATGTTAAAAATGATGTCCTTTGTGGAGGGCAATTGCCCTATTTGCCCTCCCCTGGATCCGCCACTGGCCGTAGGGTTGGTCAACGCCGTGGTCGTGCGAATAGAACTCAACTATCGTAAGTCGGTTATCACCCATCTAATCCAACTTCAGCTACACATCTCATAGCAACTATTAAAGGGCTCGAAAACTATCAACGAACTATTTTATCACAGCCGCGCTCCCACGTCAAAATGGCCATTGGCCAATCTCCGCCACGTTTGACACCCACTCGCATTTAACGGATCAGTCTACTGTCCAACAATGACAAGCCCTCTGCCCTTCAGCAGCTACTGTGCGAAATTTTACGAAGCACCGCCTGAAACACTAGTCAGTAGTCACACTCCCCCTGATAAAATCTTATATAAGATCGATTCACTGCGAGAATCCCCTCAGGAATCGCCGCTACATACAGCGTCTGTCCCATAAACTGACATCAGCCACTCCCAGTAGCGCCCACACTGTCACAGTGCGTTACTTATCGCGTCTCACAGCTCACGTCCGAGGCACGGCGAACATTCCTGCAGAAGTCCGTCCCATGTCACCGTACCGTTACGTGCCGCGTACGGCTGGCTATATGGTGCACGAAGGACCAAGACAGTGGACAACTGGACACGTTCAGCCTGTTTTATAGAAGTGTTCTATCGTAGAGACTCACCCCCGAGACTCGTGAGTCGTGAGACGTGACATGACTCAAGCAGCACCAGCAAAAGTTTAAAACAACCCACTGCGTATTTAGGGTACCTACCCAACACGGAAAAGGATTCATTTAGAGCCAATCGGTCGTCAACAGCCATCGACAAATAGTTTCGCAATTCGCATTCCTGGTCACTGGCCAGTCTTGAAGACCATTACAAGCAACTGACATTTAACAATCAGTATTATCAGTTTCACAGTCGCCATTGTCGATATCATCTTCGTCAATCACAGCCATTGATATGACGTCGCCAAACGGAAGCACAGCCGTGGCCAGCGTATAGATAGCTGCACGCACTAGACACTAGTGACATCATTCTCATCCGCCGCCACCTGATACGTGACTTCAGCGAAGGAGAAGAGCGTTGAGCGACCAGGCGACATCCGGTCGGCGGCAATTGCCACTCGGTCTCAGCACACAGGCCTTACACGCATTCAAAGCCAACATGGGGCTGCATTACACGTTGCATACGGCATAAGAAAGAAATACGGCATAAGCAACAGAGAAGAGAATCCTGATAATCCTGGACTAGCTGTTCGGTAGACTTATCTATCTATCGCAGCTTTCAGATCACAGCTGCACACACGGAAGCTTCGTTGCCCAGCGGATGTGCGAACGCAGGCAGGTAACCAACGCACCCAAATGTAGCCATCGGACCACAGCCGGCCGTCACTAGCCACGGCGCCGCCACTTCCGCTCACGACCCGTGGGCGGGGGCGGCGGACGTGTGGGCGGGGGCGGCGCCGTGGGCGGCGGCGGCGGCGTTCCGATCCGCTGAGTCTCCGAACGCGTCCGTTCGGCCCGGCCGACGGTGGACAGAGGGCCGGGGAACAGCGGGTCGGCGGCCGTCCTGCGCCGTCACGTCGCCGGCGATAATTATACAGAGCCCGGCCGGCGACCCTGCGACCGCAGACACCGTCCGGCGCGACCCGGCGGCGGCAGGGGCGGGGCCGGCGCCGTGGGGACGTCTCCCGCGTGTAGATTGTGGAGTGTAGTCCACAGGGCGGAGACGCGTCCGATAGTCCTGTCATCAGTGGTCGCCGCCGGTCGCCACAGACCGGTAGACGGAAGGGACAGAGCGACACCGGCAGCGGACGGAGGATAGTAACCCACAACGGGCAACGAACGATAGTAAAACGGACGATAATATTCCAGTGACGGAAGCAGTTCGGTACAACCCCGGCCGGAAATGAATCCAGTGACGGCGGTCGTTCAACCGTCAGTCACGGCTGAGCCGGCAGACGCGGCCGAGTCGGGCAGACACATAGTCTCACGGTCTCACGGCAAAGAAGTGTCAAAAGACGGTGCCGCCGGAACCGAAGCCGCCAGCCGCTGACGTCATTCGAGCGTGCGGACTACTGCTTTACACACATGACAACATAAATCCCTTGTCTGATTTGTTGACAAAGCTGATCCCCTACACACCAGGCCACCATGCGTCATCCAGGAAGCCGAATTACGCATTAATGACGCGTCATAACAACCACGAACAAAGGACTGAGCCCACGTAATTCAAGCGCGTGTGTCTTATAGCCGCGTCGGTACGGTTCAGGCATACCTGACGAATAGCGAATTCTAACTGGGTGAACATGATTCATGCATATTTGGCCAATCGATTCTTCACGCCGATAAGGTTCAGGCATACCGGGGTACGGTTCAGGCATACCTGACGAGCAGCAAATTTAACTGGGTCAAACTGGGTCATGCATGTTTGATAGATCAATTCCTCACGCCGATATGGGTCACGCAGACTGCCGGCGCACAAATGAGCTCACGTGATTCGGGCGTGTGTGGCTTGTAAGCCGTGTCGGTACGGTTCAGTCATATCCGACGAACAGTGATTGAGCTGGGTCAACATGGTTCATGCGTGATCAATCGCTTCCTCACGCCGATCTGGGTCAGGCCTTCCGGGCGCTTAAATGGGCGCTGCGTCCATTGTCCGCCCTGACTGCGTGAGGGGTTATCCTGTGCAAATAGCTCCCGACCGACTGCTGGAGTCGTGGGTCCCTCCCCAGTGTTATCGGACAAAAGGT